TTAGTTACATAAGTGGGACCCTGACTCAAAAAATAAAAAATAAAAAAGGGTCTGGGGATGTAGCTCAGTGCAAAGGCACTGAGTTCAATCTCTGGTATTGAAAACAAACAAAAAACCCCACGAAAAGTTAGAAAGGGAGAATTTATCATTTAGCTGAAGGCTCTGGTATTGTGTAGGTCACCCAGCCAGTTATCATCCAACCAACATTCTTTGAATTCCTACTCTGCCAGGCACTATGTTGAAATAGCAAAATATATTTCTCTTTAAGTTGTTCTCCCTCTCTCTCTCTCTCCTCTCCAGTTTTTCCAGACAGTCTCACTATGTAGTTGAGGCTGGCCTTCAACTCACTACGTAGTCCAGGCAGGCCTCAAATTTTCAGTGATTCTCCTGCCTTAGCCTCCTGAATGCTGGGATTACAGGTGTGGGCCACCATGCCTGGATGATTCTTCTTTAAATTTCATATCTCTTTTGGACTTTAAATATCAACCTTTAATAAAAGGACCTTGGAAACCCTATGAGGGAAGATTCTATGAACATTAAGCCCTGTTTTCACTCAGGGAGCAGTCTCTCCACACCTTATCCTTTGACTTTTGACCCTGGTTTTTTTCTTATCATAGCACTGTGTCTATTTTGGGATTGTTCATCTTCCCTATTAGAATATCACCTCCATGTGGTTAGTCTCCAAGGCCTAGAACAATGCCTTGTATCTAGCAAGCACTAGATCCATAGTAGTAAATGACAGACTTTCTTCTCTCTATAAAATCACTTCTTGGAGCTGGGCCTGGTGGTGCACATCTGTGGTCTCAGTACTGAGGGAGGCTGAGGCAGTAGGACTGCAGGTTCAAGTCTTTCCAAGACCATTTAGAGAAACTCTAAACAAACAAACAAACAAAAAAGCTGGGGATGTAGTTCAGTGCTAAGTGACCCTGAGTTTGATCCCCAGTACTGGAATAAAACCCAAACAAAAAATACTTCTCAGTCTAGAGCTGTAGCTCAGTGTTGGAGTGCTTGCTGAGCATGGGTTATTACTTGTTTTTAATTACAGAAGCAAAAGATGATGGGGATGGTGGCACTGGCCAGTAATCCCTGCACTCTGGGAGGCTGAGGTAAGAAGAATGCAAGTTGGAGTCCAGCCTGGGCAATTTAGCAGCTTAGCAAGAGCCTGTCTCAAAATAAAAAATAAATAAGGGCTGGGGATGTAGCTCAAAGTGAAGACCCTGGGTTCAATCCCCAGTAGAGAGAGGAGAGAGAGAGAGGGAGGGAGAGGGAGGGAGAGGGAGAGAGGGAGAGAGGGAGAGAGGGAGAGAGAGAGAGAGAGGGAGAGAGAGAGAGAGAAATTGTTGTACTGTACTGGGGACCATAGATGCTATCGATTGAGTTTAAGATTTGGGCTAGAGAAAAGGCATAATTGCCTATAATATAAATCACAATTCCTTTGCAACCTGCAATCACTTACATTTAGCTTTTTTTCTTTTTTCTTTTTTTGGTATTGGGAATCAAACTCAAGACCTTGTGCTTGCCAGGAAGGCACAGCGCCACTGAGCTAAATCCCTGGCCCTACGTTGAGTCTTTTATACCAGTGAAAATCTTTTTTTTTTCCTCAGTAATTGAGGCATTTTCCAGGAAGGTCTATCAATCTTGGATTTGAACTTACAGCCACCAAACCATCAATTCATTCTTTCACCTTCATTGAAGCATATTACATACTAAGTGTCTGTTGCTGGAGGGATATTAGGACAACGTGTCCCTGAACTGAATTTTGGTTTCTTAGGGGAGACTAGATATCTCCATGACCAAAAGACTGTGTTCAGTAAGTACATTGTGAATTCTGAGTGCTCTACTAGGGCTTAGAAGAAGCAAACTCACTTTGGGGCATTGGGTGTCAGAGAAAGCTTCCTGGAGGAGGTAGCATATGAATGAAACTTCAAAAGCAGAGGGGAAGGCGGACAGCCAAGCCTTCCGAGCAGCTGTAGTGCACAGGGCAGTAGGAATCATTAAGACAGGTCTAGGGAGGAAAGGATCCATTCATCTTGGGGACGCAGTGCAGAGTGTGGTTAGACCCAGATAGGTGAACTCTAGGATGTAGGTTGCAAAAGTAGGCTGGAGTTGCTTTGGGAGCCTTGAATGCCACACTTCATAGTTTATACTTTATCACAGAAGTAATGAGATTTCCAAACAAATTTAGTCATGTACTGTGTATGCATTGGGATTTTAGAAAGATTGTGCTGATGGCTATGTGTGGATTGCTGGACTGGAACAAGAAGAAATTTGAGGGAGAGACGTCTGGAGGGAAGAATAGATAAATAGCAGACTTTGGGGGGGGGCAAGAAGAAAGAATTGTGAAATGAATGGATTGAGAGTTTGTGAAGGGAAAGTCATTGGGGCTTGGTGACTATGTGAGGGAAATGAGAACTGAGGAGAGGAATAATTAAGGGTGATCTGATGAGGGCTCTGTTCCTTTGTGAGTAGGACCATAATGGCACCAGTGGCAGAGACATGAAAATTGTTTTGGAAATTTCAGCTAAGGCATGTAGAGCTTAGGCAGTTTAGGCATGTAGAGCTGGAGGTGGTGATGGGAACAGTAGGCGGACATACCCAGCAAAACATCAATAACAGCCAGCATTTGGGCGTCCCTTATTCAGCTTCATCTATGCCCTTATTGCTCAGAAAAAAATACTGGCCAAAAGAATATAGACTAGGCTGAATCAAGCCTTCAGTTTCAGCATCAAGTTAAATAAGCTCCACCTCAGAATTTCATAGCAGGTCTATGTACCACCTCTTATGGATGTGTGAGGTGGCCTAAGTTCACTAGCTAGTTTGGGCTTATACCCAGACCTGCCCTATGACAAGTGGTCAACCTTCACCCCTTCCAGTTGTGGAATCTTGTCTCTGTTTCCTGTATCTCAGAGTTCATGGCAGAGAAGCACCTGGGATGTTCATGCATGTTATCAGGGACTGTGACATTGAGCCCTTTGGCTCAATCCAACAAAAACCTTGTACTTCTTCTAGGGCTGTCAACTTCTTCCCAATGGTTTATAAAGGTAGAAGGTGGGCAGCCCTCACCCATCCTTTTTTTCTTCTTTCTTCTTGGTACCTGGAATCGAAGTCAGGGCCTTGCACTTGCTCGGCAGTCTGAGCTGGTGGGCTACATCCCTGGGTCCCTTTTCTACTGTCACAAAACTGATTTTAAAACTTGTTTCCTTTTGAGACTGTCTCCAACACTCCTCTGTACTCTATTTTCCCTGGATGTGGCATTTTGGAAGCAGGGGGATGACACAAATGTTGTTGACTATTACACTATTCAGCCCCAGGGCCCATCTCCAAGGGAGAAAGCTCAATCAATGAGGAGGGAAATTAGCCTTTGACTTCTCTGAGAGCTCGGCCAACCAAAGCCCATTCATTAAGATGAGACCAATACATCTGTCCTCTTAAATACCAGTTCTAGTTCCAGGCTGTGTGGGAGGTGCAGTGCCTTGGAAGATGACACCAACATTTTCTGAAGGGCATGGCCTGCCATTAGATGACTCAATGAGTATCCTAGCATTTCAGCCAGGAGGCAGGGACAAGAGCTGCAGTCTATCCTCTTGGGGTGGGATTATTCTGTCTTAGCACCAGGTCTACAGGAAAGCCTTCATGAATCACCTCCCTGCCTCTGATTTCATCAGCTAGAGCACAGCTTCAGCCAGGGAAGCAGAGCCCCAGCACCTCAATTTCCAAGATGTCCTGGGCCACTGGCCTTAGAGTAAGACCTGCTTGGGTTTAAACCTTAGCTCTTCTGGTTCTCTGTTTATAATATATAAAATGCAGATAGTAATTCCAGCTTCACAGGCTTGTGAGAGGTAATGTATGGAGGGTTTAGCAAAAAATAAATAAAAATAAAAAGGAATTTAGCCCAGTGTTCTAGCCCAATAAATGGTATTATTAGTACTATATTCTTGTATTTGAGTGTCAGTATAGCAGTGGGTAATAGTGTGGTTTCAGACAATTTAGACTGTAATCAGCACTGGAAAATGGAATTTTAAAAGTTAGATTTATTTTTAGAGATCGGCAACTTTTCTAAACTTCCTCCTGCTGAGCACATAATCAATATCCCCTCTTCTCTCCAGTCCAAAAGAAGTGACAGAATATGCAGATACAGGCCCCAGGAGGCCTGAGCTCAGGTTCTTTTCCACAAGAAAGAAAAATACATCAAAGAGGGCAGCAAGTGTGGAGATCTGCATTGTCTCTCTGTGCTCCCGCTCCCCTCTGTTCCTTACTATAAAAGACCCTTACCTGCCCAAGGAGATGGTGATTTGAGGCATATGGGCCCCCTGTCTCCGCTATCAGAGCTGGCTTTAAATAAATTCCTTTTTTCCTTTTTACCAAACTATATGGCCTCCTTTGATTTGGTCAGTGGTGAGCAAATGGACCAAGCATATAAAATCTAAGTGGCCAATAACAAGACTGGGTGTAAATCTGGAATCTTTCTCTTCCTAGTTGAGTGACCTTGGGCAACTTCATTTTGCTGAGTCTGTTTCCTCATTTGTAAAATGTGAATAATATGTGATCTCATGGGGTCACTGTGAGGATGACATAATGCAGACTAAGTATTTAGCATAATTGCCAGAATTGCTAATATCATTTTTTCAACCCTATATCCTCCAGAGTCCAGTGCAAGGTGTTATCTTTTCCATAAACCCTATTAATCCCTTCTCTGATCTTCATTGATCTGGGTCCCTCTTACAATTCATCTTGTATTGTTCATGTCTATCTCCCGCAAAAGCGTGACTGGGCCTCCAAGGCTCAGGCTGGTCTCACCTTGAGGCATGTCATCCACATTGTTATTATGTCCAAAACCCCGACAAAACCATCCTAACAGCACTGAAAGTAGCACTGTATTGTTCATGATACAGCAAAAGTCCCTAAACTTTTTTTTTTTTTTTGGTACCGGGGATCGAACTCAAGACCTTGCACTTGCAAGGCAGGCGCGGAGCCACTCAGCTAAATCCCTGGCCCCTTACCGTTTTTGTTCCGTTAAGTTTCCACTCCCTGAGCAGCTTGCCCATTCTCCCACGTCGCCTTTTCTTTTTTCCCACGTCTCCTTTTTGAGCGCCTACTTCCCTCTCCAAGTTCCCCGGGGTACTAACAGCGCTGAGGTTTTAGAAAACGCCTAGGCCTAACACACACCAAAGCGGAGGACCGCAGGCACCTGCGCAGAAGGCCGCCGCCAGCCTGACGTCAGCGCGCGGGGCTCTGGCCGGCCTCCTGTGCGCCAGCCTCGCCACAGCTCCACCCCTCACGCCTGCGCGCTCCTGCGCATGCTCCGAGACCCGCCCCTCGCGTCACAGAAGGGCCTCCGACACCTAGGCAGCCCCTGACGTGTCGGGGAGGAGCCGGGCGTGGAGGTGCGTGGAGTGGAGCTTGGGGCTGTAGAGGGAATCGCAGCTGATCGACTGGGCGGGCCTGGCCAGGCCAGCAGAGCAGAGACGTCGGTCGGGCGGTGGCGAACATGAGCTTTTGACACATTAGAGGTGAGCCTGCCGCACGGGGCCGCTCCCGAGGGCCTGCGCCGGGCAGCGGCGCTAAGGCCTGCCCCGGGGGAGCCTGCTCGGCCCGGGCGCTGAGTCTGAGGCCCCGCCAGCCGGGCCGGGGCTGGGCTCTGCGGCGCCCAGTCTGGGGGTCAACTGTTCCAACCGCTGCAACTGTCCCTTTCCCGAACTGGTCCGAGCTGTGACCCACCAGGGTTGCTTGCGAGGGAGCAAGTACAGCGGCTTCCAGATGTGGTCTGTCCCGGGGTGGAGACGGAGGCCGGGACGTGGCACAGTGGGTCAGGGCACTGGTGGCGCAAGGAGTGGCTGGCTCAGTCGGAGGTGGCAGCGCGCACCCAGCCTACACCCTTCAGCCTCCGCAGAACCTCTTCAGCTGTGAGTGTTGTTCAGAGCCTTTTGAATTTTGATCTCCCCGAGCCTTTTTCCTTGGGGGCGAGAGCGGGCGCAGCCCACGCCGGGGGATGATTGGCATTCCCGACTCCCCGCCCGGAACTGCTAATCACCCCCTGGAGTTCAGGAAAGTGTCACCGACAGGTTCGAGTTGCTTGAGCTCGCCTTTTTTTTTTTTTTTTTTTTTTTTGCTGGCAAGAGACGAGGTAACTATTAAGTTTTGCTAAGAAAGTGAAGGTTCTTTCACTAATGATGATTCCATTCCATTCCTGTAGCGCTTTTATACATCTCTTGAATCTTATCACGCTGGAATTGTAACATAACAGTATTGCCACTTGCTGGATAGGGAAATTGAGCCTAAGTGAGAGGCAATGGAGTGATTTATAGTTGCGTTCAAGTTGGTGAGCGGCTTAGCTTGGATCAGAATTTACATTTCTAGACTCGGAGTTCTGGCTTTTTGAGTGAGATTTTTTTTCCTTTCTCAGCTAGAAAGCAAAGCAAAAAATTTGCCTTGTCTAAGATATACCAGAAGCTAGTAGAGGATTTACCGAATTGTTTTTTAGTAAACTCACCTAAAAGAATAACTATTTAGTTATGAGAAAAACCTTATTCTTAAGCTTGTTCATGGGTGGCTGGTTATTTTGTTTGATAACTTATATTGCTTTTTGTTCACTTGATAGGGCAGTGGCTTTGCTAAATGAAATTATTGGAATAAAATCCAGCATTAAGTCATGGGAGTGAGAAGAAGCCATGGGACACTGAGGGATTGATCTTCTAAATTATTATTAAAGTTACTATTATTTACAATCAGAGGGCATAAGGAACAAAGAAAATCTTTAACTATTTTGTTTACAAATTGACCTGATCCAGAAAGAAGTTCTTAAATCTTCAGAAGATGTAGCTGTTGTGACTTTTTAAATTAAATTGAAGTTGGAGCTGGGCAGGGTGGTGCATACTTGTAACCCCAGCACTCGGAAAGGCTGAGGCAGGAGGATCGTTGAGGTTGGAGACCAGCCTGGGTTACATACTGAGTTCAAGGCTGGCCTGAACTACATAGTGAGACCCTGTCTTGAAAAAACAAAAATTAAATTGAAGTTGGATAAGGAGCATGTGAAATGAATAACATACAGCTATCTCAATTAAAACTTACATTTTCCTTTTGTGATATTTATAAAACTTTTTTTTTTTTGGTACCAGGGATTGAACTTGGGACCTTGCGCTTGCAAGGCAGGCGCCGGAACCGCTGAGCTAAATCCCTGGCCCTATAAAAACTTTATATTCATTTAAAGCCATACTGAGATAAATTTGATTACTAAAGCTTAAAATTATACTTCTGGCAGAAGTTTCTGAGCAGTTCATAGAGGTGGCAAAAGAAGTTTGATAGGACTAAAAGAGATCTCATTTATGATCAGCTTTGAAAAGTTAAAAATTCTGTAGATGTATGTTACCTTTGGGAGAAGTAGAAGAATTTCAGTAAAAGCATGTATTACATATAGGGGGTCCCAGAAGAACTCTTTCAACCTCATTAGTCCATCTTTACATTTATTAAAAAGAAGACAATGTGTGAAATATATTTTACCATTGGGCAAGAAATAGTTTCCTTGTAAACAAGGGATTTTAGACAGGCTGTTTTAAACCCAAGTGAGTTGTCACTTGTTATATAGCTGAAGGTCATGTAGTGTGTGATAATATCTAATGTAAAAGTTATAATTTTAAGACTCATACTCCATATGAGACATGGTATTAAGGAAGACTAGGAGTATACTTAATTATCTCCTTTCATTTCAACTTCAGAAAATTGTGCATGTACCATTTGAACAGATGTTTATGTTTATTCAGTTAGTTTTTGGCCTCCATGTATCTTTTTTCCTATTTTTAGCATTATATTTTTGATATTGGCTAATTTTCTGTAGTCTTAGTATCTCCACTTTCATAGTTTCAGATGACAGTGAACACATCCTCCCTGTATAACTTGAGGGAAACTTGAACACACTATCTTTTTAGACCCTGAAACAGTATATCTGCAGTGGTGGTACATTTTTGTTATTTATAAAAAATCAGATTTTTAAAAAGGGTAAGTCTGATAAAATTTTTAAAAATTTATGATAAAATTAGAGCGATAGAGCTGAATAATTTAGGAAACAAATATGTGTGAACAGAGTAAGAACTTATTGCTTAGTTATTAATCTTGCTCATAAAAAGGCAGTTCCAAAAGAGAAGTTTTGGAAATGTTTTCAGTGATGGTGGTATCACTGAAATATGAATATAGCTTCCTGAAATGACTGATGTTAAGGAGTCATTTGTATGTTTTAGATTCTGAAGCCTGTTTTTACTTTGTAGTCAAACTTCAAAGATCCACTACTGAACTACCAATTCTTAATAATTTAATGAACACTTATGCTGTGTTTACTATGGGTCAGGGTCTGTTAAAAGTATTTTACAAATATTAAGTCACTATTCATAATAATCTCGTGTTAGTGATTATCGCCATTTTACAGGAGGGGAAATGGGGCACTGAGTAGTTGAATATCTTGCCCAAGGTCACCCAACTAGGGAGTAAAAGAGCCTGATTTCAAATCCAGGCATTTTGAGTTCAGGGTCTAGACTCTTGATCAGTATGCTGTGCTATTCCTATGCCTTATTCTTGGTTAAATTTTAAAATTTGATTTATTCTGGAAAAGATGATGCTCATTTTAGTAAAAGATTTCTGGCATAGGTTACAATATCATTTGAAGGGCCAAGAAGCAAGTTGTGGAAGGAGCCCTTTGATTAGAAAAAGTGTCATTTAGTTCACATAAGATTCAGTACGAAAATTAAGCCAGTTGTGGTGCGCATGCCTGTAATCCTAGCACTTGGAAGGCTGAGGCAGGAGAATCTCTGAGTTTGAGACCATTCTGGGCTACATAGTGAGTTCAAGGCCAGCCTGAACTACACAGAGAGACCCTGTCACAAAAAACTAAAAAACAAAAAAAAGAAAAAAAAAGTGTGAAGTAAAACGATATTGAAATAATTTTGCTAAAACTTTATTTGAAGTAAGTAGTTGGACAAACAAGATACAAAAGCTAAAGCTAAATTCTCAAGAAGTTTCAGGCAAAAAGCTGTTTATAACCTCTGTCATCAGGGACACTGATGAAAGAGTGGTAATTGTATTAAGAATATATCAGTAGGGTCGGGGATTTAGCTCAGTGGTTCCAGCACCTGCCCCGAAAGTACAAGGTCCCGAGTTCAATCCTCGGTACCAAAAAAAAAAAAAGAACATGTCAATGGTGGCACATGCCTGTGATCCTAGCACACGGGAGGCTGAGGCAGGAGGATCATAGTGAGTTCTAGGCTATCCTGGGATACATATTGAGTTCAAGGCCAGTCTGAACCACAGAGCAAGACCTTGTCTCAGAAAACCAGTAAACAGAATATATCTCTGTTTTGTAGCCAGAGATAAATGGATTCTTCATAGTACACCCAGAGGTGTAAACAATGTTGTTCCCCAGAGATCAGTACTTAGCTAAGTCCCCTTTAAAGCAGTAACTGCTGGGAGGTTCTGATACTGTGTATGCAGGTAGGAAAGAGCAAAAAACACCACCACCCAGAAAAATTTCAGTGGGCACGTGAGTAACATTTATAGATGAAAACAATCCTGACCCTCTTTGGAGGAGTGAATTCACATTTAAATACAGTACAGTACATTCAAATAAATGTTAGATGCTGAGGAAGGCATCTGATAGTCATTAGGAACTTCTGTAAGGACACTAACTCATGGACCACACAATTGGCAGTATCATCAAGTGCTGCATGGTAACAGAAAGAGTACCGAAAGCTTGAAAGAAAAATTATCCTACCAGTGAGTAAAATGTACCATACTGAAGTAATAGTAATTATTTAGCTTCAGAAAGCTTATATGTAACCTAAGGGCAACCAAAAGCATGACTACAAAAATATTTAAGGGACTGAGATGACTGCTAAATGATCATAGACTAAAAAGACAAGAAATATGAACTTTGGGAATACCCAAACTGAGAGGTATTATCACCACAGTCTACAGAAATTAGAAAAGGCATAAAAAAGAATACAAATTTGTTTACCAAATTCTGGGACCTTACAACACAGGAACATATGAAACTTATGACAAATGGACATTCAAAAGTAGGAAGTTCTGGGCCGGGGATTTAGCTCAGTGGTTTTGCTGCCTGCTGCGCAAGCGCAAGGACCCAAGTTTGATCCCTGGTACCAAAAAAAAAAAGGTAGGAAGTTCAGAGGCTAGGGATGTAGCTCAGTGGTGCAGCACTTGCCTGGAAAGCTTGAGGCCCTGAGTTCGATTTTGAGTACAAAAAAAAAAGGAAGTTCATTGATAGCTATAAAGTTAAAATTCAGTAAATTAAAACATTTAAATTTGAAATATTCATTAAAATGTTTTATGTAAGAATCAGGATTTTCTTTAATTGCTTTTTTATTCTCCTGAGGTTTACATTTGCCTTTTTTCTAATTGACAGAAGAGTATTGTACCTTTACCATATACTCAGGTTTACCCAGTCTTTTCATCATGCTATTTTATGGGATTCCCTATTTTTCTTGGAGCCATCCCTTGTTTTGAGCTGCTCTCTGGACCTAAGAGGCTAAAATTCATCCTGGGACTTCTTTTCATTGCAGCCCTGGGTTGGAGCCCTGTGCTGTGCCGGTCATGGTTTTCTACATTCTTTTGTAACTTTCAGGAAGTATGTGGGAAGATAATTCTTAGTTTTTGTATGAGAAAAAATTTCTCTTATTTCCTGCATTATCTATTTCCTCTCAGTTCCATAGGTCCTAGGGTTTTCTTCTTTATACTACTGGGAGTTCCCATTTGCCTTTGTAGCTCTTGGTTGTCTGTGTATATTTAGGATTGATGAGCTGGATGATTGAGGCCAGTGATGTGCAGTGGTTTCTCCAAGGTTCTCCCTAGCAAGTCCCATCAGCTCTATTCTTCGTGGTGCCTATACAACTGAACGTGAATGTACCTTGCCATGCATCAGACTGATAGTTTGTACAACTGGAAATAATAGATTTTATAACCTTGATTTTAATACAGAGTGGTGCATTGTGAGATAGAAATAAACTACCCGTAAGTCTTTTTGCTTATTCCTTCCCTAAGACAGGGATTCAGGTGTTCAAGGAAAATGGTACTTTGGAATTAGAAAGAATAATGAAGAAAAGATTATAAGTCAATTCAAATGATAGTGAACTTCTGCGTCACATGTTTCTGGTGATGTATGGTGTATGGAAGGATTTATAAATATGACACAGGACCTGCCCTCAAGGAACTAACTAGGGAGTCTTCGCCTTTTTTTCCTCTTAGAGCTGTTTGTTTTTGTTTTTATTTTTATTTTTATATTTTGGTACTGGGGATCGAACTCAGAACCTTGCGCTTGCGAGGCAGGTGGTGGAACCACTGAGCTAAATCCCTGGCCCAAGGTGTTTGTTTTTGGAAGCAGAGTTAGCAGTACAGCTTTGCTTCTGTGTCATCCCTGGTCCTCACAACATTTTACAAAAACCAGAATTCAGAATTCATTGGACTGGGTATCAGAAACTGAACATTTGGGTTGCATATTGACACATAGTTGCCAGTGTTGAAATGGTACCACATCCAAGTTTAGGGACTGAAGGCCATGAACTTGTGATTGTCTTCTTTAGAGTAGGATTTATAGATTTAAACGTAATCACAATTTTAGGGCATTTTTTTGTGGAAAGACCTTCTGTAGAGTATTCAGAGGGCACAGGGATTATTGTCTCATGTTTAGATGCTGCCTCATATGTCTTGTAATTTTGTCTTTATGTGGATTGTTAAAATATGTCCCTTACCTCCAGGAGACTTAGGCCATAACTCTGAAGAGTTACTGATATCACATGGTGATGACTTTAAGTACTTTGGATCCTTTGAAATATGAATACCTACCTCTTGTTGCTGGATAAGCCTTGTCCTCATACAAACTACTACGAAATAAACTAGTTACAAGTAAGATTACCTCTACATCTGAGAAAGTGCAGTGGGAATTGGGAACTTTGATGAAGGGACAAGATTATAAAATTAAACCCTTTTTGGATGGAAAAACTGAGGCTGTACGAATTTAAGCAGTTTCCTTAAGTAATTTAACAGCAGAATTGGAACCCTAGAACCCAGCCTCAACAAGACTCCCAGCCTGTGGGGTTAACATTTTAAAGTGCTGTCATGCTATAAAGATATCCCCAAGAATAGAATAATACAGACAAATGTGTGCTTGTGTAGGGGAATCAGATTAGAGGAGGGTATATTTGGCCAATAAGTATTTATCCAGTGTGTAACAGTATCTGACACGTAGTAGGTGTTGGGTAAATGTTTGCAAGCATTAGGTGCTTTCTCTGAGCAAGGTTTTATGTTCGGTGCCATGAAGAAATGTAATATGTGTCAGGGATCCATCTTGTTCAAGGAACTTTCAGGTTGATTGGCAATTTAAGACAATTGGAAAGTTGACTAGCAGATGTCAAGGTAATGATAGTGTGACCAAGAAAGACTTGATTAGGGAAAGTTTGCAGTAGGCCTCAAAAGGATTTAACCAAATGTATTGTTACATTTTTATTTTATTCCATTACAAATGTTGTGCATACCCCTTTGTTATACCTACCTAGAAATTGGAGTTCTGTATTTATTCTTACCTGTGACAGTTCTTACTAAGCCTTAATGAACTGTGTTAGATGAACTCCCAAGTTCTCTACATCTCGAGGTTTCATTAATTTACTTTTATAGTTGGGTCTTGTTCTTGCTGCCCATATAGATTATGTTGAATCAATTATGGTTTAATTCAGTACATACTATTGAGTATCTCCTATTGTGCAGGCACTGTGCTGGGGTAGAAATAAATACAATAATGCTACACAGAATAATGGGACCCAAAGATGTAATCAGATGCACTGCTGTGAGGCAAAGATATCATTGAAAGCATGTGTGGGGGATACCCATAGCTGAGAGCACAGGAGATTTTAATTCTCTTTGAGCAAGGGCAAGAAAGGCTTTCTGGAAAAGGTGACAGCTGGGTTTTAAAGAAAAATAAGAGCTTTCCTAATGCAAGGAATGGAAAGCCATTTCAGGTAGAGAAGATAGCCATATCTGAAATAGCATGGGGGTATTAAGACAGTTTTGAACAATATTGCTGGGATATAAAGTGAGAGGCTTAGGAAGGGGCTATAAGAAACAGTAGGCACAAATGTAGAGTGGGCCTGATGGTTTTGGTATTCCATAACCTGATAATCAGTTGGGAGTTTTAGTTAGTCCAAATGGAAGGTTAACTAAATAGGTTTTTTCCCTCTTTCTCTGAATGCCTTGGGAGAAGAACCAACGCAAAAGATCGAGTGGTGATATGTGCCTGAAAGTCCAGCTACTCAGGAGGTTGAGCAAGTTCAATGCCAGCCTTGATAATTTAGTGAGACCTTATCTCAAAATTAAAAAAAAATTAAGGACTAGATATGTAGCTCAGTGGTAGAGTATTTGCATAGCATAGGCAAAGCCCTGGGGTTTCAATCCACAGTAGCACACTCCTTCAAAAAAAAAATCACTGAAGTTGGAGATGAGTAGATTTTTGGAAGAGGTTTTGGACTTAAATGATAATTAACAAAAAGAAGGCTTTTAGAAATGTGACAGTAGTAAATTATTGGGCATGTCTAATCTGGTAGCATCACCTGGAGTGAAATGTTCAAGCAGGGGTTTTGAGGCAGTTGTATATTAGGGAATAGTACGAAGTAGGAGCATCTCTGACAGTATGCTTTTTTCTGTCACCTGATTCCCAGAAGAACAACTGTCGGAGCTCTGTGCTGGATGATTCTGTGGGGCCAAGGGCAACACAATCCAGGGCAACACAAAATTGGCTTTGTACCAGAGGGCTTTGTTGTTTTGTCTCCTGTCATCACCTCATCTGAGATATTTGTTGTTCCTGAGTAGGGCAGTGAAGTGATGTGTATGCCTAAGTTATATGAGAGAGTTACACACTTCTAGAATGTTTGATATTTAACTCCCTCCAGAATGCTGCAGAATTAGTGTTGTCTCAGATTTTAAGCTTTTACTTAGATTCCTGTGTTCTATTAATTTATAATAGTTTGTCTTTAATATTTCATAGGCTTTCTTGATCATGGATGGTGAAGATATACCAGATTTTTCAAGTTTAAAGGAAGAAACTGCTTATTGGAAGGAGCTTTCCTTGAAGTATAAGCAAAGGTAATGTGGAAAAGTATATTAAAAGTAGGGGAATTTAAATAAAGCTGGGGATTTAGCTCAGTGGTGCTGCGGACTGCCTCACAAATACAAGGTCCTGAGTTCGAGCCCTGGTACCCAAAAAAGAAAACAAAGTAAGGGAAGGAATTTGGAATACACTGTGTCTAGGTTGTGCTCCCCCCACCCCCACTTCATACTGGAGGTTGAACCTACTTTACCCAAAGCTACATCTCCAGTCCTTTTTTATTATTTTGGAACAGAGCCTCACTAAGTTGCTAAGTTACCCATGCTTGGTTAGAATTTGTAATCCTCCTGCTTCACCCTCCTAGAGTTCTAGGATTACAGGCTTGTGCTTTTTTTTTTTTTTTTTTTTAAGACAAAGCTAAATTTAGAGTTTCAGACTTCAGATTGTGATTTTAGAAATAGTTATAACATTGCTTGTATTTTAAGTAGCATAAAAATGCCATAAATCTTTATTGTTTAGAAGTAGTAGGAAAACGTAGTGTCTTCGTGAGTTCTTCTGACATTTTGCCTCTTTGAATGTTTATTACTAGACCGGACCATCTTTGGTCTGCTGTGTGTGTACTATTTCTCCCTCACTTGCCCATTTGGAGGATGCTGTAACGGACTTCAATTCTCTCTAGGCAAGCCTTATTAGTATCTGGTGCCAGCCAAGCTTTGACAGAGGAGGATGTGCATCAGGGCTGTGGAACATTTTATATAAATTTCAATTATTTTACTTAGTTGGGAGACTTATGGATAATAACTTTTCCATACTGAACTTGTCTTAAATTTCTTTGTTAAGAATGGAATAATTTTTTACACATTTTCCTATTTTGGTTAACAGAATTTACTGAGCCTTATCAAACCTTATTGATCTGTCATTGTTGTCACTGAAGCCAGTTACTCTGTTGTACCAGTGGATATAGATGATATGTATCTATGGCAGCCACTCTTCTTTTTTGTGTCACAGATGACTTCATGTGCTGGATAAACCTATGGACCTCTCCTCTGAATGTTTGTAAATGTATAAAATTAAATAGAGACATTGCAGAGGAAACCAATTATTTGAAAGCAATTTATCTAACTATTAAACTAATTTGTAGTATAGTGATAATGTGTCAGTGCATACTAAGATCTAATGGAGTGTGTAATAACAAATTTTGAATTAGTGGTGAGAATAAATGACATTTAGAGATACCTGCAAAACTCTGTTATGATGTGAGTATCTGTGATTTCTCTTGAACAGAATTGAATAATAACCCAGTTTAAGTTGCTTTAATGAAAATAAAGATATATTTTTTCTTCCAGTTTTTAAGTTCTATGGAGGAAGAAGCTAATGATATTGAACCATGTACACTTTCATAACTGTTATAATCACTGATTTGTGAGTCTTTTGGGGGCTTATAGTTCATTTTCATTGAACCTTAAATGTATAGAGTAAAAATACAAAGTAGATTGTTTTTATTGTTTAGCATATTTTATGAGAACATATGTTTTCAGACAAAGATTATTGAATTGATGTATAATTATCTTCAAGATGATCCTGTAGTTCCTACTATTCCTCATCTTTCCCACTTTGTTTCTGATTAGCTTCCAGGAAGCTCGGGATGAGCTAGTTGAATTCCAGGAAGGAAGCAGAGAATTAGAAGCAGAGTTGGAGGCACAATTAGAACAGGCAGAGCAAAGAAATAGAGACCTGCAAGCTGATAACCAAAGATTGAAATATGAAGTGGAGGCATTAAAGGTAATTGTGACAGAACTGGCATCTAATGTACTGGATTGTATTAAAATGAGAAATAATATTTTTGAAATGCTGTGTAAGAATAGCAAGCAACCAAAAAATGTTTTAAAAAGCTTAAAGTGAATTTTTAAGTAAAATGTTTTCTTTCATTGAACCAAGAGAAAGGTGGTTCAGAGTTTAGGGGTTCACTATGAAATCTTTGGCTCTCAGTTTTCTAGCTGTAATGTTCCTAGTTATATTTTGTTTTAGTTTTTGCAGTTTTCTTTCTTTTTTGAGACAGGGTCTTCCTAGGGAGACCAGGCTGGCCTCAAACTCACAGTGATTCTTCTGCCTCAGCCTCCTGTGTGCTGGGATTATAGGTGTGCACCAGCATGCCTGGCAGTTCTTACAGTTTTCAAAAGCTACCTGATGATTTATTTTGATAAATTGTTTGCCTCATTGTGTGTATTTTAAAATTATATTTATATGAAATGTGCATTTATTTCATTGTTCATAGCCCCTTCAGTTTTGGAATTTAATTTGGTTTAAAATTTTCTCTGCTAAAAAGGAATTTTTTGGAGTGAACGGATTAATCTCTGTCCACTCTTCATCACTCTCTTTAGCCAACTGCATGGGAATATTTTTGTTAGGGAGTCGGTGGGACTGGGAAAGGTGGGGAGGCCAGGCAAGGGGTAGGGAATTTGAACTCTGAGTGGCAGTCTTTTTCTCAGTGTTTATCCTGGGTTGCATTTAGCTTGAGAACACAGAGGTTTCTCTATCATATTTGGAGATTTTTGAGACAAGGGTTTTCTTTTCTTTTCTTTTTTGTGGTACTGGGGATTGAACTCAGGGCCTTCACACTAAGTTATAGCCCTAGCCCTATTTACATATTTAACCTTTAAATATTAGTATGTTTGCTGTGTATATTGATTACATTCATTGTGGGGGTTGGTATATGTACATACCATGACACATTTTAATGCTTTTCTCCTCTGTTTAACCCTCTTTCCTTCCCTTCATTCCTAATTCCCTTTCCCATTTGCAGAGGATCTATCTACTTCATATTATCCTTTCTTTTGCTCTTTAAGTTATTTATATTTTTGGTTTCTCATAAAAGAGTAACCATGCAGTATTTATGCTTGTGTGTCTGATTTATTTCATTTCACATTAGGGTCTTAAGGTGCATCCATTTTCCTACAAATGACTCAAATTTATCTTTCTTTGTGGTTGAATAATACTCCATATAGGGCCGGGGATTTAGCTCAGTGGTTTCGCCACCTGCTGCGCAAACCCAAGGACCCCGAGTTCAATCCCCGGTACCAAAAGAAAAAAAAACAACAAAAAACTCCATATATATATCACATTTTCTTTATCCACCTGTCGATTGGCATATAGGCCACTTCGAAGATAATTGTGCTGCTATAAGCATGGGTATGCATGTATCACTGTAGTATAATTCTTTGGGCAACATACCTAGAAGGAGAATAGCTATTATTTTTTTGAGACAGGTTCTTAGTAAGGGCTCAGTGGCCCAGGTTGGGCTTGAACTTGGATCCTCCTAACTCAGCTTCCCAGAATGCTTGGCTTACAGGCATGTTCTACCATGCCTGGCAAGGGTTTCATTATTTTATTTCTTTTTAGAGAGAGTATTATTAGAGTTATTTCTGAGGGTAAAATTGTTGGCTGAATTTTATGTGAGTTAAGGTCCTTAGAATACATGTGTCGTTGAATTCTTTTAAAAATCTTATTAAAAAAATAAAACTTTGTGAAAAGGAGAGGGAAACCATCAACTCAGAGTATGGGTGAGTTCCTTGAAGTTTTTTATTGGGTTATATTCTTTATTAAAGAAGACTATATTAATAATACATCCTTCTCTATGCTTTCAGGAGAAACTAGAACATCAGTACGCACAGAGCTACAAGCAGGTTTCTGTATTAGAAGATGATTTAAGTCAGACCAGGGCCATTAAGGAGCAGTTGCATAAGTATGTAAGAGAGCTGGAGCAGGCCAATGATGACCTAGAGCGAGCAAAAAGGTAAATGGTGTGTATTTTGTGAGAAAAGTCAAAGATGGCAATCAGTGATTAAAATCTATATCATTAGGATCAACCTTTTATCTAAATCTTAGTCCCAGAACATTTCCTTTTGGTATTTCATGTCACTTGTAACTCATTGGATTGAAAGGGTCCAGAAATCCTTATCTTCCCTGATAACATTCCTCCAAGCTTTTCTTTTAATTTTTCCTTTATTTTTTTGCAGCTATTTGTTAACCCTTCTGGTTCTTCTTTAAAACTTGTCTCATGCATCCCTCCATCTTCTCTCTGTGTTTTCAGTATTACCACACTTTGTGTGTAGGTCCTCAAGCCTTACACTTGGATTCTGTAGTTATATCCTAGCAAATTTATATTCCTTTTCTTTATGTTTAAATACTGCCTAATGAATTTTTCCTAAATAATTGCATTTATAACAGTTTTCCTGTGCAACCTGTAGTGACTTGCTATTACTATTACCAAGTTTTTATGCCTCTGTAATTAGTTGTTTCCTAACTATTCCAAATCTAATTCCTATTACCTTACAGTTATTGCCTAGTATTTCTTTCCCTAATATTTATCTAGTGACTTTTTTTTTTTGGTACCGGGGATCGAACTCAGGTCCTTGCGCTTGCGAGGCAGGCAGTGGAACTACAGAGCTAAATCCCCGGCTCTATCTAGTGACTCTTAAGTGATTGACACCGAGCTGGGGTTGAACTAAGCTAGTCACTGCCCTAGGGGCTGACAGATAAGAACTCACTTGGACAAAGGCAGTGGTAAGAAGAAGGTTTATGCTGGTGCTCCAGGGCATGACAGAGAGCGCAGTGGCAGAAGCGCCTTCTGGAACTGGGGAAGCTTTTGCAGATATTGGAGCTGTCTACGAAAGAGTTAAGAGACAGTTAACTGAGTGAAGAGACAGATACTAGGGCAGAGCAGAGAGGTAGTTGAGGTATTAATATAGTTCACTTTGACTTGTCTAGACACAGTGTGGCTGAATGAGATGAGACTGGAAGATGATCGGGGCCAGATTAGGAAGAACCTAATGTGCTGTGTTTAAGAGTTACTCTTTAGGCAGTGGGGGAGCTCTTTGAAATTTTTTTTTCTTTATACAGAGGAGTAATACCGGATTTTGATTTGAGAAGATCATGCTGAGGGGTTAGAGGCAGGGAGAAGACTTGAAGATCACTGAAGGAGTAATCTAGCTTAATGGATGAAGAATTAAGGCAGGAGACTGGAGAAGGTTGGGGCTGAAGAATAAAGAGGAAATGGATTTGAGAGACATTTTGGCAGTTGCCAGGAATTGATAAAAATGGAGATGACATTCAGAGTTCCAATCTGAGGTTAGGGAATTTTGTTTTTGCAGCAGATAGCAGAGTGGGAGGGCTCAGAGTATACTGGTACGTGTTAATATTTGTTGAATGGGGTGAGATCATTCCCGCTGAACTGGGCCATGACAGCAGGGTCAGGAATGGCATTAAAATACGTTGTTTCCATTTGTATAGCTATTTTATCTGCACATGTTATTTATTTAATTCATGAATTCCTTTTTAGAGCAACAATAGTTTCACTGGAAGACTTTGAACAAAGGCTAAATCAGGCCATTGAAAGAAATGCATTTTTAGAAAGTGAACTTGATGAAAAGGAATCTTTGTTGGTTTCTGTACAGCGGTTAAAGGATGAAGCAAGAGGTAAGATTTGTAGCTTAGAGAATATTACCTTGGTGTTTATAAGCAGAAGGATCTATTTTAATATTTTTGGGGTGCTGGAGATTGAACCTGGTGCTTTGTTGTATATACTAGGCAAGTGCTGTACTACTAAACTACATCCCCAGGCCTTTTAGAAAAATTTTGAGACAAAGCCTTGCTAAATTGCCCCAGCTGGCCAGGAACTTGGAATCCTGCCTCAGCCTCCTCAGTAGCTAGGATTACAGGTGTGTGCCACCACATCTGGCCATAGCCCTCAATTTCTTTCAAACTACAGTTTATATAATTTTGAGATGCCATGTTAAGTGTTTTTAATCTGTTAATCTGTTTATACCTGTATCATCAATGCTAAGAGGTAAGTATTATAACTATTTTGTTTTACTTTTTTTTTTTGGTTTGTTTGAGACAGGGTCTCACTGTGTAGTCAGGCTGGCCTTGAGCTCACTGTGTAGCTCAGGCTGGCTTCCAACTCATGATGATTCTGCCTCAGCCTCCCAAGTGCTGGGATTATAGGTGCATGCCACCATGTCTGGCACAGCTCTTTTATAGATGAGAAAACTGAGGCAGAAAGAGTTTGAGTTTTTTGCGAGGTAATATAGTTTGTTGGCTGTGATTCACACTCTGGTTTGTATTTCAAAGATTTAACCACTGCCACTGCACATATATATTTTTAGGTTTGTTTGGGTTTTTTTTCTTAATTGATTTTACTGAAATAGTTTTGTATGTGTATAAATATTGTTGTATACGTACTGTACATATAGTTAATACTTTCCTTTAAAATCCCCCCTTTTTTCCTTATATATAATGAAATGCAGAATAAAGAATAAAATAAAAATCACTGCCAATCCCTTTGTCTGAAGAGAATCCACTAACAGTATTTCTTCCTAGTCTTTCCTGTGACTGTATATAGCCATGTCTGTATTTTTTCCTTTATATAATGCCTGTCTCACCACCCCCCCCATCATGGGGTATGTAATCCATACCATTAAATCTTTTAAAACAGGTTTTTAAAAAAAGGTTATGGAATATTCTATTGTATATAGTCTATCTATTGAATAGTGAGTGTTTGTTGGGTGTGGTGGCGCATGCCTATAATCGTAGACTGTAATCCCAGCACTTGGGAGGCTGAGGCAGGAGGATCGCCGTGAGTTTGAGGCCAGCCTGGGCAACATAGTTAGTTCAAGGCCAGCATGAACTGCATTGCGAGACCCTGTCTCAAAAAACAAAACGCCAAAAAACCTAAAAAAAATAGTGTTTTGACTAGAATCCTCATACATGATATTTGAGCATTTTAAATGATTTTCTTAGAAGAGATTCCTTTTTTTTTTCTTTTTGGTACTGGAGATCGAACTCAGGACCTTGTGCTTGCAATGCAGGCACAGTGCTGCTGAGCTAAATCCCTGGCTCTTTAGAAGAGATTCTTAGAAATGGCAAAGGAAAAGAATGTTTTTATGCTCATAAAATGCTCACTTTTTACAAAGTTGGTATCTTTCTGCTTCCTCTGACAGTGAGAGGGGTGGTTTTACACTTTTCATCAGCATTGTCAGTAATAAAAATACTTCTAAAATGCATTCATTGAAAGATGAAAATTACTAGCTCATTGGGTTTTTTTTTTTTTTTTTTTTTGGTACTGGGGATTAGACTTGGAACCGTGTGCTTGTGAGGCACATGGCCGAACCACTGAGCTAAATCCCTGGCCAGGAACTGTCATTTTTATTACCTTTGAGATGAAAGCTATTAAGTATGATGTTCATTTTTGAGAAATAGTTTGTTAGGAAAAATGCCTCTGTGACATTTCAGATGTGACTTGCATGATGTATCTGCTTTCTCTAAGGAGTAGTACTGCTTTTGTTTGCAACATTTTGCAGATTTAAGGCAAGAACTAGCAGTTCGGGAAAGACAACAGGAAGTGACCCGAAAGTCGGCTCCTAGTTCTCCGACTCTGGACTGTGAGAAGATGGATTCTGCTGTCCAGGCTTCTCTCTCCTTGCCGGCTACGCCTGTTGGCAAAGGAACAGAAAACAGTTTTCCTTCCCTAAAAGGTTTGTTATGGTTTGTTGGTGAAGTAGGAATTCTTAAGGCTTAAACAGTAATTGGCAGTTTAAAAGTTGGTTTATTGCTATGTGAAGCAGGAGGAGGAATTGTTTTCCTAGGCCACTCATAGTAAGAAACAGGAAGGTGATTGCTACATTTAAAATAAAATTGCTGGGCATGGTGGTAAATGCCTGTAGTCCCAGTGCTCAGGAAACTGAGGCAGGAGGGTTGCCATGAGTTTGAGGCCAGCCTGGGCTACATAATGAGTTCAAGGTGAGCCTGAACTACATAGCAAGACCCTGTCTCAAAAAAAAAAAAGATCAACTTATTAAAGTGCTTTTAAAGGTTTTGGTATGTGTATGATAACTTTATAAGGACTTATAAATAAATGAGTCTGATGGTGGCAAAAAAGGGAGGATGGAAGGAAGGGGGGAGCAGAATTGAGATGTGTTAGGTACATGAACCAATTCCCTGCAATGAATGTAATCATTGTGTACTGCAAACGTACTAATAAAAATTAAAAAAAACAACAACAACAAAATATTGCTACCATCAAAAAAAGTTAAAAAGTTTTAAAGGAAAATTTATTTTTTGCTGTAGCAGTGATACATGTTTATGCAGAGTTGTTTTGTTTTGTAGTGTTGGGGATTAAACCTAGGGTCTTGCATATGCTAAGCAAGTGCCCAACCACTTAGCTACACACCTAGCCCCATGCAGAAAAAATTTAAGAACTTTGAACAGACAAAAGACAATAAATAAAAACCATCTGTAATCTTTTCATTTAAAGGCAGCTGTCCTAACACTTTGAGGTTTTTTCCTGCTGTGTATGCTTGGGTATGTTTGTGTACACCTCTATCACACACAGGTTTTGGGATCATACTTAAATACGGTTTTGTTTCTTGCTTTTGCCACTTATTATATTATGGGATACTAGAGGGCTTTGCACATAAATGTACGCAGAATCTTTGTGCTGCTAGTCGGATGCACATAAGCCTGGTTCCAATAGATATGCACATTCTGTTACATGCTTCAGGAGCTGCCATCATCAAAGGTGATGTTCCAGGTAATTGATGAGTTGTATGTTGAGTAGATTCCTTTAGCCATCAGCTGTGTTTTATTTAGCCCGGATAAGGAGAAAAATTATTATTTTTTGTACTGGAGATAGAACTCAGGACCTTATGCTTTATGCTTGCCGCTGAGCTAAATCCCCAGCCCAGGAGAAAAACTATTTAGTAGCCAGTAGGTAAAACCTTAGGATGCATTTCCAAAGCTCAGTTCATATTTTTTTTTATTTTTTGCAGTTTGCAGATCATATCTCAGTTACTCCCATTTCCTCAAGCTTCTTTTATACCAAACTGAAGCTATCTATCTTCCTGCCCAGTTTCAAAATACAGGGTTTTACCTTTCAGAGTGATATGAGAAGGTTTGCTGTCTGTGAAATTAGTACAGTAAGCTCTGTGCTGTTCGCAGTAGCCACTAGCCACATGTGACTGTTTATATTAATTTAAATGAAATACAATAAAAAATTCAGTTTCTCAGTGGTAGTAGCCGCATTTCAAATGATTAGATTTTCTTTTTTTTTTGGTCCCGGGGATTGAACTTGGGACGTTGCGCTTGTGAGGCAGGTGCTGGAACCACTGAGCTAAATCCCCAGCCGAATGATTAGATTTTCTTAGACTTGTTATGAGGTGAAATGAGATAAGGTATGTGAAAATGCTGTATAGTCATATGGTACTAGTGACGGTACTAATATGCACTGAGCTTGCTGCTGAGGACACAGAGCAGGCAGTATAGGTTATAGCAGTCAAGTTTTTCAGGATAATTAATATGTTTGAAGATTTCACAATTACTATAATCTAAGAACTAACAAACTTCTGGTTTCATGCCGTTAGACTTACACAGGTAAGTTCTGAAAATTCAGTTGTTCACTAAAAGCTTCTGTTGGGTGACACCCAAAGGCAGTGCCCATTCTTTAACAGCCGTTAAAGATTTTTTACTCAGGAACTTGGGGAGTTGACAGGATATAGAGCCTGTCCTGACACAGGATTAGATGTCAACCCCAGGCAGTAATATTTATCCAAATAGATACGTATTTACACTGGAACTGATAGCAGGAACTTTCATGAGCCTAGAAATTGCTGCATCTTGGGTCCCTGCAGTTTCAGGACATGAAGTCAGCACAGGTAGTACGATGAGAGGCACATGGTTAGAGAAGTCAGTGGCAAGATTGGAGAGGTGATCTCTGTAAAGTGGCCTGTCTTTCATTGCATCTTATTTGTATAATGCCTGTTTCCAAAAATGTTAAAGACAACTCACCTTAAAAGCACAGATTTAATAATACCTAAAAATACCTAAAAAATTACCTAAAAATTGAGAATAGAGAAAAATGAGATTCAGAATTACCTATCAAGAAATGTATAGCATTTACCTGTATCACATTGCATACTTGTTATATGCCATGTATCATTCAGATGTTGAGAATATAGTAGTGAATGAGATGAAGGCCTAACTTCCAGCGTGATTATATTTTAGAAGAGAAGAAGAAAAAAATCCTACAAAATGCCCAGAGTATTTTAGTTGCTGATTAGCACTCTGTGGAAAACAAACATGAAAAAAAAAAAAAAAAGAACTAATACTTATTAAGTACTTGTGTGGTAAACATTTTAAAAGTCTATTAAGTAATTACTAACAATGTTTTGACAGTAAGTGCTACTTGCCCCTTTTACATTTGAATAACGTACCCAAAGTCACATAGTTAATAAATGGCAGAATTGGTATTCAGTTCAGAGCTCTTAACTATTATAATATGCTATCTCTTAAAGATAAAGAAATAAACGTAGTTGAAAACCTTTACTGAAGCGTATGATAGAGGATGTGAGTAAATATGGTAAATACTGTGATTTTGAATGGGAATCAATCTGTAATTTTGCCTTCTTACAGAAGTCCTTAACAGGATTTTTAAAATTGAGAAGTTGATGGTAAAGTTATTCTGTTTTTTTAATGTGTGCAACAATAGTCAAGAAAAGTTTGAAGTAGGCTAATATTAGCCAGGTGTGGTGGCACACACCTGTAATTTCAGGAGTCTGCGAGGCTGAGGCAGGAGGATCTCAAGTTTGAGGCCAAGCTAGAAAACTAGTGATAATCTTGTCTCAAAATATAAAAGGGCTGGTGCTATAACTCCTCAATGTGAAGGCCCTGGGTTTAATCTCAAGCACTGCTGGAAAAAAAAAAAAGACTAGTAAAGGGTCTCAGCATTTGAAATACCAAACATAACATGCTTCTTCTGGTCATATATTGAATCAGTACATGGTACTCATTAATACGTATAGTTTTTGGGTTTTTTTATGTGAAGGTTTAAAAACATGAAAAAAGTAGATACTTCTGGTGGAACAGACTATATTCAAATGTTTAAAGAATTCAGCCTGTAATTATGGTACATGAAGCCTACATGTTGGAAATTTAGTGGTATTAGGACAGCTGGCTATCCATTAGGAGGAAAAAAGTTTAGATCATGTCCCATATCTTAGGCAACTATAAATTACAGCTGCATTAAGTTATCTAAACATTTTTTTGGGGTGTGGTGCTGGGGATCAAACCCAGGACCCTACACATGCTAGGCAAGTGCTCTGCTACTGAGCCATATCCCATTCCCTAGATGTTAAAAAAAAATCTAAATGTAAAAAATTTAGAAAATTACTAGGAGAAAATGTTGGGAACATTTTTACAATAGTGAAATGGGGCAGCCAACTGTTCCCCCCAAAACACAAAGTTTGAAAGAAATGTCACACTGCATATATACAGCATATATGAGAGAAAGAGTGCATATCCATAGTCTGCTGTGCAGATTGGTGAAGACAGCCAAGTATAGAAAGGTGCAAAGAATAAACAGATTATTTCCAGAAGAGGAGCTTCAAATGCCTCCTTATTGTAGAAATAAAAATTAAGACAACATGACTATCGATTGCCAAAAAAAGATGATATCTAATGTTATTGAGGACACCACTATGAAGATTGCTGATATTGCCACAACTTTTTTTGTGGAGCATTTTTGCCTATTAAGGTGCAAAAAAATGGACATCCTTCTATTCTGCAGTTCTATTTTTAGGAATCTCCTCTCTAGAAATACTTAAATAGATGTTTAGCGATAAGTATCCTTGTAGCATTATTTGTAATAATGAAAAGTCAATATGGTTTAAATTATCCATCAATTTGAGAATGGTTATACCTGTTTATGATACCCCTATTCTATAGTTTATTCATAGTTTGAAATAGTATGTTGATTTTTTGAGTGTACCCTGCTTTGTAACATCAAGAATAGAATCAAATGTAAAGAGAACTGTCAGAGTCATCACTCTCCATTTCTTTTTCTCTAGCTATACCAAATGGTTTTGGAACCAGTCCACTAACTCCTTCGGCTAGGATATCAGCACTAAACATTGTGGGGGATCTCTTACGGAAAGTAGGGGTAAGCATTCAATTATTTATCACTGGGCGTTTTTACTGCCAGAGTAGTATTGAATTGTTTTTTAGCTTGAAGTGAAGGAAGAAAAAAAATGGATACCTTCCTGTGGTAAAATCTGTAATGAAGCTGAGAAGCAAAAGCATCTAGTGACTAGCAGTGACTAGTCCAAGGAGGAACCTTCAGTGTTGGGCCTGCTGTGCCTTTGCCAGAAGGGCCTGAGCTCTCAGGTTATCACTTGGCATTTTTCCTGTCTCCCCATTGCTGTGCCAGCAGCCCAGCACTCCCGTCCTTATCTGAAATACTTCCTAAGGCCTGCTGTATTATCTTTGATCATCCTTTAATCATAGTTTTTGCCCTGTCTTTATCCTCGTAGTTGTTCCCTTGTCTTTTATTTTGTGAGATGTTAGCACTTGGCTTGTGGCATTACTTAGTAGTGTACTCTTTGTCTCAGTCTTACTGTTCTTGGGTTCTCTCTACTGGCATTACAGACCAGTTTGGTTCTTGAAAAAAAATTTTTTTGAGGTATGTATAGTCTTACTGTGTTGCACCTGTGCTCAAGTGATCCTTTTGCCTAAATCCACCACAGTAGCTGGGACCACTGGCACTTACTACCATATCTCTTGCTTTCACTTCTTTCCTACTCCTCCATGAACCCTCAGATCACTTACTGTGTTGCTGTTCACTTCGTGGTCTTTTGGCCATAAAGGAGACTTGCGATCTGGAATAGTCAAACAGTTGGATTACTTGAAACAGTTATAGGACCATGTAGATTTACATCATTACTATGTACTTAGCAGTTTTGGCATTAGCTTCCTTTCCCATTTCCCTCATTTGGTTTTACTTTTCTTTTTCAATAATCAACCCTTGTAGCTTCCCACCGTGCACTGTCCTTTCATTTACTTTTGTGTGAAACACTGTGAAAAAAGTAGAAACTGCATTCTACTGCATTATCAGTTTATTAAAGGAGAAATGGAAAGCCATAGCACAAAGTCTTATGTTGTCTTTTTTGGCTCATAAAATGGATTATTTTCTATCAGATTTGCTCTAAATCCTCATTTTACAATTACTACAAAAAGTAATGTGCATAAGTCACTATGCAGCACTAAAATAATATTTCCTCACTCCTAAGATAACTAACTACTTTAAAAAAACTGGGGGTCGGGGATTTAGTTCAGTGGTTATGCCGCCTGCTGCGCAAGCGTAAGGACCCAAGTTCAATCCCTGGTACCAAAAAAAAAAAACAAAAACAAAACTGGGCCAGGGATTTAGTTTAGTGGTCCCGTCGCCTGCCTTGCAAGTGCAAGGTCCTGAGTTCGATCCCCGGTACCAAACAAAACCAAACTATTTATTGTAAGAATTATGGTGTTTATCTCTGTAGCTTAAAATGATGTGCGTATTTTTCTTTATTTAATTAACTTTAAGCAAAAAAAAAAAAAAAAGTAACCCACCTCCTCTAAATTTTGTTTTTAGTTTTTATTTTCCGTTGACTATTTTTTAAAAATTTAAATAACTTTTTTGTTGAGGTTGTTATTGTTGATTGGTGCTAGGAATTGAACCGAGGATCTCACACATGTAGGGCATACATTTTTCCCCTGAACTATATCCCCAGCCCTAAATAACTATTCTTAAACTTCTGTACCTCAACCCTGTTTGCTCCTTTTCCTTCCTGCTACTCCACTTTCCCTTGTTGAGTTCTGTTGGTTGTGGGTTCCCAATTGATTGGTTCTAAAAATTGAAAAATAGGTCAAACAGCCTTTACAGTTTGGTGCCCATGTATGTATCATTAACTGTGTAACCAGGGCAGGAGCTAGGCTCTTTATATTTGTGCCACTCAACAAGTATTTTCAGCATTTTGTTCTTTATCATTTACTCAAAATGATATCATATTTATAATTGTAATCTTCTTTTTCTTAGCATTTTGAATTACCTTTCCTTCTTATGGTAGAAGAAACATACACTTTGTGATATCTCTTTCAGCTCTTCATTCATGCTCTGAGAATATCCTGATTGGCTTCTCGGGCTGTGTGGCACCACTGTCAGCCTTGAATTTCTTACACTCTTGGATTATTTGTCTATCCCTTGGCCTCATGTTTTTTCTTGTTTGTTTTGCTTCTGTAAGTAATTTATTAGAAGCAGTGATGAAAGCAGTGATGATTAATTTTTAGCTCTCACATGGTTTACCCATTAAGCTAAATTTCTCTTCTAAGAAGTCACCAAAACTTTTTGTGCAGTTATCCATCAACCCCTACATGTTTTCGTGCACATTTCACAACTCTTTGTGAAACAACTCTGTATACAACTCTGTCCGCTGACTTGAACTTGAAGTTCCTTCCCTACCTTTTTTTTTTGGTACCAGGGATCGAAATCAGGTCCTTGCACTTGCAGGATAGGTGGCGGAACCACTGAGCTAAATCCCTGGCCCCTCCTTCCCTACTCTTATATCCTCTTCCCAGAGAAAACCAAATCCTCTGATTTAAACTTAATTAAATTCTTCTCTCACCTTTTGGTATTTCCTTCCTGTTATCACTGTGGCCATTATTCCTTTTTGTCTCAGTGGAAGAAGTGTCAGAATTTTGTGTCTCTGTGCTTTGGATTCCAATCCTTCTCATCTTCTCATCTTTATTTCTCTACATATGTGTTAATATTTATGTATTACACAATATTTGTTATCTATATACTGTATACTCTATATGTGATGTTTATGTGTTACATATTACCTCCCTTCCCCTGGGATCAAACCCAGGGCTTCCTGTATGCTAAGCATGTGCTTTGCCACTGAGCTATAGTTCTAACCCTTACATAATTTTTTTATTCTTAAAAAACAGAAATGAAAGCAGCTGTTCTTTCTTTTTATGCGACATCTCTCCTTAGCCATTACCCTTCTCTCTTCCCTTCACGGGTAAGCTTTTTGAAAACGTGTCTGCACTATTGTTAGCATTCCACTAAAACTGCTCACCATGATCTCAGTGCTGTCAAGTCCAATGTGTGGGGTTCTAATTTTATTTGAGACATTCATCACTGACCCCCTACCCCTGAAATGTCTTCTGTCCTCTGCTTCCCTGATGTTATTCTGTGGCTTCTCCCACCTGCCTGCCCATTTCTGTTAGTCATCTTGTTGGGTCTTTATCTGTCCACGTTTTCAGTGTTGGTTTTGCTAAGAGTTCTGTACTTAACTTCCTGATATTCAGCCCTGGTTTCCTCTTAATTCTGGGTTTGGATAGCTTCCAAATCTTTTTTTTCTTCTTTTTTTTTTTCTTTTCTTTTTTTTTTCTTTTTTTCCAAATCTTAATCTGTAGACCCCTTTTTATCTTGAAAGGATCAGGTGCTTGTATAAATGTCTAGCTGGTGCCTTAAACATAACTTGTGCCTGCCATATAATAGATGCTCAGCAGATATTTAAATGAGTGGACAAGTATCTTCCTTGGGGAATTAATAGGGAATTAATGGTTCTCAGTATCTACTGTGGATGTGTATATGTACAAGTCACTGAAGTCACTCAGCTTATCCTACAAGTTCATTACCTTTCTTCCTTCCAGTCATTATTTTATTAGCTTATTATACTTTTATCATAGGAACGAAGAAGAGAAGGAGCAGCAGTGTGTTTTTATTGCCATATCACTAAAATTGTGGGGTTGGGACGTCCAAATGGATTCTCATAATGAAGTGTACGTTATCTATAAATTTAATTTATTGCATTTCTAATCCTTTAGTGTCATGGATAACAGGAAAGGACTGTGTTTTTACAGTCTGTATCTCTTTCTTTCTCTCTCTTTTTTTTTTTTAAATTTTGCCATAGATTATATTTTCCTTTTTAGGGGTAGTCAGTGTGTTGATGGGAAGTGGGGGGAGTTGGTGAAATCTGCATGTATGAAAATAGTTGAGAAACTCCTGTTCTCTCCACATCATCTGTTGACAGAGCTTGGCACATGCCAGGTATAAAGGTACTTGATTTAGAGGCAAATGTTAAAAAGGGCAGCCAATATAAATTACAGGTGAATTTTTAATTACAGATAAAGGGTTTCAGGTAAACATTTTACAGTGTGCTTTCAGAAATAACTTCATGTGAGGTGGTGTAAGTTCTTGCATCTATTTTGTTACAATGGAAAAAACTAGTCTGAGAACCTATTAAAATAATTGGCCACATCAAAATATTCTTAATTATTTTTGGATTCTTTATAATGTTTGCTCCCATCACAAACACACACGCACACACACACACTCCAATCCCAATCCCAACCAGTAAACTGAGAGGAATAAGTAAAATACTCATTAGAAATAGAGTCAGGACAAACATTCGCTTTTTCTAATAGAAAGATTATGACTTAACTAACCATCATTATCAACTGGAAGAGTAAGGGTTGAGACTTGAAATAGAAATGTTTTGGAATGCAAAATTTGCTGTGCAGCTACTGTTTTGACACTCACATCATTCCTTTTTCCTTTTTTTAGGCTTTAGAATCCAAGTTAGCAGCTTGCAGGAATTTTGCAAAGGACCAAGCAGCACGAAAATCTTATATTTCAGGGAATGTTAACTGTGGAGTGATGAATAGCAATGGCACAAAGTTCACTCGATCAGGGCACACGTCTTTCTTCGACAAAGGGTAAGTTCTGGACTTTTTAAGTGATCAGTTTTGGAGCAGTAGTGTTTGAGAGTATTAACTGAGGTTACTGAAATCTTAAGAAGATGAATTCAGTGTGATAAACCTACCTGAAGCCTATTCTCATTCAAATCTTTGGGGACAGAAGTTTGTTGTTGTCTTTTGATCCTCATGGAGTCTGTTGCCCCGGGAACCTTTTGTTCTGGGAGCAGACTCTTAAAAGGCAGCAGTGCTGGACTTAGGAGGTTCTGCCTAGCTGGGGTGTGGTCCCCATTCTGCAGGTGCTTACAGTTTGGTAGACTTGCTCAGGAAATTTTTTTAAATGCAGAAGAGAACACTGTAATTATGTATATGCAAACTCTAGCAAACCGTTTATCTGAAGGTTTTAGAAATATACAAAGCCCTGAAGTATTTAGGCATTCTCAGTGTAGGAGATACAACTTCTTTATGAAGTGAAGATTTTTTTTGGGATGACTGTTATTTTTAAAAACTCATCTTAAGATTAGGGGCCAGGGATTTAGCTCAGTGGTTCCGTCACCTGCCTCACAAGCAGAAGGACCCGAGTTCGATCCCCGGTACCAAAATAAAAGATTGAAGCAGTGGTATATCCTTAATGCAAAAAATTCCACTTGATATAGAAGTATGTGAAGTAAAAAATAACTGTTGTCTGTTTTCATATTTTTTGCATGCCTTTTTTTTTGGAGGGGGGTACTGAGGATCAAACTCGGGACCTTGTGCTTGCGAGGCAGGTGGCAGAACCACAGAGCTAAATCCTGGCCCCTGCATTCCTTATTTTTAAGGATCTAAAATCATATTTTTATGCATCTGCTATAAACTTTTTACAATACCCAGGATTATACTTTATTGTTTTGCAACATGCCTGTTATGACTTACATTGCCAGTATCTTTCCATATCAGGACATGTAACTGCCTCATATTTTAAAATTTAAATAGTGCATGGCAATCCTTTTGTTATGGACATGTCTTGATATAGGGAACTCGTGATTGCCTGTGGTCTGGGGATACTGACCATCTTACCTTAGGTAATGTGCTGGAATAGCACCTAGGCACTCATGACCGTCTTCTGTCTCTGCTTTAAGTCGTATGGGTAGTTCTTTCTTGTTTTTCTGTTGAAGCAATGCAGGGAAAACAAATTTTCATAATTTCTTAAAGGAGCTTATATTTTTTACTGTCCTCAATAATCATGACATGTTACAGCAGGCCAGATTTGATACACAATCCACTCTGGTTCTGGTTCTGGTTCATCTTCATTACTTAAGAAAATTCTATCCTGAAATATTTACAGTTCATTAAGGACATTTGATTAAAAACATATTCTAGGGTCAGGGATTTAGCTCAGTGGTTCTACCGCCTGCCTCACAAGCGCAAGGACCCAAGTTTGATCCCTGGTACCAAAAAAACCCCCCAAAATAATATTCTAAAATATCAGCATATAAAACAGAATTCTATTCTAATTTTGAGAGTTCTCCAGATGGCCTAAGTATGAAGTTAATTTTCCTTAGGCTTAGGAGTTTCAGGTAAACTTGAGGAGTGCTCTGTTTCTATACTGTTATAGTGCATGGAATGGATAGATGATTCTACATTAGAGTAGCCCTTTCCTCCAAATTATATGAGGAAAGCTTAGGGGAAGCCTTCAAGAGTGTTGGAAACAGTATCTAATTATTTGTTCCTGCAACTTGTAATTACCTTCAGTAGAGTAGTTACTAGTCTTTCTCTGAAATCACAGTACTTGATGGAGTTTGGGTACTGTATGACATGAGAACAGACATGGGCCAGAACTGGATTGGTTGGACAGGGGCCTTTTGTGGAAAGTGCTTCAGGATGATCACAAGGGAGAGAACACACTGTCTATCCTGGCTTACTGCTGCCGCCTTTAACTTGCAGAGCACCAGGGCAGCATTGCCCAGAGTTGAGCTTGGTCTTGGGGAGATGTGGAGGATTCATGGCAGGGTGAAAACAGGAGTGGGCTTGGGCTCTCTGCCTGGACCCCTACCCCTGAGGAACAGCCTCGTTGCAGTGTAGGCCTTATTTCCTGAACTGAACCTGGAAGGGTACTTCCTGATTGAATAAGTTTCCAGTGATACTTGGTTTTGGCCCAATATTTTATAAATTTTATTTTGTACTGTGGGCATAATGAAATATGCTTTTGTAGACTGGCCCTTGTTTAAGTGTTAACTTATTTGACAAATGGATTGTATATGCCCACTGCAATAGTAGTCTACTGTTGCTTGAGCAATCTTTGTCTAGTTACCATATTCCTGAGGCTAGCTCTATGGATTTGCTGCTTTGCTCTGATTCTGACTTTCTCTGGCGTATTTGGCTTTTCACCTCTCGTCTTTCTTCTCTTGACCTATCCAGTAGATAAAAACCAAGATGGTGTGTACCAGTTGCAAAAGGAAAGGGGAAAAAGCTGACTCCCAGGTCTACCATTAAATCTGGCAGGTGGCATAAAAGAAAACAGTCTTGGCTGAGCATGGTGACCCATGCCTGTAATTCCAGCACTTGGGGGGCTGAGGTGGGAAGATGGCCATGAGTTCAAGGCCAGGCTGGACTACATAGTGAATTCAAGGCCAGCCTGAACTACACAGTGAGACCTTGTCTCAAAAAAAAAAAAAAAAAAGAAACCAGTCTTTAAAGAAGTAAAGAAGTGTGGCTTGCCATTTAGCATGTGAAAAATCTTTCCATTTTAAAAAGCCCTTGGGTCTAGAACTTGCCTGCCCTGCCTCTCCTGAGGAGTCTGTACAGTAGGCTGTTTGTACGACTGGAGACCCCAAAGGTGGATTGTTGGGGGACAAATTTATCAGTGGTTCCTGTGCCTGTGGGGGCACACATTCATCTCACCTTTTCTCCCTTCACAACCTTCAGGTGTAATGAAGCTTTACCACATGAAACCATACCTAAATGGAGAACTTTGCTTTATAGGGAGTATTTTGAGGGCTTCTTGGAACTGAGATTTTTATCTAGCCTGGGATCTCTCTGCCAGTACCTCAAATGCAGGCTGCTGTGCCTGCTTGGCACTGGTTCCTCCCACCTCTGAGCACCCTTTATGTCTTCATCTAAAAGGGTACAGATTTCATGAGTGGTACAGTCACTTGAATTTGTTCCAAACTGTGCATATTTTTTTCTCCTTAGCTGTAGTTTCTTATATTTTACTTGCCCTATTTTTGCAAGCCAGTCTATTTCTTTTGAGCTGTGTGTAGGTGGGCACAGGCTAGTTTTAGGCACGATATGAAAATAGTATTTGTATTACTGTTTAATACTCTTTCCTTTTTTTTTATTAGGCAAGAAAAAGTCATATTTCCCACGTTGTTCCTGGGTAACTGAATTTGTTTGCTGTGCTTTCTTTCCCTCTTTCTTCATCATGGTGTGTGGTGGAAGAAACATTAACAAACTGGTTTTACTAACTGCATGGAGCTGACTCAGCTTTAACCAACTTATAGCCCATGAGTGAGCCTTGACTATATACTGTTATTATTAGTTCAGCAGTGCAGAACAAAAACACTCCAGTGGCTGTGCATGGGGGTATGTACCTGCAATCCCAGCTACTTGGGAGGTTGAGGCGAGAGGTTCACTTGAGCCCAGGAGTTTGAGGTCAACATAGGCAACATACTGAGAACCCATCCCAACAAAACAAACCATCAGTACAGTAATCTTGGGCAGCTGCGATAGCATGCCTGGTGGCACTGACCACGTGGGGCAGGGCACTGTGTTGATGTCAGAGTCCAGGGTGGGGCTATGTGTCATTGTTAGGTCCTAGGATCACATTTGTTTGTCTTAATGGTGATGGAGTTCTTTCTGTCCTCCAGTTACTTATTTTCTCGACTGGGGCCTCCTTTGCCTCTGCACTTGATCTTGTATTCAGAATTAAACTGGAATGGTAGATAGGACGTATGTGTAAGATCTACCTTACATTTCAGAGCTCCTTTTCTGTTTGCGCAGCCTGGGCTGAAGATTGAGCTGGCTGGAGCTGCTGAGTTTCTTTTTACCCACTGAAATAGGGAGATTGGGCTCTAGAGTGTTTCTTCCTGTTCTGAATTAGCTCAGATTGTCTTCATTTTCTCTGTACTGCCTTCTCAGGTATACCAACCTTGTTTCTTTTCCTCCTTTATCTCTGCCGTGTTAGATTTACTGTCCATTCCTGGCTGGCCTTTAAACACATTGACTCTTTTCCCTTTCTTAATACTTCTTTTGCCATTTTACAGCTGACCATAGCACCTTTTCTTAGCTGGAGTCTGTTTATCACTCTTTAACTAGACTTTGAGGTAAAAGTGTGAATTGTACAGGTCTGGAACTTTTTCCATTGATGATTCCCAGGTCTGTCTCTCCATCTTGCCTGTTCCCTCCATTCAGTCTGATGTGGCCCATGAAAACATTTCCCAGCAGCTCTTTCACTGATTCTGGTGTGTATGGAAGTGTTTCTTCTCCTGGGAACCTTTCTTCATTGCACATGTTTGCAGTTATTTGAAGGGGCCTCACAAGACTGAAAATGCTGGGGTCAGCTGCCTTTTCCCTCCGATTTTAACGTTCTACATCCACACAGATAAGTTACTTACCTAGTTCCAGTTCTCCCTTTATATTCTGGGTTGTTTTTCCCATTAGAGCTGATCTGCACTGGGAGCACCAAAGTGGTTACTTGCTGAAGAATGCTCCCCTGACTGACCAGAGGAGGCCAGGATAGATAGTGCCCTGGGCATCTGGAGGCAGGTCCCCCCTGCTTCTCCACTGACAGCTCACAAGGTGAGCTGGAGTTAATGACTGGAGCTCTCTTACTTTGGTTTCCTTAGCTATGTCACAATGGGGATGAACTTGATATTTCTTAAAAGCCCATCAGTCTAGAAAATGCTGGTATCCTGCCCCTAAACCTGTATTTGGTGCCACCCTTGTGGTTGCTTCCTTTGCATGCTCTGGTGGACAAGGTGCCAGAATCTTCTTGGCAACCCAGAGTACTCCTGCTCTCTGTTGGGTTTCTGCAGTACAGCTTGCCCTAATGCAGTGATCTGTGAGGCTGGGAAATAGATTCACATATTGGAAGCTGAGGCCATTTGTCTAGTTCTTCCCGAGGATCCTGGGAGAAGCAGGTATTGGGGACACTGGGACTAGCCAAACAGATGACATATGGGGCTTACTAGGTGAGCACCACAATGGTACATAGGCTATGGTCTTGTGCTTCAGAAGAGGCACAGGCATGTAGCCTTGGGAGAGTGGACAGGGATGATTTAAAGTGTTCAAATGAAGCTCAAAAGTCAGACCTCCCTCAGCCTAGAAAGGGAAAATCCAGGCTGTCCATCACTGAAGTAGAACAGTGTACATCAGAGAGAAAGAACATTTATCAGAGTTTTGCTCTTGGTTTCTGTGTGAGTGCCTTGATTTCAGATTCTGAATATGGTGTGTTTATTTTCTTAAGACAGGAACTCAGTTTCTTCAGAATAGCCAGGGGTTTTCTGTAAGTCTGCATGCTTGTTTTTCTTACCTCTTCAGCCTGACACTATAGGCTCCACTCTTTTTTTGAAAGAACCTCTTTTCATGAATCTGTTATGTTCAGCTCCCTGGCCCCCTGTTCCAGGGTTTTGGGGCATGGTGGACAAGTGTGGTACATGGTGGCCCCTTGTGGTTGGCTCTCTTCCCCCAAGTGGCTACTAGGCCAAATTCTCCTAGGAAGTTTTTCAGGACAGAAAGGCTGAAGTATCCCCAAAGAGGTCCAGGCCCCTTCTTTCTTCCTTCCCTTCATGGCTTGCTGCTTCCTGTGGCTGTGCTGCCATGGGGCTGGGGCTGGGCACTCCACCTAATGCACTCTGGTGCTAGTGCTTGTGTAGGGCTGGGCTGCCTGCATATTAGTCACAGAGGAAAGTCTATTTGGTGTTGCTTGGTAAATAATTTGTAACCAGTTATTTTTCTCTTATTATTTATGTACATTGTAAGATATTTGGAAATAATAAAGTATAAAGTAATAGAAAAATTAACCTAGAGGGAAGAAAAGTAACTATTGTTAAATTATATATACATGTATATACATAACATATGTATATATAGAATTCACACATTTTATATTCATATGTGTATATATCTAAAAATCCTCACATTCTAGATTTTGCTACACAGTGATGTCTATATAAGGGGCTATAGTATAGAATCTAGTATATTATAGATACAGTTTACTTTTTCCTTTCTTTTTATCATTGAACATGTGCAGTTTAGTAGCCTGCTTCTTTTTCAGTACTTCTTAGTATTAAGTACATTCTGAATATTTACCTCATACTGTTAAAAAGTATGTGGAATATAGTTTTAATGGTTATATAATGTTTTGTTGTACAATTATTTATTTACCTGGATCCCTATTGTCAGGCATTTAGACCTGCTCTGTAGGAAAAAAAAATCAGGACCACAATGGTCAGTTTGATGAAGTTGCCAAGAAAGGGCACATGGTCTCAGTACTTGAGGATTGTAAATTCTCCATTCTCTGACCAACTGATACTTTCTGGGCAGCCTCTCACCTGTAGGCTGTCAGGGCCTTACTGTGAGCCAGGAAGAGGACTATAGAAAGCAAATGGATTTTTTGTTGTGTGTAGTGATTTTAAATGATAATCTCTTTTTCTTTCCCTCCCTTCTTCTCTGCTCTGGTCACCCCACAGGGCAGTAAACGGCTTTGACCCAGCTCCTCCTCCTCCTGGTCTGGGGTCCTCACGTCCGTCATCAGCACCGGGTATGCTGCCTCTCAGTGTGTGAGTGCCCGGCCTCCGGGTGGAGGCTCCTGCCCTCCTCCAACAACCCAGGACACCCACACCTCACCCTTCGGTGCCTGGGCCCAGCCCTGTGTCCCTCTTCCTGCCTCCCCATGGCTGGCAGAGGGCAGGCTGCATGCAGTGGTGGCTGCTGGGCCTTGCCCAGCTCCAGGACTCTGCGCGATCTCAATACTGGCTATTTTCTCTTCTCGCCGTAGTGCCGTTGGTTTCACATGATTGCACTTTTGTGGGTCACAAGGTGATACATATGTGTATTACTGGGTCACTGGATGCAGAAGTACCCGTTCATCATACCTGCCTCATAGCCCCCACTCTGCTGTGCTGATAGGATTTAGTTGTGTTTAGGACATTGCAGATCTCTAAAAGTTCTTAACCCAAATCAGGTTAATGTGTGCCCTCCTCCTGAGCTCCCACCTAAGCATCTTCAGTGCTCATAATCATGTGTCCCCAGTTCCACCCTTATAGTTTGGGCCTGTTTCTGGCAAAGAGTCAGGAAGGTCACTGAATTCCGGAACATCGTCTGCACCTTCTCATTTTACATAAGCAGTCACCATTCCATATACTTGCCTCCCAAAGCAGCGAAATGCCTGTCTGAGCCATGGGTGGCAGGAGCCTCCAGGGCCTGGGCACTCCTAAGGCTAAGCCTCTGTGTTGCCTCCTCTTCCACGTGCCTCAGACTCAGGGGAGGTAGGTGGCAACCTCCTCTCCAGCTTTCTGGTCCTTCAGTTGAGTGATATTTTCAGATTTTTGTTTTCACATCTGAGGGTCCATTCAGTTGTGTAGGGAAGAATTGGGTGGCCTAATTCTGGGGGCTGGTGATGCCAGTTCCTAGGGGCAGACTGACCAAAAGTGGTTGTCCCTGTGCATCCTTTGATTACTCTCATGCTGCATTTACTGTTTACATTTGTTTCATTGTACATAGGTTTGTAAACATTATTGCCTAAGATATTTGTATATAACTTGGGCTTTGTAGCTTTTATTTATTCAGAATTCATATGGCATGTTAATGACTTATGATGGTGTCCTACTCTGGGCAGCTGTATAGGATCATCATGTGGTTAAAAAAAATACTTCCTCTCCTCCCCCAAAAATCTTTTAATGTGGAAACAATAAATTTCACAGAAAAAAGGATTGAAGTTGGTTTATTGGGTTCCTGCCATCCAGTGAGAGAGGAGCTAGAGCATAGAAAGCCAAATTCCAGTGATTCTTCTGTTTTGACATGGGACGTGCAGTTGGACAGCAACCGTGGAATGGGACAAAGAAGGTTCAAGGGGCGTCAGGAGGTGTCTTATACATTGAGGAGGCTTGTTTATGCCAATTCTTGGTGCAGGTTTCCAGTTCTGTGTGACTTCCAGGGGGCATCCTGGGAATGGCCCAGGCTCCATGTGAAAATTTGGGTTAAGGACCAGGACTTTGGGGGAAGGAATTTGGCAGATCATGGAATAAGTGGGATAGATGTGGAAGCTGGTCCTTCAGCTGTGCTGCATTGACAGGATTGTGTGACAAATGTTGTAGTTCCGAGATTAGAGGTCACTTGGATCTGGGTTTCTCATATTTCCACAGGTTGATGCTAGCAAGTGAGAGAAGGTGCCAGATGTTTGATAGCAAGCCACAAAGAAACACTGAGGAATGTAATGTGTAAACTGTGGGTCTGTATGACGGCATCAGATTCTGAACACTGATTGTTTATAGCAGCGTAAACAAATAGCATGCTTTCATATAGTTTTGAAACTATAGAGGAATGAAAATTGAGTCAAATTTTTGAGTGAATAAGAAACAGGATACACTTTTGAGCATTTCTGTCTATTAACATATGGGTAGGACTATTATATTCATTGTTCCTGGAGATTTTTGTCCTAAGAAGCCTCATTGAGAGACATTGTAATGGTGTGTGTGCTGTGCCCAGCCATGCTGGCAGAGTGGTGGAAAAGAAAACTTTTTTTTTGGTACCGGGGATTGAACTTGGGTCCTTGTTCTTGTGCAGCAGGTGGCGAAACCACTGAGCTAAATCCCCGGCCCAAAAAGAAAACTCTTAAGGCTTTTATTGATGTGCTACTTACTACTTACTGTTTGCCTCTCTAGCTAAAAGTTGTCTTTGAGTGGGGTATCTTCATAGGGGTGTCTGTTGCCTGGTTGTCACTGAGACCTCAGGAATGAGCCCTGAGCTGGGGTCCACTTGGTGATCTTCCCGCCTCTAAGTGGCCAATCTTCCTGGTGGTAAAGCCTAGCCTCTTGCCGCCATACATTTTCATTTCACCCACCGGTCCCATCCCTTGCTCCCAAAATGTCTTCTTCAATCGGAGTAGGAGCCAGTATTCTACTTCTTTTTAGCCCAGTGTGGCCAGAAAACTACACCCACCATCTCAGTGGCCAGAAGCCTAAGCTGGGCCCTTGAGTTGCAGTGAGGTGGGCATGTGAGAACTGTGTAGGATTGGTCTGAGCACAGGATAGCTGGTTTTCCCTCAGTTGGCAGAAGGGACTGTGTGCCCAAGGCTGGACATGGCTGAGCTCACACAGCTGGCTCACAGCAAAGACAGGAGTGGAAGTGGGCCCAGTGCCTATCTGCTGTGCCTTTCTAACCCTGAGGTGACACTGGCTGCACTCCCAGTCTGCCCGGTCTCTTAGGAGATGAGTGGGTTTTGAAGGGTTGGAAATGATGAGCTGTGGGGCCAGCACAGCTTTGCAGCAGGAGGAATCCAGTAGCACCACCCCTCTTCTCCACATCTTGCTCTTGATGGGCCATGTCCACTCTACTCTTACAAGCCATCCTAGAGGTAATGTTAGCACCTCCTGAGAGTTGAGGTGGAAACTGGCAATGCTGGGAAATTTGGGAGGGGAGACCTACGGTGCAGCCACAGCTTGAGAGGGCACTCTGTAGCCAACTTACATTTTTCCCCCCACCAAAACTGAGAGCAACCAGCCTGGGTGCAGGAGGAAACAAGCAGACAGTTGATTTCTCTGCTTGCCTAGAAGTTGCTAAGATCAGCCTTTTTACTTTCCAGCTTTTATACTGGGTGAATTATTTTTCTCTATTTTCCCCCAAAGGTTAAAACAAATCTAAAATATAAGCTTGGTCTTTAATATAAATGTTACTTCTTTCTTAAAAACAAGTGCAGGGAGAGGAGTGGTCATCTTTGTAAATAATTTTCCTATGACTTATCTGCAAAGTGGTCCCATGAGTATTAAAAATAAAACATAGGGGAATATAATAGCTCTTTAAATTTTAAAGAAAAACAATGGAGTAAATATGAATGTAACAGACTTCCTTTATAAGATAGTATATTTGAAGAGGCAAATCTGAAAACAAATCAGTGCCTGTATGGGGGACGAATTGGGGTTTGTGCTGTGATTTTATGATTTGGGGTCTGACTGTGCATCTGCATCCACAGTTGTATTTCCTATCAGCTCTGTAGGAAGCCTTTCCCAAGGGAAAGGTAAAGCATACTGAGCACAAGTTTGTCACTTGTGAGGTGTTTTCTAATGAGGTGTCAGGTGCCATCTGCACTAACATACAGCTCATAGATTCTGTGTGGACTATGACTGTGGTGAAGGCCTGGCAGGAGGGTGATGGGTTACCTTGTGCAGGGCTAGTGGCCAGGACATAGGTTTTCTGGAACACGCTCAAGTAAACTATTGAACGAGTGATGGCTTGGTGAGGATCTGGGCCCTGCTGCTCTCTGTAGTAGAGGATGGAGCTAAGATACACTTGTTTTGGTTCAAAAAGGTGATTAACTAGAAAAAAAATCAGCATTAATCCCACTGGCACTTAGAATCCCACACTTTTATGACACTGTTTTTACTGTTATTCTCTTCTTCAATCAAACTGACAGTATGATAAGGTGTGAAAACTCCTACTTCTTGGATAATACTCCATGGGAGTAAGGACAAATAAAATAAATTTCTATAGCAGTGATAACATTGGCTGATGCTAGGGAAAGGTGAGAATGACTTAGTGTGGAATACTGCAGAGACTCACGAGTATGCAGCCATGCTAATATACAAGACTGGAAATGTCCAGTGGGGAGAGGACACAAACTGGAAGTCTTAAAATCAAAAATGAAAGGGAAAGGATGCAGATGGCTTACTATCTGTGGTTGTAGTTCCCCAGTTATTTAAAAAAACTGGCTTAAGTAGTAACACATTTTCCTTCATCAACAAGTTGGACTGAAGTCGTGCTAAGAAGTTCCAAGATCTTTGATCAGCAGCATAAGGCAGTGGCTCTCTGACCTGCCCAGTGACTAGCTGTCACTGCTGGGGAAATACTTAAGAGATTCTCAGGTTTCCTTAGCCCCAGCCTCCTGAGCAGAGAGCTGTTTCCTAGAATCCCAGATACCAGCAGTTAGAACGCACATGTTTATTTTGTCAACAATTAAGAAAAATGAGCTAATTAAAAGTATGAAAATGCTTATCGTTAGACTTTTTATAAAGAGCTTTTAGACTGCTTTAGGCAGATTTTCATCCTATCACATTCATATACAAAAAGAACAAGCAAGAGAGATTCCTGAAACTTCACATTTTGAGTCCAATGTTTTGAACCACCTTGTGACCCAGAGCTGTCATCATCCATGTTCCTGAGCAGTGCTGTTGTCTGTGCCATGTTGAGTGTTGGTGACACTGTGGCATTCCCAAAAAGCATATTCTACTATTGGCTCCAGAATTTTTTCTAAGGTACTGACTCTGACTCCCACTCTACAAGTTTTGATGCTGTGCTTAATTTTACCAGGAGCGAGGCAATGACCTCATCTCAGCTGCCACCTACTGACACCGATTGTGATACATGAGGTTTGGGGCATTTTATCTGTGTAATACTGGTTTTTTTTTGGTACCGGGGATCAAACTCAGGTCCTTGCGCTTGCGCAGCAGGTGGTGGAACTGCTGAGCTAAGTACCTGGCCCCAGTGATGTACTCTTTTTGATTGTTTCGTGTACATTTCAGACAGGGATTAAGACACTTCACATGATGTGCTGGATTCCCACATGACAGGTAGCTACCAAAGGAATGGACTACAAGGCCTGGTCCTCACAGCTGACACAGGATAGCATTTTATTAAACATTCAAGGTTTGGGAAAGCGCTTGGTGCATATTGTCCCAGAAAGGTGGTGAGGGAAGAGGACTTTTGTGTCTCTCCCAGTGATGAGGCAGCCTATAAATAGTCTCCCTTCAGGTCTCAGCCAGACTAGGGGAAGAGGAGCCATCATCTCCCTTTCCAGAGTCCAACCTGTTCTGGCTGTTATCTTCTGAGAGGTGAGGGCAGGGCAGGAAGGGTTGGTTCCTAGAGCTCTTTTCTTCTCTAGTCTTGACAGAGACATGCCTTGGCAACACTGGCTTCAAGGGGCAGAGATAAGGGTTAGGGTCAGTTACACCCAGAGCCATAGAGTGTGCTGGCCAGTACAGCACCTTGGCTTTATGGCCCATTTCATCTTAGCTGAGGTTTGTGGGTACTGGGGAGACTGGTGACAGAAGAAACTATAGTGTGTTCTAGAATCTTTCAAATGCGTTTTGGAAGTGAAACCTCAGGCTAATAGGCTAGAAATAGGTGTTAGCCCCATTGAACCAGTGTTTTAAAAAAAAGTCTTAGGATGTGGCAAGGGCAGGGAGTTCACAAAACATCTTTGAGGTAAAACCCCAACACTTCATCTAAACCTCCTGCCTGGGGGTTCTACACTTGTGGAGGGAAATTGGCCAGCTTCTTTGGCTTTTTGGCACACTCAAAGACAGCCTGCCATAAAACTGTCTTCCTTGAGCTCTAAATGCCCTGTGGGGTTTTATAAACTACCTTTTCTAAGGTCTGACGTGGTGGTTTGTTTAGTGAAGAAAGGTTCTTTTATGTTATTGTCTTTGTGTAGTCAGGAACTGGAATCAGTAAGCTGAGTATTTAGGGTACTAGATGTGGATACTGGTCAAGCTAGCCATTAGGAAAGAATTCTGAGACTGGCCTTTAAGTCCATAAACTCCTGGATATAGGGATAAAGTAGCTGAAACACCAGAACTTCAGTTCATCTTTTTTCTATGGTTGTGACATAGCAAAGAGCACTTTTGTCCATTTCTCACATCCTTGCCACTGCCAAGAAGCCTAGACATGCACCTCTTCCCAGGTGTGTCTAGGCTTACCCCAGGACCAGCCTAGCCTAAGAATGTTGTGGAGTAAGAAGTCAGCACTCTGATCTCATGCTCTCCTGGGGTTTCTCTCCAACCCCAGCTGGACTACAGTGGTGAAACTGTCCTTGGGGAGCCACTGAATCCTCCCCAAAGTGTTTTCAAAACACATCCTATTTGAAAATGCAGCTTGAAACTTCTTGGACCTCTTAAAAATCCAATGATGTGCTTCACTGGCTGATGAACAAACCCTCCTAGATCGCTCCCTTGGCAGTTGGGTCTTCAGCACTATTTGCCTTCAGGTGTCCTTTCCCTCCCCGAGTGTCCACACACTAGGAATCCACAGGTGAGAACAGGACTTTGAGCCACATTTGCCTGGAGAATTAGTCTGCTATTTAACAAGTTTCTGGGAGAATCCAGTGGGCCTGGTATCATCATTCGAGTCTGTGGAGCTAACCCCCCTCCGGTCAGGTCACAGATGGGAAACAGAACAGAAGGTGAGAAAACGAATTTCATGTTCACATGATTATTCTTGTTTATTGAGGTCTGTTTATTCTCAACGGGTGCTTTTTCCTCCAAGTAAACAGAGCAGGCGTAAATATCTATAATGAATAAATTTATTGTCTTACAAAAATCATTGTCTAGAAATATGGGAATACAAGAAAAGATATTTGCAGTCAGGTGTCTGGTGGTCAACAGCCAGTACAATTCATACAGAGAGAAATCAGAGATTCCAAACCCACGTGACAAATTCTTCCTAACAGATGTTAAAGCTTTTAACCCAAAAGGTTTGTGTTTTCAAGCACATTGCAGAGGATCAGGGATTTATCATTAACACTGATTTGTTGTCACTGAATGTTTATGATACCACTTTGACTGAAGAGGTACATAATATGAAGCATAGTCAAAACTTAATACATTAAATTGTTATAGAGGCAAATGATATATTTAACATTGTCTTAGTACTGTAGTGTCTAAGGCACTTTCTGTAATGTCAGTTTGCTCAACTATCAACCAAAAACAGAATGCTAAACTGTCCAAAGGGAAGGGAAAAGGAAAAATGAAAAAAGGATTCACACCCACTGGCATGTCAACATTCAGGCAGATGGTATCTGTTCTTGAGGTCCTCTAAACCTCGCTGATAAACTTGGAACAAGCCTCAGACACAAAACCCTCAGACACAAAACCAACATTCCCATTTTGGGCTCAAAGCAGTGGCTGAATTTGTAAGGTCAGCTTGAGGGCCTGGCTGGCGAGGAAGGGCCTTCTGCTAGCTCCTGTGGGGCCACACGGCTGCGTGCTTCTGGATGAGGAGGGCATTGGCCAAACCAGACACTTGAGGAGACCATCTGGAAGTCACTATGATGGCTGCCACCTGTGGCCTCAGCTGCATCATGGCCACTACCCTCTCTATGCACAAACCAGCCCTGGCCAGAGACGGTTCACATGAGTAGATGCGGGGACACCACCAACTCGAGGGGCGGAGCTACCTCGTGGGAGATAGGCATGGTAACACTAAATGGATGTGGCTTCTCCCATTCCAACCCACCCCTCCTAATCTTTCCAAAGCCCCTTTCACAGTTTGCTCACTGAAATAGTGATCATTATTTGAAGGATATGAGAGAAACAAGTGCAGTTTAGGTTCCACAATGTTCTAAGAGACAGGATGTAGCTGAGGAGTCAGGGCCACATGAACACAGAACTAAGTTACCTGTCTGTACAACAGCATGCAGAGCGACTGAGCAACGACCACGGGGCTGCCCGCACGACCCAGCGACTGGCAACGAAGGGACTGGAGTTTGTTTTAAAAAGGGTTCTCCTCTTAACATGTATTATAAAATGGTCTCTTGATGAATATATGGAAAATAGATGCAATGATGAAACAATCTGTTTAATATGTGTCTTGTGTATGTATATATATAAAAAGGGGAGCAATTGTACCTAATTGAAGCAGGATACAGTCTGTGTAGGCTGAGAGCCTGAAGACACAGTTGATCTTTCCAGAAGGAATCCTGAAGCTTGCCGATTCCAAAATCTGTAGGAGGCACCAGGCAGGCTGGCGGTGGATGAGTTCCTGTGTGTCCCACTGTACCGCTGCCTCTGGCTTCCTGTGACTATTCAGACTGGGGTGGCTGTGTCTCGTTGACATCGCTGGTCTTACTTTCTGTGTCATCATCTGACAGCTCCAGGGAAGCCCCCTCAATGTGCAGCTGGCGCCGGCTAGACCGGCTCGAAGAAAAGCTGATAGGGCCACCCCGCCTAGGAGAGCAGAAAGCAGACGGGAGTGAGTAAAGGCTCAAGCAGTCACAGCAGTCAGGTTTAACCTCAAATGAGTTTTCCATTTCTGCCCCATCCTAGGGTCTTGCATTGGCAGGTGTAACTGGGAAAGGCTTTGTGCTTTTCCTCCCCACCCAGTGTCATCCTGGTCAACACAACACAGAGCAGGAGCCTCAGAGACCTGGGGATGGCCTAATTCACCTTAAGCTTGTCTGTGATAGAAATGGTAGCGAAGATGGATTAAGACAAAGCTCTACCTGGTAACCATCCTTTTCCTAGAAAAGGGCCAGAAAACACCAATTTTACTCAGACTTTGTAGACCATATATGGTCTCTGTCACACAGACTTTAATTTTGTGGTTTTAAAAAAGCCCTTTAAAAATGTAAAAAGCCATTTGGGCCTGGTGGCACATCCCTGTAATCCCAGTACTTGGGAGGCTGAGGCAAGAGGACTGCTGAGAGTTTGAGGCCAGCCTGAACTACATAGTGAGAACCTATTTCACCCCTCCACTCCACCCAAAGCCATTCTTAGCCTGTTGCCTCTGCCTTAGCCTCACCAGGTTACAGATTGGGCATGCCACTGGCTAGCGGCTGACCCACCTGGTTAGCCTGTTTATCTGGGAGGAACAGTTTTGCTTAGTGCTTTCACAATCTGCCCTCACTGGTGGGAGCATAGGAACAGTCTCAGGGCTGATGGTGCCAGTTCCTGTGAGGAGCTGGTACCCTGCTTTTGAATGGAGTCTGGGACCTCTCCTCACACAAGGGTGGATGGACACTTGACCCCTGGGTCTCCAGCCTTGTGTGCTGTACTGGTCTGGTGCACTGTGAATGGCAAAGAACATGAATGGCCTGTCCCTTTTTGCTCCCTACACACTTATCAAGGTCAGCAGCCTTGAGCCTGAGGCAGAATGGCCATCTCTAGGTGAGCTTCTGCAGACCAGCTTGCCCTGAGCCTGCCACGTGCCTTTTGCCCACTCTGTCCTCACCCGGCTCACCTCAGTCGGTTCTTCAGTGTGCTGACCTCACGGCTCAGGCCCTCGTTGGCCTCGGTAGCATCATCCAGTTCCCGCTGGAGCTTTCGCCGAGATGCATTTGCGCGTGTGGCTTCCTCTTCGGCCTCCTCCAGCTGGCGTTTCAGTTGCTTCATCCTGGCGTTGGCCTTCTCTATCTTGGGGTCACAAGAACCAAGACCACAGAATGGTGAATCTAGTACCAGCCTCTGCACCTGAGTGTGTCAGCACAGTCTGCACAGCACCCTTGTGAGGCACGCGAGCACACTTACATTTGTGTGCATGTCTATGGCTTTTTAGTTTGCCTACCACTCTCAGCAAAGCCAGTATCTACAGAAGAAACTAAGCTAATAAAACTTAAACCTAAAACCCTTTACTCATGAGTTTTCTCATGAATAAATGACCTAGTTTTATCTTTATATGAGAATCAATATGGATTATGAAAGAGAATTACTATTCCTGCAAATGCACAAGCATCAACAATGTGGATAATCAACTGCAGGATATGTTTTACAACTCTTGTGTAGTATTCAGAGTATAGAGCCACTGTGGGAGCCATGAGCTCCAAGAGCCTCCCCATCAGATCCTTCACTCCTGAACATACAGGTACCAGCCAGTGCTCTGTGGATCCTGTTCACACCTGTCCAGAACTGCTTTAGTGTTGCTAGGCCCCGAGGGTGGGGGCGGGGAAGAAAGCCTAGAGGGCCTGACTGGAATAGGAGACCCCAAAGGTCATGAGTCCTCAGCTGTTTACTTTCCTGCCCAGTGTGTACAGCAGCAAGACTCACAGAGCAGGAGTGAGCTGGAGCGAGGGCACAGCACTCAGGCCGAAGTGCGTGCAAACTTGGCCTGCAGCCAGGGCCCCTGCTGCAGGAAATAAGGGCCATTCAGGTACTACATGTTATATATTTCCCTTCACCCTCTATTCACTGTCTCCTGCATCTATCTCTATCCAGCCAGGATTTCATGACTCTTTATATCTAGCAACTATTCTGGGTACCAGGGTGATAACAGACTGGGAGAAATCTCTGCACTCATGAAATGTCCATTCTAGTGGGAGAAACATGGTATCTTTAAAATTCAGTCCAGGCCTCACACCAAAGCCTGACTCTTGCCTCCCTTCTCCATGTATAATGTACTAAGTGCCCCTCACTTTACCACCTCTCTATCCCAAGCACCCACAAATGCCTGGTGGGAAGGTGGGAAAGTGGGAACGTGGAGTAGCACATGTTAGTTTGGGACATTAGTTTTAAAAGTTAAAAATAGCATTTTAAAAATTATGCCAGTTTGTATAGCCTGCTCATTGTCCATCAGGCCCCCTGCTAAAGCATTTCCAAGGTTTGCTCTGCTTTTTTCACATACTTGCTCTTTATACTGATCAGCATGTCGACGCTCATCTTCAACCTGCATGAAGATTTCTTTCAGCTTCTTTTCAGTGCGACGAACCAGTTTGTTGGCAGCTGCTCGTTCCCTGTGAAAATAACAGCAGTTTTGAAATTCCTGAAACTACATTTTGAGTGGGGAAAATATTTTTTAAAGTCCTTTTGCTTTGGAAGAAGACACATGTTGGAGTATCTTCCTGGACCACTCTTCCCAAATAAGATTATTAACATGGCTTTCAAACTTCTTCTTTTTGGTCAGAATAGGAATTGTCTTTAATGTATTTCTCCACTGATGACAAGTAGAAGCATGTTATTCTTGCTTATTAAAGGTATTACTCATTTTGCTATGTTATACATAAACCACCTGTCAGTTACACTGAATGTAAACTTTTAAAAGACAAAAACCAGAGCTGGGTGTGGTGGCACATGTCTGTAATCTCAGCACTCTGGAGTAGGAGGTAGGAGGATCATTGCAAGTTTGAGGCCAGTCTGGGATATGTCGTGAGTTTAAGGCCAGCCTGAACTGCATAGCAAGGTCCTGTCTCAAGAAAGAGACAAAAACCTTGGTTAGTCTGATCATCAGAATTCCTAACCTGGAGGACACAAAAAAAGAAAAAAGCCCCACTTTATTAAGTGATGATTTCAATTTAGAATTTACTACTATGGATGCTAGGAGCTTTCGCAACTAAAACTGAAAAACAACAAAACATCACAAACCCCATCTATAGTCATTGGTTAGAAGTAAAAAAAACACCCCATTTTAACTTGGGTTATTGTCCTAAAAGAAGAGGTAACTTATTTGGAGGACTCCATGGAAAACAGAAATGCTCCTTAAATGCTATGCAAAAATGTACCACACTGGGGTCAGATGAAAGGGCAAGGTATACTAATTACAACTAAAAACAAAACCTGAATTGTTTTTTTTCAATCCACAGGAGAGGGGAGTGGGAAGTACTGGGGTGCTGGGTTGAACACATTCTGCCCTCTGAGTAGAGCTGGGCCAGACTGCTGGGCTCCAAGCTTCCCAACAAGAAGGTGAACTGGAAGGTTGGGTCTACCCCTGGTTGACTGATTTTTAACCGCTCTGTAAAGGCCTGCTAAAAGCTGTACCTTGCAGTTTCTCACAATTTCCACCATAGTTTAATGTAGCAAAATGGAAAACTGTTAAATGATCCCTTTCTATGGGGGAAGAAAAGCTTTTATTTTTGTCACATTCCATTTCTTCTCTTCCAGCAAACTGCAGCATTTCGCAGGATGCTTCCTACTTGGGGAATTGATTCTGAATTGAGATTTAAACTTAGGGTACCTAGGAAATCACGGGGCCCAGTATGACTGGCCCTCAAGCTGAGTCCAGGAGGAGCTTCTAGACAAAGCGCTATCTTCCCAGCTCCTCACAGAGTCCATCTGTCCTTCTAACCTCTGAGCAGTGTCAGCACATGTTTTTTGGCTCAAAGCACCTTACAGCTCCCATTCTGGTCATATATGTTCTTGTCATCTCCTGCTCTGCACTGGGGAGCTCTCTGAGGGCAAGGACCCTATCTACCATCTCTGATGCAGACTGGCCTAGAGGCCCCCAATCTGTAGTAGATATGCAGTAGTTTTGGTTGATAGCAGAAAAACCTCTTACTTGGCTTCCTGCTCAAGCTGCTCTTCCAGTTGCCCAATTTTGGCTTCCAGGGCTGAGATGGTTGCCTTGAACTTGGACTTGACAGCACCTTCCAGCTCTTGCAGCTTGGCTTTCAGTTCCTTGTTCTGTCGCTCCAGTTGCTGACGTGCATTGTCACTCTTTTGGGCTGCACTGCGCTCAGCTGCCAACTCTGTGTTCAGTGTGTCCACCTGGAAGAGGAGAGATGGGTTTGGTTACTTGTGCAAAGAGGAAGCACAGATTCCCAGGGGTCGGGCTGCCACACGGCCACCTGTAGAGTGGTCTTTCGGAAGCGATCATTGAGCAGCTCCATGTTGCTCTGCTCTTCTTCCAGCTCCTCCTCCAGCTGTGCGATCCGGGCCTCTAGACGCCGCTTCTCATCCAGCAGTGCGGACCTGGCCAGGGCAGGGGGGAGGTGACAGCTCAACAGCAGTGCAACACACACCAGGAAACTCAGGGAGGACTCCTTCACCACCTTGCTGCTAGGGACCTGATGGTTCTTCCCCTGTACCCAGCCTCAATCCATTGACAAGTCCCACTGCCCTAGTTTCTGCTGGCCACATCTGCTTCCCTTTTCTGGCCCCATCATCTCTGGCCTGGATTATTGTGGCAGCCTTCCAGTCATCTCCCTGCTGCTGCCTCTGCTTCTGTCCATCTGCTCTCCACAGATCACAGCGAGGGCCAGCCAACTTTTAAAATACAAATTAAGATCCTTCCTGGAAGATCTCCATTAAATGGAGATATAAACTCAATTGGAAAAAAAGTTAATGATTTTAATGAAAAAAGGAATCCAGAAAAAGATCTAAGGAACCTGCTTGCCGAACCTAATGAACTTGAAAGTAGGGACTTGGGAATGTCAGGTCAGTGCAGCCTATAGACATAAATCACAATGTGTACAAGGCTATTAGCACCGACACAGGGTGTGGTGACCAGTGGCTGGGGCTGTCTGGCCTCAGCACCTCATGCTCATCTTTCCAGACTCTGAGCAGATAAGCAAGCCCATTCCTGATTCCTAGACACCGGGTGACTGTCCAGCAGGAGCCCAGCCTTTGAAGCAGTGGATGCCCAGGACCAGAGAACAACAGGCTTTGGAGAAGAAGGTCTTGGCACTACTACTTTTTAGACGCCTGTCCCTTCCCATCTTCTGTCAGGAGACTCACTTGCCAGAAGCGCTGTTGGCGATCTCATCAGCCAGCTCATCTCTCTCCTGCTCAGCATGTCGGCGGGCGCGCTCAGATGAGGCTAGTTCCTGAACGAGTTGAGACAGAGTTAAGCTTTGCCCATTACTGTTTTGTCACATATAAAACTGACAATACCTGGGTTTGTGGTGACCTTGCTCCAATCACTTTTTTATGTGTACCTCAATCTGCAGTTTAGATGTGAGAAATGAAGCTGGCAAGCTTGCTGAAGAAAGCCAGCCAGGTGACGTGTGTTGTCAGTATCCTTAAGAATCCCATGAAGAGTCCTAGTCTATATGAGGGCTTTGTTGTTACATCCAGCAGAAGAGGTAGCTCTCCTTGAAAGATGATGTTCCTCAATAGAAATTGAGCACAAACTTTACCCTGAACCCTAAAGGAGTATTGAGCTACTCCAATTTATGGTCTTGAAATATCTTCTACATAAGGTTCAGAGATTAAATGCACTAGAAAGATCAATGAATGTCAAGGCAGTGTGGCAGCAAAGATCACAGTTCCTGAGGGAAGGTGTGTGGAGTGTGGCCTAGAGGCTGTGTTTGGAGAGCTAGCCTGGGCATCCTTAGGAGATGATTTGGCATGAGGGAAGCAATGGTGTGTTTCTCACCCCAATGGGGTAAAGACAGATCATAGCCTTAGAATTTTTATGGATGAAGAAACTAAGGCTCACATAGATGAAGTGACCGGTTCAAAGTCCCATGGCTGGTCAGCAGCAAAAGCCAGAGTTCTAACGCCCTGTCCAGGGCTCTTTCTACCAGCTGCCCTCTTCAAAAGCCAGTGTACATCTTGGCAGTGTCTGAGGGGCAGGGCTGCACAGGAGCCCATCTGTTTGCTCTGGCATGTGCACCTAGTGCCCAGGAGGTGGATCCTCCAGAAGTGCCACATTCTAGCTCACAGAGTGCTACTGTATGGGCAGGATGGGGTCAGCAGGGGAAAGTGCAGCTGTGCAGGATGTAATGGCAGCTTGCAGAATGTTTTGGGGCTGAATTGAGGGCTGCAGATCATAGCTCTGCCATCTGGTCTCTGATATTTAGTCCTCTTGAGCCCTAGAGACTCTCTGGGGTCCTGCCCACTGGCTGAGTGTGCTTTAGGAAGGTTAAGTGGCCCATGGAGAATGGAAAGGACCTGGGGGTCTGCAAACCAGATGGACAGAAGTATTTGAGGAAAGGAAGAGAATCAGAAGGGGAGGGCTGGGCTGGCTTGCTAGCTCAGTGTCTTCTTAACACGGTGTTATCCCTGCCTGAACATATGGAGTAAACACTGCTAGGTTTCAGAAATAACCAAGAGTGCTAGATGCAGGGAGTGCCACTTGGATACTCTGGTCATGGCCCAGAACTGTCTGGGAAACAAGCATTTGATATCACTGGTCTCCACGATGGATGCATAGAGCTTAAACATTCCACTCATTTATACTACACATTTTTTTAAGCACTCATGAATATTTATAAAAACTAGCCATGTTCTAGGCCCTACAACTACTCTCAACATTCTCTGAAAAACTAGCCACATTCTAGGCCCTACAACTACTCTCAACATTCACTGACCACGCTATGATAAAACTAGAAATCAGCTTTTAAAAATGCATACACGTGGAAATTAAAATCACACTTTTAAATTATTCATGGATAAAGAATAAGCCATACTAGAAATTAGACAATTAAATGACAGTGAAATCACTTCATATCAGAATTTGTGGGATGAAGTGAAAAGTTAGAGGGGAAAATTAAGATTCTTTTGACACTCATTAGACAAGAGAAAAGCTTGAAAATTGATGTGTCCAAGAAGACAAAAAATGAGGGGCTAGGTAGGGTATATCTCAGTGGTAGTGTGTGTACTTAGCTTGTATAAGGCCCTGGGTTTAATTCCTAGTATACATACACACAAGTACGCACACAATCAGAAAAATAAAATACAAAAGAAATGGAGAGAGGAGAGGATCAGTGTTCACTGATCTGGTTTTCAGTTCATTTTTCATTTCTAATTCCTAGAAAGCTCCTTTTCTTTCTTACCAGCTCAGTTTTTGCCTTTGGTACTATTTTATCCAGCAATGCTATGTGTATGTATTTGGAAATTAACTGATATTAATATTTTAACTTAAGTTATCTTTCTAGTTCTGAATAGCTTTGGATCCTCCACTTATACACAAATGTCTATATTCAAGTGTCTTACACAGATACTGGTCCATACTATATGCAACACTTCATCAGTCCCTCCCCATAAGAACTTAGAAAAATATGAGTAAGACAGTAGTTGTTTGATTATAAGATTGTTCATCCAGGAATTCAATGAAGCATACCTCTCTCTCTCCTTGAAGCTCACATGAATAGTGCCTCTATGTAAAACAAGGCACTCCTGTATCACCAGGGTTAGAGTTACTTGATCCTAGTTTGGCTCACCAACACTAAACAAGTAAGTATCACTTCTTTTTTTCAGAGCAATGAAGGTTAGAACGTGGCTTAAAGGTCATCTTTTTTGCCTTTAGTCAAGCAGAGAAATATACACGAGTAGTGTAACCATTTTCTGTTTGCCAAATTGAAGCAATAAGATAGTCATTACAAATGGATAATGAAATTAGAGTAGGCTACAAAGATATTCAATATATGTACTGTACATATGACTGATCTTAGAGAAATTTCAAGGGTAAATATTTGCCAAACAAATGGGTGAATAATAAACAAACCTCTTGCAATTGAAGGATCTCTGCTTCCAGACTCTTCAGTTTCTTTTCACTTTCTTTGGATTGAGCAAAAATCTCATCTCGGGACGCACGAGCTTCTTCTAATTCACGTTGGTAATCCTTCATCTGAGCCTAAGAGTAAATAAGAAGGTATGGGGGCAGTTTTCATTCTTAGTTTTAAATACATATTTTTTCCAGATTATAATACACATTGATTATAAATATAAAGATACATATGAAATGATAAAGCTACTACAACAAAGAATGTAGAGTAATATCCCTTATGAATATAGGTATAAACATCTTTAAGAAAAAGGGTAGAATACTGAATCTGGCAACACATACAAAGGAATACATACCATGATCAAGGGGAAGAATACAAGGTTTAACAATCAAAATATTTATATATGATCTCAATAAGTGCAAAAGAAGCATTTGACAAAATTTAACACCTTTGGATTATAAAGATAATCAGCTATGAAGAAAACTTTCTCAATTCTCATAAAGGGCATCAGTGAAAAACTAACAGTGTATTTACTGATCAAAGACTGAATGCTTGCCCCTTAAAAGATTAGCAACAAGATAAAGGTGTATGATCTTGCCACTTAATATTGTAACAGAAATAATAACCAGGATCATCAGATTAGAAAGGAAGAAGAAAAACTTGCTTAATTTGCTGGTATGATCTTGCATATGGAAAATCTTAAGGGGTCTACTAAAAAAGTTAGAATAAATAAGTTCATGAAGGTTTCAGGATACAAGATCAATGTACAACAAGCAATTGTATTCCTATACACCAATTATGAACATTCAAAATTAATAAATTATATTCATAATGGCATCAACTCTTAAAATCTAGGTGTGCCTGTTTTTGTTATTTTTGGTAGAAATTTGACAAGCTATTCTTTAAATATACTGTATACTGAATTGTAAGAACACAATCAGAATAGCCAAAGCAATCTTGAGAAAGAATAGTAAAATTGGATAAATTGTATTTTCCAATTTCAAAACTTACAACAAAGATAATCAGGTCTGTGGGCTAATGGTATAAGGATAAATATACATTTTCTTTTTGTTTTATTTTTTTTGGTATTGGGGATAGGATAAATATACATATTAATGGCATAGAACTGAGTCCAGAAATAAAAACATTAAGTCTGTAAGGATGTCAAAACAATTCAGTGGAGGACAAAATACTCTTCAAGGAATGGTGTTAGGGTATTGGATATCCATATCCAAAAGAATGAAGTTCTAATAAAAAAAATTAAGTTTTATCTATACCTCAAGCCATACAATAAAAATGAACTTAAAGTATATCAAAAACCTCAAAGGACGAGCTAAAAGTATAAACATTTTAGGAGAAAACAAAGGAGTCTTCCTGATCTTGAATTAGCCACTCTTACACATGGTAACAAAAGAAAATTTTAAACTTCTGTGCTACAAACAATAACACCCATTAGGGGACAAAGAATCTAAGATGGAAAGAAGTATTTGGAAATCATTTATCTGATAAAGAACTTACATCCATAGTGTATACAGAAGTGTGTCAACTGAAAATTTAAAAAAGACAACTCAACTGAAAAGATAGGCAGAGGGATTGAAAGACATTTTTTCCCTCAAAGTTAATGACTGATAAACACATAAAAAAAATGCTCAGCATTGTTACTCACTAGGGAAATGCGCCATCAAAACACAATGAGATATCACTTCACACTGACTGAAATGGCTTTAATCAAAAGCTAGACAATAACAAGTATGGACAAGGATGTAGAGAAATTGGAACCCTCACACATAGCTGGTGGGAATGTAAAATGGTACAGTCACTGTAGAAAACAGTTTGGCAGTTTCTCAAAGTTAAACAGAGTAACCTAGTACTCCTAGGTATGTACTAAAGAAAACCAAAAGCACATATTCACACAAATATACAGGATTGTTCCTATAAGCATTATTCATAATAGCCAAAAAATTAAAAACAATTCAGAGTAGAAATAATATGGTGGTGTGTGAATATATCTATCCATACAATACAATATTATTCAGTAATAAAGCAACAAACTATTCATGCTAAACATAAATTATGAAAGCATGATGTTAAGTGAAAGGAGCGGGTCACAAAAGGCCATATATTGTATGACCAGTCACATTATATAAAAATTCCAACACAGGCAACTCTATAGAGGTGGAAAATAGAGTAGATTAGCAATGGATGTGGCAAAGACAGGAGAAATGGGAGGTGACAGTTGATGGGTAGAAGGTTTCTACTCATTAACTGTGTGAGAGCTGTTTTCCATAACCCAGAATAAGCAAAACAAAACTGAATACATTTTAGATAGGTTAATTGTATGGTATATGAATTACATCACAATTAGTAGCTGTTAAGTAAGTGCATATAATTTATATTCTTTGTAATTAAGTAGCTTAATATTTTAATTAGCTAGTCAGAAGTCTTTGTACTTAGGTTTCAAAAAAAAAGTATAAAGAAGCAAGTAAGTTACTCGTAAACCTATTATCAGAGATGACTTTTCTTCCTAAGCTTTCTTCTAGGTCTGTCTACACCTGTGTGTGTCTAGCTGCAGGCTTGTGAGCCCCCCACGTCTGCTGGATTAGTTAAGACCTGCTGTCCCTCCACACATACTCTGTCACTCAAATGGCCAGCAGCAGCCCAGGTACCTCTAGGATGTTTCTATCTTTGCTGTCAACACTACAGCTAAGATACATGTATGTAAAAATTTCTCCTTTATATTTTGTTAAAGTCTCAACATGTGGAATCATAAAGGAAGGGAAATTTTCTAGTTTTTGTCACAACCCTCCCTGCCACTATGCTGTGCCTCTTGGTGATCCCATTGGCACAGGAAAGGGCCCATCACATGCCTGCCCATACAGTGAATTACTGTAGAGATCACCTTTTGTCTTCATGTCAGTGAAACTGGCATGTCATCCTGGTAGCAAAAGTGATGGTTACAACAGACTGAAAATTAATGCTCATGGCACCGAAAAAACAAAGCATACAACCTTCCTTTCAGGGTGACTTAGCTGGGTAGTGTTTTGTTAAGCATCACCAGAAGCTGTCTGGGGCCACAGGTGTCGTGTCCCAGCAGTTCCCAGCAATAATGTGACACTTGGTGACTCCATACCCAGCTCTGTCTAAAAAGCAATTCCTGTAGACACAGCAGATCTACATGAGCTTTTTTTTTTTTTTTTTTGGTACTGGGGATCGAACTTGGGACCTTGTGCTTGTGAAGTAGGGAGCGGAACCACTGAGCTAAATCCCTGGCTACAATGTGCTCTTTATGGCCAGCTGCCCTAAAGCACAGCCCAGGGGACAGCTGCACTATGCCCTTCAGAGTGGCAGTAGCTCAGCACCAAGCTCCATGATAAAGTGACAGGCTAGGTGCTGCAGTGTCTCTCTCCCTAGCTTGCCAGATTGTCCCTGTGTAAAAGCTACGTGGGTCACACTGTGCTTGATCTCAGTAGGGCCACTGACCCCATCCAAAGACTGATGATGGCTGTGTGTACCTGAAGTTTGCGAAGCTGCTTGATTACTTCGTCCCGAGCTTTGTTCGCAACTTCTATCTGAGCTTCCAGGTCCTTCAGGTCTATCTCCATCTTCTTCTTTGCAGCCACAGCAAGGGCCCGTTGTTTCCGCTCGTCCTCCAGCTCTGCCTCAAGCTCCCGAACCTAAGGAAGTACGGAGTTAAGCTGGTTGTAGCCTGTTGTCATGTAAGGCTCTGGTTCCATGGGGAAATGGAGCCTTCTGTTGCTCCATAGTGGGGGTCTCCGTTAGTCAGTAGTCCCTGTTATTAACAGAAAGACTCAGCAGCTGAATCTAGTTCAAAGGGTTTTTTTTTTGTAACTAGGGATTGAACTCAGGACCTTGAGATTGCCAAGGCAGATGCTGTGCCACTAAGCTACATGCCCAGGCTCAAAGGATTTTTAAACGATACTTGGTACACACCATTCCCACTGATTGCTAGAAAGGGACATAAGACAGAGGCTCTGACCTCAAGCTCACAGTCCAGGTGCCACAAAGGCTGTGAAAGACAAAACACAGAGGTCAAGGAGTATGTGGTACAAGGCGCAAGGGGAAAAGTGGGCATAAGCATGTCCTGAAGCTGTGAGGGGCCAGGCCTGCCTTGTGCTGAGCATGTGTTGGCAGTGCTGGGTATTGGGTCTGCAAAGGTGGGCATAGCCTGACTACAGGGGCTTCAGACTCAGGCAGAAACTACATCAGGAAAGAAGGAAGTAGTAAAAATTGTCTGATGGAGAAGGCATAGAATGAGGGCTGACTCAAGAGTATCCTTATGGGGTTGCAGATGAACACAGGAAGCAGTGTGAGCAGGAGACTGATGCAGACAGACTTGGGACCTAGTGACACACCCTAGCGGGCACTCCCTCTGGCCTTCCTTCCTGCAGGCTTCTAGCTGCACAATGGTGATTGGGCATGGTTTAAGAGAGGATGGGAAAAAGTGCTCTTTATTTTTTAAATGGAATCCTAATACCTAAATAACCAGTGATTATGAATGAACCAAAAGTGAGGACCACACATGAAACTGTTGAACTGTAAGTTCAGTCAGCTCACGAGTTCACTGGGGCCATGACGTGAGCTTCCCAGGCCTCCATTTCATGTTCATTCAGGAAGTGCTAATGAAGGCTGCTGTGTCCTAGGTGTGACCAACTGGCAGTGGAGGGGTCTGCTATAGGTGCTGTCCAGGAGTGGAAAAGCCCCTGGCATGGGGGTGGCTATGAAATCAGCACCCTCCTGGGAAGAGAGGGGCTCTGAGTAATGCTAAGAGGCCTGGGGTGAGGGCACAGCTCAACTGGTCCTCTCCAAGGGGAAGAGCAAGGCCTCTCTTGCTCCTGCTTTGGCAGGGAGGAGGAGCAGGGCAGACGAATTTCCCATCACCAGCTCTGTGCTGCAGAGACCTGAGCTACACCTCCAGGCAGATTAACAAGGAGCTCCTCAGGTATACCTACTTCCGTAATATTTTAATTGCAGTGGTTTTCAGATATGACCACAAATTCTTGGTTTTTTTTGGTACCAGGGATCGAACTCATGACTTTCCGCTTTCGAGGCAGGCAGTGGAACCACTAAGCTAAATCCACGGCCCTGATCACAAATTCTTTATGCTCTCTTTTCAAGAATTAAGAGGCTAACGTTCTCTTACATGGGAGCTGGACTTGGTGATTTGGCTCTATGCATGAACAGGATGAAAAGAAAATAACAGTGTGTGACTTGGGAGATGAGGCTGTAAGAGGCAGGGCAGCTTCCTTCTTGCTCGATCCCTTGGATCTCTTCTGAAGGTTCCCTCAGAGACCCAGGGTTGAGGGTGGGAGGCTTGGCCTGGCTCCTGCAAGCTGCTCAGGCCAGCAGATGCTGTACCTGGGTCCAGATCTTCATTGGGCCAGAGTCACCTGCTGAGCTGCTTTGAATTCCTGATCAACAGAAACTGGGACATTGGACTTTTTTTTTTTTGGTACCGGGGATTGAACTCAGTCCTTGCACTTGCGCAGCAGGTGGCCAAACCACTGAGCTAAATCCCCGGCCCTACTGGAAGTATTTTAAGCCACTAACTTTGGGGTAATTTGTAATCCAATGATAAATGCCTATTAAGAATTAATGTCAGCAGAATGAAAATTGCAAAATAAAGCAAAATTAAGTATACCCCAAATCCAAGAAACGTTACCATAAATTCCAAGGGACTGTCAAAATATCTAGCTTTAAAAGTTAACTTTTTTTTTTTTGGTACCAGGGATCAAACTCAGGACCATGCACTTTTGAGGCAGGCCACGGAACCACTGAGCTAAATCCCCGGCCCTAAAAGTTAACTTTTAAATTATAAGCTTAACATACATTCCACAAAGTATACAGATCATAAGTGCTTAGCAACTTCTTAAAAGAAATAATTTAAATTCTGCTTTCTTTCCTCATAAAGAGTGATTTAAGGAGGACCTGTAGTGTGAATGACAGAACCCTGAGGCATGCCATTGACGGTGTGCAGTGTTCTTTCCTCACCCACACACCTCTGAGACACAGAACCTGAACCTAACGCACATTTTCTTGAGATTTCATTGAAGGCTTTTCAGTTGCTAAGTGGCCTGGCTTACTGTAAGTAGCAGAAGTATTGTCTGAGAAGCAGAAAATCTAAACCATTTACCATGACATTCTCAAATGACTAAAAAACTAATTTTATTCCAGCTAATGTGGACAGATAGAGTCCTGAGCCAGAGTGGGCTTAGACAATAGGCACACCTTTGTTCTGGAAGCCATGTTTCCTTTGACTTACCTGTTTGATCAGCAGCCGCTTCTTCTCTTCATTCTGCTCATCTCTGGTTTGCAAGTCCCTCTCAAACTGGGCCTTCATGGCCTGCATGTTGACCTCCAGGCGGAGCTTGGCATCCTCTGTGGCCTGGAGCTCATCTTCTAGCTCCTCTAGCTGGGTCCTCATTTCTTCTACCTGCTGCTCTAGGGCCCGCTTGGATTTCTCAAGTTCATGAACCTGAACCACAGGAAGCATCAAGGAAGAGGTGAACCTTGGCAGAGGCACAAGTTAGGGACAGCAGCTTTCCCACTTAAAGATCTACATGTGGCATGATAGCCACTTTGGTTGCTCTTAGCTGCCCTTTGACACCTGCACACACCCTTCCCTTCTCCTTGAGGGCTGCTATTCATTTCAGAGATACAATTTAAAACTCCAACATCAACTTCTTTATTAATGCGTGTTCTGTAATCATCATTCTGATGATCTTTGAGGTAAGAGCTTCGCAAAGCCAAAGGACAATGAAAACACAGCAGCATTAGAGGAAACTGCATGCTAGCTGGCCACTTGCCTGCTGTGTGTGACAGGTAGGAGGATTCACTTCTTGCTGCAGAAAAGATCACTCGGAATGGAAAGGCCCGCAAATAGACTTGTGAATCTTAAGGTGGGTTGGGCCCAAGAAGCAGGGTTCAGTGGTAAGGAGGCGTGGTTTTTGAGAGCCATGCTACCCCCGACCATGTCAGATCTCACAGAGGTGAGCAGAGGAAGCTTTATGACAGGAGGGTCCATTTTCTAAGCAGTGTCTGGCAGTCAGCAGGCACCAAAGACATGTCTGTGGAATGCCGATGAGAATGTTGATTATGCTAAAGAGAACTACCATGGAGCGGACTGTAGGATTCTTTCTGCACTGTACTGTAATCATAATCATTTCTATTCTGAGGAGCCTCTCCTTGTCTATAGAGGTGGTCCCCCGGGTGCCAGGATGTAGGAAATCCAGCAGGAAGGTTCTCCTGTACTTATGGCATGGCCCATGAAAATGAGTCCTTAACTTTATAGAGGGCTTCATGCTTTTCAAAGCAGCTGAAATAGGGCAAGTATAGTGTCCATGTGACAGATGAAGACATTTAGGCTTAGCAAGTTTAAGAGGCTTCCCACAATCATAATGGAAGCTGGTGGCAGAGCCAAGGTTGGACCCTCACTTCTGAATGCCAGGTCCAAGTTTGTTTTGCTAGCCTCAACGTATTATATACTAAGGGAGGGACAGAAGGTTAAGTAAAAAGCATTGAGGCTCTTGTAGATGTGTACAGAGGAAAGAGGAGCAATGCCATAGAAATTTCCAAAATCTGCACAAACCCCCAAAGCCACAGAAGCCTTCAAGACAAAAGCTGGGGCCTTGCTAGGAAGGCCAGGGCAGAGGAGACTGCAGCCCCTACTCACTTGATCTCAGGGTAGGTAGGTTTGGTAACTACTGGAGACTGCAGAACAGCGAAATACTGTTGTTGAAAGGTCCCCTTCCAGGATGGAGCTGGGGCAGGAGGGCTGGGGCTGAGGGGTGTGCCAGGGCCTGGCAGAGGTAATGGAGAACAGACTGCAGGCCACCTGACTGTTGGCCCTGAAGATGTCAGTGCCCTGTTCACACAGGCCAAAGTGCCCCTGGTCAGCCCTGCTGTGGTTCTGTATCCCTGATTCTTCACTCCCAAGGCTCCATGCCCCAGGGCTGCCTTCCAATGGGGCCCAGAGGTGACTTACATTCTTCCCCACATCATCTTTGGAGCTCATCAGGTCTTCCATGTCTGCTCGGAGCTGCTTGTTCTGCCTCTCAAACTCCTCCTTGGCCTCCAGGGCTTCCTCGAGGGCCCGGGACAGGGACAGGGCTTTAGTTTCTTTCTCTCTGGCCTCTGCTTCTGCCCGGTCCCGCTCTTCTGCATAGCGAGCAGAAATGTTCTTCTCTTCTGCTAACAGCTGCACAATAAGACAATAAAAATAACATTTGCTATGGTATGGCTTACTGCTAAGAGTACTACCAGAGATTGATTGAGGATCCCTAATCTGAACGTCCATGATGCCACAAAAGGAAAATCCCACACCTGCCCTGGGACAGGGGACAGCCAAAACGCAGGTGCACTGAAACATATTGTATAAAACTGCCTTCAGTCCATGAGGATAAGTGTATATAAGACACGAATTTCATGTTTACACAGGGCTCATCTCTCCAAGATATTTAATTATGTAGATGCAAATATTACAAAGTCAGAAAACAATCCTAAATCTGAAACACTTCTGATCTCAAACATTTTGGACAAGTGATATTCAACCTGAATTAGGTTATGGGAGTTTTTGTATTTCACGTTGTGTTCTCTTTTCCAATTTTTATATAAGATTGTATTGTTTTTAAATAAAGAAACATTGTTTTATACCAGAATGCCAAAAAAAAAAGCAAGAGCTCTGCCAGATGGAAACAACATGTGGAGTGGGATCTTGAGCAAGGGAGCCTGGATGCAGACAACCCACCTGATCGAATTTCTTCTGCTTCTTCTCCAAGTTGGAGACGATCTGGCGCTGGTGATCCAGGTCCACTGTTAGGTCGTCGAGCTCCTGCTGCAGGCGGTTCTTGGTCTTTTCCAGCTTGTCATAAGCTAGTGCCTTCTCTTCCAGGCGCTGGCTCAGTGCCTCCACATCTTTCAGAAGCTTCTTTTTGGCTTCTTCCAAACTCTCGATGGTTCCTAAATCATCATCTACTTTCTTCTTGGTATCAGCCAACTGGGTGAGGGGTAAGGAGAAACAAGAATATCAACATTAAAGGATTCAATTAGTTTTTATATGTAAGGAATACAAAAACTTGGTTCCAGTATTATAAATTGACACTGTATGACTTTAAAACAAATGAGTCTTCAATTGTAACATAATTTTTTAGGTAATAATCTCTACAGTGATGACTGGATTGCAACCTTACATAGTTGCCACTGTCCTGTCTTTACTGCCTCCCTCATTATGACCAGCATAGGTTATCAGTATTTGGCTGGGTCCAAGAAAAGATGTGTAGCAGGCTTAATTTAGTACAACCTAATTAAATGCTCCAAATGGGAGTTTGAAACAGTCCTGTCCATCAGGGACGTCAGCTGCCTACAGCATGTATCTAGGGCATCTCAGCTTCCTAAAGAGGGTACTTACCTGGGACTGCAGGGCTAACACCTGCTTCTCCAGGTTCTTCCTGGCCTCTTCCTCCTCCTCCTGCTGCTCTTGAAGACTATTCTTCTCTTCTTCCAGCTGCCGGATCCGGCTGCTCAGGTTCAGTTTTTGGCGTGTCTCCTCCTGAAGGAGCTCCTGTTTAAAAAGTCAGTACTTAAGTTACACTTGGGAGAGGGGAGAATGGAGAAGGGAAGAGAAGTAAAATGAATTAAGATGTGTTATGTACATGTACCAACACCTCACAAGGAATGTAACCATTATATACTGCAAACGTACTAATAAAAATAAAAATTAAAAAAAATTAAGTTACATTAACACCTGGGCTTGAGTCCCAGCACCTGAGTTGGTGATGGTGCTGGTGGATGACCAAAACTAAAAAACCTCAATTAAAAAATTCATGTCATCAAAAACAAAACAAAAGAAAGAGCCTTAGTGGATGAGAAATATCCAGTAACAAACACAAATGACTTAAGAACACCCATGGCACACATGACAATTCTGTAAAGCTCTTAGCTCAGACAAGGCTTTAGGCTCACTGGAGGATGGCAGTTCCTCCCCTGCATCTAGGGTCCAGGCCACAAACACTCCTGCTTTCCTGCATCTTCAGTCCCTTCTCTTCTTCCTTCCATTCCTCAGCCTCAAAACAGGCTGTTGGCATTGCCTGGTAGGATTCTTGGGTATTCCCTCAATTAACTGTCTTTTATATTTTCTGCCAGCTTAACTTCTCTAAAGTGTAAGTGCAAACATGTCTTTTCTGTTACTTTTATACTTGAAAAATTTCAAAGGCATTATGAAGGTTTTTGTGATCTGGCTCTTCTTTTGGTTTTACCGGCTGCGTGTATAACCTAATTACACTGAACTTATTTTCAATGGCCTAACTACCCCATTTGCTGTTTGTCTTAAGATTCTTGTCCCTTTATCCAGCATCTAATCCAGAACCTGCCAAATAAATACCTACAAATACTTGCAAGTTTAATAAAAAATGAGATGTATAACTCCAAGAAAAATGTGCTACATTATCTTTAATTAACTTTTATTTGACACATAAAAATCCCAAATAGATGATTTACTTATTGGACCTGTATGATAAGCAAGCATCAACCTACCCTTTTACAAAATGGATTTAGAACTCTTAGGTCAACAAAATGAAAAACAACCCTAATAAAACAATCTTATTTAAGATAGCAAAATAGGGTTCCATTGGGGTAAATCTTAGTGTGTGTAGCACCATGTGTGTCAGCTAGAGCCATGTCCTGGCCACCTGCACACCTGCAGGACACAGGAGCGTAGGTTCTGTGTCACAGCATTGAGCCTCAGTGGCGATACCTGAGGTAGCAAGGTCAGGTACGATAAAAGATGGCTCCTAATACAAGACTGACATGAAATTAGTAAGTGGGGATATTACCGAGAGCAATTCTAGAGCTGGCAGATTTTAGCAGTCTATATATAATAAAATGTTAGTTATTACTCAAGACTTCTCCTCCCCCGCCCCCCAACAATACCTGTGTATCCTGTAGTTGAGACTCTAGGCTAGCTGCATCCTTAGCAAATTTAACACCTTTCTTCTCTGCTTCTTCCAGAAGGGTTGAGACATTATCCAACTCATTCTGTAGGGAGGAGTAAAAGATTAATTTGATTCAACTGTAAATAGATAAAAAGGATTTGGAATCATAGCTCTTAAACAGAACACAAATGGAGCAGTGTCTGGCATATGTGTAAATTGAAATTGCCAAAGTCAATTAAGGAAGACTTTCACTACCAATGTGGTGTAATCGAAATATATAGTGACTGTTTATAAGAAATTATTACAGTTAAGACACATTGCTAATAATTCCCCTCAAAATACTCCCCTTTGCTTTAAGCACACTTATCCCATCCTTCTTGCAATTTTCTGAAGCAGTTCTGGAAGTCTTCTTTCATGGGTGCCGAGTGCCATCCAACAGAAAGGCAGGCTTGTAAAAACATTACACTGCGTCCTCATCCACCGTATTCATTGCTTCTGGCACTGTGTAGCTTCTGGCTCTTCCTCAAAGTCAAATGCTCATGAAAGGTAAATGTTTTAAATGGATTCAGGACACTGAAGCAGCCACTACAGTGCAACTGAAGACATGAAAGAGGACTTCCAGAACTGCAGCGGAAAGTGGCAAGCACAACGTGTAAGTGTGAGAGATGAGGGGGAGTATTTTGAGGGGGGTTAATGGCGTGTGTTTTACTGTGATAAATTTTTTAAAAATTTCAATAGTCACTGTGTTTTTCAATCACACTGCATAGAACTGGTTGCCTTGAGACAGTGCTCAAGGTGGTGACAGCTGGCCCCGGGACACCTCAGGAAATCTCTTCCTACTGAAAGGACAGGGAGGGTGGCAGTGTCAGGGCTTTCCCCTAACAGTAGTGGACCACCTGGTCCTACTTTCACCATGAAGAAATAAAGATGACAGCAAATCCTTTGAAAGGGTGACAGCTATTCTAAGTGAAGAGGCTGTGAGGCCGGCAGATGTTTATTTTAATCTTTTCCACATCAAGATGCATTAAGCACATGCTTTGTGGTTAAATGTAACTCATTTTCTTTTTAATTTTATTTTATTGGTACATTTTAGGTGTAACTCATTTTCTTACAGAACTTGAAAACGTTATTTTAAGGACTCAAAGAAACTCTAATTCCAGTATTTAGTTAAAAGTTCTTTTAGTGTCTAAGAATCTTGTATTATGTATTTACCATAAATAGTTATTTCTTATGCTCAGATTCCAGAAATAATGTAGTTTTTCTTTTTTCTTTTCCTCCTCAGTTAAGGATAGCTCTAAAATATTTTCCAAAAAGTTTCCCATGGTGTTAAATATTGTATTAATTTTTTTGTGAGGACAGTGGGTACAGAAAGAAGTGGGGAGACTCAGAAGGGACAGAAGCGTGCCCTTTGTTCTCACCCATGCTCTCTCGTCCCGTCAGCAAAGTTAAGTGTGTGGAGGCCACATCTGTATGTACAGTCCAAACCAATGCTGCTTCTCTTCTTACTCTTTAACAACATTCTCCAGAGAGCTCATGTTAGGAGTCTTGGGAACAGTGTGGTAATTTGGAAGGGCTCCGGGGTCAGGAGAAACCCCTGCCTTCAGCCCAAGCTCTGCAGTCTGACAGCCAGTCCCTGGAGGGAGGCAGGCCTATCGAGTCTTTGGCTATCACTCAGGGTTGGGGTGAGGATACAATGGAGGAACCATGTACACAAATGGGGCCTCGTCATAGGCCTGGTATGGCTCAGGCCTGCTAAGTGTCACTCACCTTGCCTCCATGCTGTACAGAGCTCCTAGCACAGCAAGATCTTCCATTTAGGAAGGTCTTTCCAGATGTGCACAGCACACACACAACATGTAAGCTCACACCTTAGGCTGGAGACTGTTCTCCTCACAGAGGCCTACTTGTGCTGCTGCCCCCAGTTGGTGTCTGGGAACCTGGATTTCGAGACTCTCTCATTTCCTAAGGAGTAAGTGTGGCTCACTGTCCCTAACTACTGGTGCCTGACAGGGCTTACGCATACCTGCTTTGCTCCTGGGAGTCCAGAACTGTGATGTGCCTGGCTGAGTGCTTCCATGGCCAGTTCCCACAACAACCTGGGCATGGAGCTCTGACGAGCTCGCACATTATCGTACACCTGCTGCTGGAGGAGCTAACTGCATCCTGTGTGACTGCCCTGGCAGTGTACGCCGGGTTTCCCCAGGATTGCAGCACCCAGAATCAACATGCTCCAGCTTACCTGCAGCTTATTTGCTTTCTCGGCCAGCTCCATCCGGAGCCTGTCTCCTTCTGAGACCTTGGCATGGAGCTCCTGGACCTGGGCATCGAGCTTCTTCCTCTTGTGTTCAGACTCGGCCTTGACCTGTTGCAGCACCTTCACCTCACATGCCAGCTCCTTGTTGTCTGTCTCGAGGCCCTGCTTGTTCTTCTCCAGATTCGCTTTGAACTAGGAGATGGTTGGGAAGAATAATTTATAAGTTCTCTTACAAAACTGCACAAAAAGCACTGTTTGTCTGCAGAAATGTGCACAACAGTCTGCAGGCAATGCTTGTTGAATAAATGAATGAAAAACATCTGTTGTTACTTGGGTGGCAAAAGTTTTACATGAGGAATGCCCCATACACACTGCTTGGGGTTGGGCAGCTATAGATTTTTAGAGGGCCATGGCACCATGCAATTCTCCTTGTCCATGCAAGAAGGGGGAACTGTATATATCATATAACAACTACCAAATCTTGTTAGTTTAACAACATTTGTAAGACAGGTGTGGTGTGTATGCCTATAATCCCACCTACTCAGGAGGTTGAGACAGGAGGATCACAAGTTCAAGAGCAGCCTGGGCAAACACAGACCCTGTCTCAAAATAACGTAAGAAGACTGTGTGTGTGCGCATGTGTGCGTCTGAGTAGTAGAGTCCTGGGCTACCACCACAAGGTCCTAGACTCAATCTCCAGCACCACGAAAAAATAACCCCTCTCTAACATGAGTAAGCATCATGGTATGGGGTGGTCACAGCAGGGAGGGTCTCTGAGGACTGCTGCAGGGAGGAGATGGGGCTCCATGAACCTCTGGGGCCAGACTGCCTGGCTTCAGCCTGCCTTTGTGCTTACTAGCTATGTGGCCCTGGCCTATTTACCTTCTACTGTTGCACCTTTTTCCTCACCCTTTAAATGAAAGTACCCCATCAGGCTGTAAGCAAAGCTAAAGAGGCAGTGCAGGCAGAGGACATAGCACAGTGACTGATCTACTCTTGTGTAAAAATGCAGTACCACTGTCATCGCCTTTGTTAAAAGGTGGCGTGTGGCCAGGCAGAGAAGAGAAAGACAGGGAAAGCAGACAGAAAAGGCATGAAGAAAAGATGACTCGGAACTAAGGAGGAAGAAGACACTGGTGTGCACAGGTTGGGGGAGGAGTCGGAGGCTAGAAAGCCTGGATGAGCTGGGCTTTCACAGGGATGAATGGCAACCATGTGACAGCTCTGAGGTGAGATGAGGCAGGAAAGAAGAAGAAGGGAAATACAAACACAAGGAACGCTCAAAGGGAACACCCACAGGACGGTGACTTCCTGGCAGCAGATGAATGAGAATGACTGTGAAAGCATTCAGGGCTGAGTGCTAAGCCCTGGGGAGAAGGATATCAGAACTGGGGAAGGGCGTGTGATATGAGGTGATAGCTGGATCCACTCCGTTCTTCTAAAGAGTCCAATCAAGGGCACATGGCTTTCTGCCCCAAGGGATGTGCTTTTTGGAAGTAGCTACCACCTTCTGAGCAACCGGGTTCCCTGTCAGGCTGGCACAGTGCCTTGCAGAGGCCCAGAACGCATCAGTGTGCTGAGTGAAGCGGCCACACAGTAGGGGGCCTGTCTTATGGGCACACAGCCAGGGTCCCTCACCCTCTTGGCCTGCTCCAGCTGCTCAGAGAGCTCCTCCAGTGCTGTTGCATGTCTTTGTCTCATGTCCTGGATTTGAGCTTCATGGTTCTTAGTTTCTTCCTCAAGAGCTTTCTTCAGCTCTGCCACCTCCTGTTCCCGTTTGGTGCTAGAGAAACATTTTTATAGAATAAAGATCAGAATTAGTCAACTAACATATTTTTAAAAAGTGCTATTTTTGTTTTAACCCTTATAGCAATTCTTTTGATAAATATCGGACACAATGCTCCAGTAAGCTGGCACATCCATCACTGTGATGTTACAAACCCTTCTAGAACCAGCGCAACTTCCCTTCCACATCTGACTCACAACCCAGATATCTTTAAGGGTCTTCAGATTGTTCTGGGCAGTCTGGATTCATTGTGGGTCAGGAACTGGTAAACACAAGGTGCCAAACTGCCAGCCACAGCCTCAGCAGACTTCAACAGATCCAGAAGGTAATCCCAACAGGCTAAGTTTTGGGTTTGGGGAGAGGAAGAGGAGGAGGCAGGCTGAAAGGCCACGTTCCTGGTTCAGAAAGGCTCTCTGGTGTTTCACAGAACAGAGCAGGCAGTAAGACAAGAGATAGGAATGTTCTGAGCAAAACTGAGGTTCTACTTAACCCGCATTTAAGTACAAAATCATATCAGTGTTACATACCTCTGCATGGCTAATATTTTTCTAATTATCTACTATATACACTGGGTAACTTGAACAACCAAGTTATTTTACTAACATGAATTAGTGACACAGCTACCACCCAATCACAAGTCATTCTTTAAGATTTTCAACCTGAGCACTGTAAGTATAATATTTAACAGACTGAAACCAAGGGCTGGGCCTAGCATGCCTTGAACTGTGGGTTCCATCCCCAGCACTACAGGGGGAAAACCCCCAAACAACAAAGACTCAAACCAGTAAGACCAACACAGTACCACTCCTGCTAAGACCTATGTTACTACTGTTTCATTAGCTGTAGCTCATAATTCTGAAGCATATTGCTGGCAAATTTGTTGTATACTTTAAGATGCTGATTCCTGCATAGACACATTTTCTCCCCTCTCCAGTGGAGCTGCGAGATCTTAAGGGTTGAGATCACTGCCAAGAGAAAAGGCTTCTGTGGCTGCCAGCTTTGTGGTCACACATTGCCCAGACACAAGGAATCATTGAAGATTCTTTGTGGTTCAGCCCAGCTCAGCCACACGTCTCAGTGGCTCGGCTGGTCGTCAAACACACGTGGTCTGGCCTGGCCTCTGCCTGGTGTCCATCAAGATTACTTCAGTTCACCCTGGTGTTTTTTATTTATCAGTCTTCCATACAATCTCCCCTGCCTACCCCTTATCTCTTGGGTGAGTAGCTCTGCTCTTGATCTCCACTTGAACGCAAAAAGGACCTTTTTACCTTTCTCTCCCCCTGGGTCAACAACCCAATTCTTTTCAGTCTCTCATCGTAACTCCTACACTTGATCTTAGCCAAAAGGCCGAGAAGTGATCTCTCAGATCTCTCATTGTAACTCCTAACAAGACTTAAAATGCGGAAGAGAATTTAATTTGCTGAAGTCCCTCCCACTTTTCTGGTACTGGGATTGAATCCAGGGCCTTCAAACTGAGCAACACTCTCAGCGTTGTTATTTTTAAATTTTGAGATAAGGTCTCAATAAGTGGCTAAGTTGCCTGGGCTGGGCTCCAACTTGAGATCGTCCTGCCTCAGGCTCCCAGAGCACGGAGATTATAGGGATGTGCCACCACGCCTTGTTGGGACCATTATTTTTATGCTCATCATGTGATGCACAATTCAGGGAAGAACCAGATGAAAGTAGGTCCTTAGCAAGACTAGCACACATCTGAGCGGCAAGTGATCAGATTCTTCACAAAACAGAATCAGTGAGTGCTGTAGTTCAGCACTTGCACATATCATTTGTTTTCTTCCTGTGGCACTTGGGACCAAACCCAGGGCTTCAGAGGTGATAGGCAAGCATTCCCACTGAGTACAATCCAGCCCTGTTTTTTAAAAACTTTTTTTTAAAAAAAAAACCAAAAAACAAGAATTGAATGTGAAAAATGATTAGAATCTTTTTTCTACTTGATCAAAAGCCCCCAAAGTTTAGTTCAGTGGTTTCCAGATTTTAAAAACAGCAGATCTTTTGAAGGGAACCCAGTGCTTAAAACTGCTAAAACTCCTGAGGGGACAGGAAGCCTCTAACTGTCTGGTTCAGATGGGCTCCAACCATCTATGTGGGAAACATGGGCTGGGAACGACACTCATTAGCCTCTGAACTGCTGCTACAGAAGTACACGTTCATGGTCAAAATTGTGGATGTACATCATTAAGCTCTCCATCTGTTTCCTTACCCCTGAGTGCTCTGGAAACTGATCTGATCTTGGTCTCACTGCTCTGTAGATACCGTAATTTCATCCTGTCCACATCCAGGTTTCCAGCTGCTGGGTGGACCCAGATGACCACACCCTGTCTGTCCAGGTAAGAGGCTGCCTTTGATCACCCACCTCCCTGGTTGCCCCAAGTTGTTTTTACCCGAGACACCTGTTTTCATGACTTTCTCTGTCCCTGCTTTTATTCCAGCCCTTGGCACCTCCCCAAGTGATGGGCTACTCTTCTCTCACAACCCAGTGGCCAGCAGGACTGCCACCTAGCTGGGATTCCTGGGTAACAGACAGGCTGAGTCTGGAGGAGGGAGGAGATGCTCACAAGAGGCTGAGCAGCACGCTGGACCATCTCCCCCCACCTCTTTACACGGCTCCAGCACAGCTGTGAGAATGACATCCACTGGCCTGATCTGTGCACCACCACTCCGAGGCTGATGTGCACAGGTCCTGTGGACCTGACTGCCTTCACCATGTATGCCACTGTGGGCCTGCACCTGGCCCTGTGCACACCTGAGGACCTGCACTCACCCTTCTGCCTGTCTCTGTGTCTGCACATCTCCTTGCTCATCTGCTGCTGTCCACGCCACCTGGTACTGTTGGCAGATGGCTGAGCACCCATTGGCTACTCTGTACTTATTGCATCTCTCCTCTCAATAGGCCTCTTTCCAGCCCTCTCTCTGTTCCTGTCGTTGCGTAACATCCACCACTGGCTATGACTTTCTGACCACATTCTGCTGGGCCAGGGCAGGTATTTCTGCCCATTGACTGGCTTGTTTCTGACCTTTGTTAATTCATCATTGTTCCATCTGCCATCACTCCCAGGAGGGAGAAAGGATACTCAGAATGACATCTTAGAGAAAATGTACTGTGTCCCAAAATGGCATCTCCATAGCGCCGGCAGGGGCTGCTGAGAGCCTGCAGTGCCAGGTGGTGGCCCGTTTCCACACTCACCGAAGTTCCTGCTGGGCTGCTGTGGTGTCCAGAGTGTCCTCCAGCTCTGTTTTCAGAGCTTCCAGCTCCTCACTCAAGTCCCTTTTCTGCTTTTCTGCCTTGTTCCGTGAAGCCTTCTCAGACTCAAAGTCTTCCTGAAGTTCGGCAATTTGGGCCTGCAGCTCTCGCACAACTTTCAGTGCATTATTCTTGTGCAGTGTCTCATCGTCACCTCTGTTGAAACAGCAAGGCCCAAGAGGCACTCAGGACAGTGTCCTGATGGGCGGTGTCCCCACCCTCTCCAGGAGGGGGCGCCAGTTACACCTCCTTCTGCTGGGATATGACAGGCCCCCAGGTCAGTAGCCTGGGCAAGGCCCTGAAGCTGGTAGTGGGAGCCAGAATTAGAATCAAGCCCAGCACCCTTGCCAATGGACTGTAATTCTCCATTTAAAGGTGGGGCAATCTCACTTGAATGATTAGAATATTTACCAATGTTCCTCCAAGTGTTGCTGTAGTCACAGCACTGCTGGCTGGAGGTAGCAGTCTAGCCCACCAGCTTGGAGTAAATATACAGATTCAAGAACGCTTGTGGGACACAGAAGAGAGGACTGCTACCTTCACACTTGTCACTCACTGTGTTCCTCTTGAGGGTCTTTGTACTTACATCTGTGGTTTAAATGTCAGTAAGGATTTCTTTTTTTTCTTTTTCTTTTTTTTTTTGGTACTGGGGATTGAACTCAGGACCTCATGCTTGCAAGGCAGGCACGGTGCCACTGAGCTAAATCCCCAGCCCGGGAAGGACATCATCAGCATCTTTTTTTTTTTTTTTTTTTGGTACCAGGAATCAAACTCGGATCCTTACACTTACAAGGCAGGCGGCAGCGGAATCAGTAGGGATATCTGACAGTGCAGTTGGACTGTTTGAGGTGAGGAAGGGAGAAGCTGATAGATATGACAGTGACTGGTGAAAAATGTAATCTGTGTTCTTATAAATGAAAAGAGCTCGTCTCTAAGTGGAAAAGCAGCTGATTTGGCCAGAATACCAGTGATAAGGGCCATAGAGAACTTTTTATTAAGATGTTGATTATAACTAATTATAAATTAAATTCCAAGTTCTATGACCATGTAGCCAAATATTCTTTAAAAAGAAATAAAATATCAGAAATATGTTGAGTGTATATGATATATACTCTAAAACCAAATGGTTTAGAACTGTAAGATATGCTATAGGTGAAAAATAATTTTCTTGAAAGATCCAAAGGATACTGAAACTAATCTGTAATGTAGAGAAAACAAAACATTTGACATGATAAAATTTGTTCTGGTGTGAATTTCCCAGGATTTCATGGTATTTACATATAAATTCATGATATTTACATATAAATATGGACAATGGTTTGTGAGATCTTTTTGCTGCCCTGACACAAAATTATGTACTCCTGGGTTTTTCATGAACTTATGTCATATCCAATAGCAAGTAAACCACACCTCACTCCCCGGGGCCTTTCCTATGCATCTGGATGTGACACACACTGCCGGAACTCTGGCTGGCAGCAGCGTGCTCCTCCCAGAATGACAGACCTGGCCAATGCCCCCTGAAGCTCCTCCTCCTTCTTGGCTAGCTGGATTTTGAGCTCATCGACCTGGGCTTGGAGCTCAGCAATCTGGTCCTGCAGGTCAGTTGTTTCACCATCAAGTTTCCTCTTGGCCTTTTCTAGTTCCTGACGAGTCTTCTCTTCCTTCTTCAAGCGTTCTTTAAGGCAAGAGGAAAGAAGTTCTTCAACACATCAAAAGACCTATGCCACCATATGGACACACACCAAGTGTTGTGTAATGTACATGTACCAACTCCCCATGATGAATGTAATTGTTATGTACTGCCAACATGAATTCATAAAAATTTTAAAAATTGAACTCCCCACAACAAAACCAAGATGTGAACTGATCAAAGCTAAGAATAAGCCATTGTATTTTAAGACATGTTGTTGCCTTGCTTAGTCATTTGAAACCCAACAAGATCAAATTAGTGAGACAAATCAATTCAAGGTCAGAATTTTAAGGAGGAAGTCCCATAGAGCCTAAGGATATCCCTTCTTGGAAAGGGAGACCATGCTGTAAGAGCCGAAGTGATCTGGAACCATCCCATGTCAAAACCATCACTGTGCTCAGATCTGGAAAGTGGCCCAGCAGGTGCCACAGCTGTGTCAGTCACTTCCTGAGCTCCAGACTCCCTTTGGTGGGAATCCCTGGCTTGAACTGCCCCCAAGCACTGGGGCAGAAAGGACAGAGGACCAGCAAGGGAGGGCTGTGCACCTCCCCACCATCCCCTCTACACTTCTATGGTGGCTCCTTCATTAAGTCCAGTGACCTGTTCTGTTTACATGGTTTCCTCACAACAGGTAACCTGTGGGCCTTGGGTTCTCCAGCAGGAGCCCAGTGCTGAGAGGAAGAGACAAGGTTGATCAGACAGCAAGAGAAAAACAGGCACATCTGTTTTATGGGGACTTCCTTAGCAGAGGGATTATGTATGGGTAAAAATGGTTTATGAAAAGAATCTCATACTGACATTCTATCTTTTGTTGATACTAAACAAAAAAGCCAAAACCAATTCTCTTTAAGTGTTTTCTCAAAAACCCCAAGCTCATTTTCTCCCACCATAAAAGCACATTTGGAAAGAAGTGGGTGTACCCCGGCAGCGCCTGAGCAGAGCTGTGACGTCAGCCATCAGCCACTCAACCGCCCTCTGCTGATGACCCACACCTCTCTGTCAGTTCAAGGAAAAGTCTTCTATATGCTCTATAACTTCCAGCCTCAGTGATTTCTTTTGCAGCAGTCCTAATCCTAAACCTAACCCTACTTTTGCCATCAGAGTGAGACATCATTACCCTTGGTGGTTTTTCCTCTGTCCTGCCAGTTTCTATGTCAGGGGCTGTTCCCTGTGGGTTTTTAGATCAGACACCCAGAACAGCTGATGTTCTGTGGATTTCAAATAAGACCACCAAAGGCAGTATCTTCCAGTATGGTACCAAACTTTAAAAAGTAAAACTATTTTTATGCTATTCCATCAGAAATACAAAGTGACTAGGCAGGACAGAATAAGCTGGAAGAGATCTGTTATAGTGAACCTAAAATGAAGGCTTTTATCACCAGTAGTTACCTGTGCTTCCTACGACAGCATCTCCAATTAAAGTAAAATCTCAACACACTCATGGCCTCTTTCAAAACTTCTCTAGCCCCAAACACTGACCTTCCAAGTCTGAGATCATCACTTCTTGCTTATTCCTGATTTTGGCTAAGTTTTTTGCCTTTTCTTCCTCTTCAGCCAGCTGAGAGGAACACTCAGCAATGCGATCTTCCATGAGTTTCTTCTCCTGAATAGAGAAAATTGACTGTTTCAGAAAAGGCATTCAAAATAACAGCTTGGGTTTGGTATTACTCAGAAAGAAAAATCAACTTTCTTTGGTGAAGAGAAAAGTCACACTGGCCCTTCCTCCCCCAGCAGATGGCATCCTGCAGAGGCAGGGGCCCCTGGCCCATGAGCCTGCTGGGGGCTGAGCCCACACTAGAGCTGGCACAGATGGGAACAAGTCATCAGTGACAGCCATTGTGCACAAAATGCACAAGTTAAAAGTCTACAGGATTCAAAGGGTAACTGGTAGATTTATAAAGCTGAACAGTGTCCTGTGTCTTTAGAAATGTAGACAGGTAGAGATTTACAAGAAAACTAAGTCAATGAACCTAAAATCTTCTTGAGAATTTTCCGTTGGAGACCACATTCCAGGAGTTCAACACAGGGATCTCCTGGATTCTAAAATCAGCTTTTTATGAAACAAATCCCTTACTTTGACAAACTTGGAGTTTTGGTCCTCAAGAAGGAGAATCTCCTCTTCCATCTTCTTGATTTTAGCCTCTGCCGTCACCTTCTCCAGCTGCAGCTTCTGCCGGGCCCCTTCTTCCTCATCTAGCTGCTCTTCCAGGTCCTGGTGAGGAAGAATCCATGGTCAGTGTCCTCGCTTCTGAACGAGAGTCCATGGCACACTCAGTGTGCACAGCAATGCATGCAAGTGAGACACTCCCTTTGGATTTCCAAGTGGCATTTAAAAAATACGAAACAGATTTATTTGTACCATGTACATGTTAAAGTACAAAGTGGTTCAACATCACTGGTCATTCGAGAGATGCAAATGAAAACAACACTGAGATTCCACTTCACTCCAGAAAGAATGGCTGCTATCATGAAATTAACCAGTAACAAATGCTGGTGGGGCTGTGGGGAAAGAGGAACCCTGCTCCAGTGCTGGTGGGAGTGTAGACTGGTGCAACCACTGTGGAAATCAGTATGGAGATACCTCAAAGAACTAGGACTGGAAGTCCTATTTGACCCTGCTATTCCACTGTCGGGGATCTTCCCGAAAGAATTAAAAGAATCACACCACAGTGATATATGTGCACCCATGTTCTTAGCAGCACAGTTTGTGATAGCTAAAACTTGGAAACAGGCCAAATGCCCATCAACTGGAGACTGGATAAAGAAAATGTGGTTTTTTAATAAATGGAGTACTACTCAGCCTTAAAAAATGATAAATTAGAGACATTTATAGTGAAGTGGATGCACATTGAGGCAATACTCTTAAGTGAAATAAATAGGACACACATGTATAAATACCGAATAGTTTCTCTGGTGTGAGAAACTGAAAGTGTAAATAAGGACTAAATGTATAATAGGTAATGTGAAATAGGAAGAAAAGGGGCAAAGGGGAAGGGAGTGGGAGGGCTAGGGGAAAGGATAGAAGGGAATGGGATTAATATGAGAAAATGGAAAAATAGGAACAAATTCTTTGTAAATAGGGAGGAATGGAGGGGTTGAAGGGAGGGCTGGGCAAGGGTGAAAAATAAAAACCAAGAGAGACTAGTAAAGGTGCAAATTTCCAATGATGAATGTCATTATATTGTATACCTAAAATGTACCAATGATTAGAATGAATAATCGATAATGCAAAATAGGAAGAAAAGGTCCAAAGGGGTAGGGGTAGTGGAAGGGGCAGGGGAAAGGAAAGAAGGGAAAGGAAAAATGTTGAGAAATGGAGAAAATGGAAAAAAAGTCTTTGTAAATAGGGAAGGGTGGAGGGCATGAAGGGAGGGCTAAGAATGGGGAAAAAATAAGAACCAAGATGCATTATGTAAAGGTACAATTCCCAATGAGAAACGTTAATTGTGTTGTGTACCTACAATGTACCAATAAAAGAATTTAATTAAAAAAAACAAAACAAAACAAAACAAAAAACCAAAGTGGCTTGGATCTTTCTGAAAGCCAACATGGCAAAGTGTAGCAAGCTTTGCAACTGGTCATCTCTTAAAAAAACCAGCAATTTCACAAGAGTGTCAGATGTTACTTGTATAAAAAAAGTATTGTGAAGGGTTATGTGTAATAATGAAAAACTATGAACATGTTATAAAAAGGGTCTTGGTAATTAAGTGTTGGTACATTTGTAAAATGGAATAACATGGTCCTATTTTGCAATGAATGACAGGGAATATGAGCAATACAGTAGAACTACATCAAATACGTATTTAACTTAGTTGAATTCAACTGTACATGTTCAAAGAGACAAGAAAGAGAACATGAAACAACAGTTCCAATCAGTGAGAAATTAGCTGTCTCAGTTCCAGTGCCATTTTCCCAAGATGAGCATCTTACCCAACTAAGCGGAGGTCTAGGATTTAATTTATTTTTACTATAAAACGCTTACTTTTATTTCACACCCTATATTACTCAATATATATATTAGTGAACAGAGTGTACATACAAATCAGTGTATGGCTAATTTAGCAAATTTTCAAGAGTAATTTTGTCTAAGTAATTTACTCATGGTTAATTTTAGACTGAAACCCTTACAAAAGATGAATTTTATATTTTGGGGAAACTGAATAAATATCTAAGCACACAGAGTCATACAGTGAGCCCTACCCACATGCCTCATGCCAGCCTTAACAAGCATCAACTCGTGTTCAGGACATTTCATCCAGATCCCTCTTCTCCCTTCTCTCCTGGCTTATATGGAAGTAAATCCCAGATGTTCTATTTCATCTGAAAAAATCTCTAGGCTGTATCTCAAAGAAATAAAGATGTTGTGAGTGACCAATATGTCTTGTGAGACTCCCATAATCTCTAGGTTTCCCTATGTTCCTTCTCCTCTGTCTCTCTCTGTTATTTTGCCTGCCGACTCCTATAGTCTTGATTTTACTAACTGCATTCCTGTCCTGTACACTCATACGATGACAAAATAAGATAAACTAACAGTATGTATAATTTCAATGAATAAATGAATCCATACACATCTTTTTAGAATAATGCAACAAGAGTAGAGGTAATGAGGAGGAAGGCTCTTTGTACTTTCACTTCTGCAGTAATGATTTAGTAATACTAAAATGAAGAAATTAATCTTAAAAACAAACCAAACAAAAATCAGTTCTAGTAGTTGTGGTTGGAAAGGGGGCAGGTTACAAAGTCTTAGTCCCTAGTGGGTGGGTGTGGGGAGGCAAGGTAGGGTGTTCCCAGGGTCATGTGGTTAATAAGGAACCTCTGACATTCCCAAAGAGAAAAATAACCTAATACTTAATAAATACCTTCTTAAAATTTATAACCATAGTACCACTAAGGTTTAATAATCCCCTATTTTTAAATAATAGATTTATCTTTTGAATAAAGTCCTAGAATTAGAATTGCTGGATTGCAGAGTAGGTACTTTTTATAGCTTTTATGATATTCTAGTAGTCTATTATGAGGTATGTGAAAGCTGTTTGTGTTGAAGAATGAAAGCAAAGTGTCTGGCTGATTTACTACACAGGGTGTTCGCGGTTTTGACAAATGTCTGAACTGTCTGTGCTTTGCAGAGACAAGTGAGGGGTGAGAAAATGCAACGGGAAAAATATTCCTGGAGGAAATTCTGATACTGGGCCCATGAAGCAGTGGCGGCAGATGTTTACACCCGACATAGGCACATCTTGAGAGAGGGTGCTGGAGGGAGGTAGGAGAAAAGGAGGTGGATGTGTCCTAGGGTGTGGACAGAATAACCATCACCTGTATCATCTGTCTGGGTATCCAACCATGTGTTAGTTGTGCTTCGTGTGACTATACCTTATATTTCAGAAAGAAAGTACCAGGAAGGGCTAAACTGTACTACCATCAGTGTTGAACATTTCTTATGAACCAAGCCACTTAGCAGATACCTGTCCAGTGAGTGGAGAGAGCACCAGAATTACTAATGGCAACATAAAGAACCAGTTAGGTCCGCTACAGAATGCTACAGACCCTGGGGGTGGTGATAGTTTCTGTTTGTATACTGTACATAAAGAGTATTCCTATACAAAATAACAAATCTATGTTCCCCAAAAAACTATTATTACAGTTGAGCTTCAAATGAAGGGTAGGTATACATAGTCCAGAATCCATTGCTTCTTCATAGCCAAAGAATCCAAACACAGCTTCTATTTATTTGAAAATACAAAATATAATTCTAAGTAAAACCCACTGTAAGTACCTGAATGTGTGCTTGCATTTTTTTCTTTTCATTTTGAAGGATTTGGTTTCTCTCTTCTTCTTCTTCCACTCTGGACTCCAGGTCATGGAGAATCTCCTCCAATTCCTGCTTTTTGGCAGCAAGTCTTGCTCTCATCTCTTCTGCTTCAGCAAAAAGCTCAGTTTCTGCTTGTAGTTGTTCTGCAAGGATATTCTTCTCTTCTAAGAGCTGTAATCACAACACAGGGGCTAGTACTATGATTTGCCCCAGTACACACCCGTGATATATTCCATGATGTCAATGGTCAGCACCCATCAACAAAGAAGCTGGAGTTTAAAATATATCACACCACTGGCAAACTTTCAGATATGATTTTGGCTACAGTAAAATAAGCTAGGTGAAAGTATTTCTGGTTGTTTCTGTTGCCTCAAGTTATCCTGAATATGTATTAAATTCATGCCACTTTGAGAATTACAGTTCTTTCTATTACAGTTACAAAGGGATAGATAAATAGGAGGGAAAATATTATTTAAAAGTCATAAGGTTCTTGGTGACTACTAAAGCCTATTTAATTACAAGTGATACTCTTGGCCTGTATCATGAACACCTTTGGCCTCGACTGCCATCCAGTGACACTGCTAAGCTTCTGCTCTGTCCATGAAGAGAAATCGCCATGGAGGAACACTCGACGCATTGCTGAGAAGAGGCTGGCGGGGCCTGGTGCCCAATCATCTCACCTTTTGACTTTTTGTTATTTACCCTCATTAGCAGATAAGAAAAGGTCCAATACTAGGACCTTCATCTCAAACAGATGTTAAATACAAGCTGCATAGCGAACATGACTATCTGCACATTCAAAAGATAAAAGAGAGGCAAACATGCTCGAGAGGTAAGGTTGGTTTTAACTTATGTAAATGTAATACACAAGGGATAATGCATCTGTTGACTGTATTCTGAAAATGTGTATGCTTTGGCAATGAGTGAAATGCCTCCCATAAAACAAGGCAATATGGTGGGTGTAGCTGCTTATTCAGGGTGTGGGCAGATTGCTACCCATGGGCTATGCATGCCAGCCCAGCGCAGCACAGGGTGCTGCTCCACACACGCACCTGCTGATGCTTTCTCTCCATCTCCTCCAGCTCCCCTTCCACCTTTGTCTGCTTCTCCTTCACCTTCAGCAGCTCTTCATCTTTGGCCTGAAGCTCCTCCTCCTGGCGAGTCACTTGTAGGAGAGGCTTCACCTGTAACCAAATCACACAGTTTACCATCACATCCCTGGCAGGGTTCTCACTGCCAGAGCCCTGCTGTGTGGAAAGGCTCTGGAAGGAAGTCAGCGCTGCACACCTTGGTGAAGACTCGCCACCACTGCCAGTGCCGAAGCTTCAGGTAGGCGGCGCAGTTCCGCTGCAGGACCTTTAGTGCACTGAGCTGCTGTTGCTTCTTGGCAAAAGCCCTGAAGAACAGTAAGAAAAATGATGTGAAGAAAAATGCTTCAACAGCTGTTGTCACAAGACTTTCTAAAAGCAAGCACTCCTATATGGCTAACAGAGAGCAGCCTTCAATTAAACCATCAGGTGAAGTTTGCAGGGGAAGTGGGACTTCCCACTCGAATTCATTCAACTCACTGGCCCACCTGGCTGCCTCCAGCATGTGTCAACCCCTGCACTTTCTTCCTAGATGCACCCTACACACTTTCCTCCTGCCATTCATCTGTGGACCCATATGTGAGTGCGCTCCTGGGGCTGCACAAAACTCCTGTTTTCCTGAGGCAGTAGATGTCCCTCAATGTCCCTTTGCTGGTGCACAGTCCCCCTCTCCCTCCTCCATTCAGAGCCAGCCTTCTCTCCTTCAGTTTTGGCCTCAGCGTCTTCTCCAAGGCTGTAGGCTGAGGCTGACTCCAGTTCCTTTGCTCTACATCTTGGCCCCTGTGGGAGTCCCTCATGCACCATGTGGTTCTTCAGAAGGTCCACTGTTGCCTTGGCTCTGTCTCCCACGGGAATACAGCTCCCACAAGGACAAGAACTTTCTGTCTCACACACTCTCTCTTCCCAGGTGGTGCTGAATTCACCATTACCCACTTACTTTCTGGCAAGGTAACCTCTGCAGACCGCCTGGAAGAAGATAATGATATCGGTGATTTTTAAATCTCTCTCTTCTTCTAAGTGTGCCAAAACTCCGGCTCTGAAAAATATTTTGCTCTGTCCAATTCTATATAAGTTTGGGTCCAACTCTAAAGCCCGGATCTAAGAGAGAAAGAGTTCATTTATTTTTTGCTATAGGAAAGATTATATTGACAGTTGACAAACAAAAAAATGATGAAAGGCTTACCATTCGTTCACAAGCCTGTTTGCCATCCATGAAACCTTTGGGAATAGCATTGGGAGTTAGGATCTCATATCTGTAAGACAAGATTCCAAAAAGATCTGTTGAAATCTATGAAGATATTTATCTGAGTTCTGCTTGATAAAATGGTAGGTAATATGCGAATTAATAGCAAGGGGGGGGTGACAATCTAAGGCTTTTGAGCAGATCTAATTTCTACTCCTTATAAAGTAGAAACAAGGTTCATTCTCCCAGACCAAAGCCTAGGCCTAGGAGAGTATCGAAGAGAAGTATGGTGCTTAAAAAACTTTTCATTTTTCATTTCTCACAAAAAATTCACATTTTTAAGATGCAAAGATGCTCTTTGACCTTTAAATTACAGTTGTTTTGTAGACACTTACTAGAATACAGAAAAGGCTGTGAGAGCAACGTCTGCATGCTTCTACTGAGAATACTAGAAACACCAATTCATCATGGTACTCATCTAGGTGTACACATGTTCACTGAGTGTGTGTACCTCACTGTACACAGCTATACCTCAACCAGGAAAAGTGTGGCAGAAAGACAGTGGCTAGATTAAAAGGTGAATCTTGGCTATTAGTATCTCAGATGCCAATTATTTGTCACTTTCTCCTATCGATAGAAAGTGAAAGCCTAGCATAGTGTTTATCACACAATGGAGCCACAATAGGGGCCCATCTACAAGACTGGGGTAGCTTCTCAGGTTGATGGGCTCTGGTGTCCCTTTTTATTCCATGGCACAACAGATGCTTTGAAACTGGATTTACAGAAGACAAAAAGGGAAAAACCAGCTAACTTAACTACTAAGGAAAATTGTCAAATAAAATTTTAAAATAGTGATTTCCCATGTTTGTATCAATTTCTACTGCAGACTGATCAATCTCCTTTCTTTTTTTTCCTTAATCCTTTTCTAATCTATCTTATTGCCTTCTTTATTCTAGTTATAAGACTATAATGGTGTGTGCACACACCTCTATTAGAAAAAAATACATGAAATATACATACTCTGTGAAAAAAGAAATACCCTGAAATGTTTTTAGGAATTATTCCTGGATGATTTTTATTTACTTTTAGTTTCTCTTGTATTTTCAGAATTTTTAAAAAGGAGCATTTATTATTCATCTATTTTAAACATTAAAAAACAAAACATGTTTAGATTTTAGGCAGAATTGTCTGAATGAGTAAACCGTGTATTTCCAGCTCTCTGCATTTATCTCACAGCTATTGGTGAGGGTTCTGAAGACTGAGCATATATTTGCAAATTCATAATAGTTCTTAGCTCGCTGCCTTGCTGTAAAATGGGGACTCATTTTTCTAGCAATAATCAAGGTAATAAGGATTGTTCCTTTGCTATATGAGAAAATGAGTCTAGGGAATAAGAGAAATGTTTCCTTATTACATTACCATTTTCATTCATGTTAAGATAAGCTTTGATACATATATGAAAAAAGTAAAAACAATACCTTTGTCTGAATTCCTGGAAAACTATCCGATTGGGGAACCCTTGGCGACAGATCCTGATCCCTTCCAGGACACCGTTACAGCGAAGCTGATCTAACACTAGGTGAGGATCCAGTTTTCCAGCCTAATCAAACAAGCAATAGTTTTCTAGTTTAATCTTCATCACCCGACCCTGGTCAACTTTAATTGCCAGCCTATGTTTTGCTTCACACATACCCGCTTCTCGTGATTTGGAATGATACAGCGAACAAAGTTCGGGTTCGTGTTTCGGAGAGTTGCCATCAGCTTGGTGAGGGATTCTTTGTAGAGCTGCCCGACAGTGCGAAACATACCTTTCTTGGTTTTATATGCAGAGCCAAAAGCCGTTTCGGTCATACCAGTGACTTGATCTAGACCCACAATGCGGTCCACTGGTGAGAAGAAAAGAGAAAGGGAATGTGAGCCACATGTGACTCTTCAGATGTGGCTTTCTTCAGGGGAAGAAAAGACAGTGATAGTGCAGCAGCACAAGCTTTGTGAACAAATGAGAAGAGGTGCCATATAGGTAGGGCAGTCAGCATATTTAGACACTGCACAAGCCGTGGAACCAACAGCCACACACTTATATGGCAGGATAGCACAGTCTCAGCTACCACATACCCACAAGTGCTTTCCACTGCGCTAGGACCAGGACTTCACTGTCTTGGGTAACATTCTCCCTGCTACATTTGCAAGTATTTGGTAAATAAAAGATCACTGGCAGGCATTATTGATACACAAACTGATACTATAAAAAATCTTAAAACAGGAAATGGCTCATAAAATATATACAAAATATGTGGCTGTACAAATCTACTTAATGAAGATGCTCAGGGATTAGAGACCAGAGTTAGCTCTTATTAGTCATTAGGTTTTCAGGAAGAAAAGTCATTTGAGCTAAGAAAAAATGCAGGAGATTCAATTACATCAGTTCAGATTTTAAGAAATGTATAAACTTCAGCTTTCAGCTCACAGCATGAGTAAGACTCATTAGAAGGCAAAAACACAAAAGGGAAAGGCCCTCTGGAAAAGAACCAGCGTCCAGGCTTCTTATGTGGACAAGGGTTGGACTTGCCCTCAGACACTCCCCTATTATTAAAGCAGCTGAAATGCTCACATCATCTATACAGACCTAACACTTCTAACAATGAGATTATACCTCATGCACCTGCTGCCAGCACATCCGGTGCTGGCATAATGTCCATATACTCTTATTGAAAAAACTGATAAATGAATGAAACACACCACTAAAATATTTGAAAAACAACCAGAATGTCAGTCAGCCTGTTCTTATTAATGCCCTCCTCAAGCTGGACAGCCGCCTCATTTCTTTCATTCCTTGTGAGAAGCATGCGGAGACCTGGCCCTGGGAAAAGGGCTTCAAGTACAAGATCTCAGCTGATTCTTCATTTCCAATGAGGATTTTACAGAAGAGGAAACCTGAGCCTACGAGGCGAAGTACCTGCCACAGGTTTGCAGGTCCGGAATACAAGCTGGAGAAGGGCGGGAGGAGTTGTGTCAGCCCCAGGCCCACAGAGGCAAGCCGTACTCCAGCTGCTCCCAGGAAAGCCACCAGAATCTGCCAGGGGCTGAAGCTCCTCTTGTGCACCTTCTCCCTCAGAAGTCCCATTCTTTCCTGAGCCCTCACGTCTCCCTCTTCACTTGTCCAGTACGAACAGTGCCAAATCCCACCCTTGTGCACCCCACAGGCAGCGACCTTCTCTTGACCTTGCATCCACCACTTCTTTCTACTTTGTCCAAGTCCAACTTCTTTCTAGAATCTTTCTGGAGTAATTCACATACTTGCCTCTCTGTATCTTCCCCCTAACCTCACACTGTGTGGCCAACGGCCTCCAGCCCAGCCAACTACTCAGCCAATAGGTGCCACCAGTGCTGTTCATCTGTTTACCTATGAACCATCACAGCAGCGTACTAAAAACTCTCTTCACACCTAGCTTTTTAATGATCCCCAGGTTCTCCTGTGCCTCCTCCAGACTCTGGGTCCTTGAGGACCCCTCTTCTACTTTCCTTGTACCTCATGGCACTTTCTCGGGAACCAATCTCAGCTCACTGAAATCTTTCTAGAATACAGTAAGAAACGCAGATAGTGGCCTTCTGCTTTCCTCAAGCCATAGTCTCATCTTGGGTAATTCCATTTATGACTCTAACTAGATATACCTGACTACCCAGCACCAGTTACCAGATACCAGCATTCTTCTCCCATCCAGATGTCACAAAGGTGCCTCTGCCTTCTATAAATTCTTGTGAAATGCTAGCGTGTCTGCTTTTACTCAATAATGCATCCCTGCTCCCCACATAATGTCTGGCGCTAACCCTTTATTCACATATGTTAGTGAATAAATGAAGTAGATATACATTTAAATTACAGAGAGTGGGAAATGCACTGAAAAAAAATAATGCTATGAGGGAACTGAGTTACCTCAGATCTCTCTAGGGAAATGTTACTGTGTACTCAAAGATGAAGAGTGCGCCAATAGGAAAAAACCGTTCCAGTCAGGAGAAACAGCATGAGAGAAACTCCAGGGGTAGGAAGAAGGCAGAGAGGCCAGTGCCATGGACTAAGCATCAGTGAGATCATGGTATTCCTCTCGCTGCTCTAGATTGGATGGCCTGGGGAGAGGGCTGGGGAAAGAGGCAGGAAGGCCAGGCTCTCAGCGAGACCATAGCAGCTCGAACGAGCGAGATCACAGAGAAGGAAGTTGGTGGGAGGACCACTTGCTTTTATGATTAACTTGTTATGGAATGGTAAGTAGACATTTCAAGGACCCTGGCTTGGGCAAGTGAGTGGCTGATGGGTAAGATCACAGGTAGGATGGGGAGAGAAATAGGCTTGTAGCTGTGAAGACAGGACCCAAACTCTGTGTAAGTTCTGGATATCTGTAAGACATCAAAGTGGAGGCGAGATGTGAAGGAGACAAGCTGAAAGCTCAGTCTGCTGCTAACAGGAAAGATCTGGGCAAAAAAAGTCAAGCTGGGAGTTATCATATTTAAAGTTATGGAACTGAATGGGCTATCAGAACAGAGAGAGATGAGGGCCTTCGAGCAAGCCCTAAGGAGCTTGGCAGAGGAGGAGGGACAGACACATTAAACCGCAGCCAGTTTATGCCCCACTCCCAGGGTGTTCCTCCTGTCCAAATATGACCACTGGTCACTCTAGCCTTGCTTCCTTCTGATACCCAGCTGCTCATCCAAACTTTCAAAGGTCTCCACTCCATCCTCGCTCTTCAGCTGCCCTAGTCTGGCTCTTCCCTCTGACCTAGATTCTGCAGTTCTCCCACCTGGCTTCACACCTCCATTTCATCCTTAGCCCCTGGCTGCCACAGTTTTTCCCACTATGCCTTTTGTCCCAGTGTAATGATTAACAGACATTTCTATAAGAAAAAACTAAGCATTGAAATCCTGGAATTTTCCCCTTGCCTATCAGATTCAGTCGAAATAATTTAGCCCAGGGATACAGCACAGCATGAACTGGAGCTAGAGTCAGAAACACCTCCACCCATGGGTTGTGTAATTAGGGGGTACACATTCCCCAACCTCTTCCAGCCTCAGCTCCTTCCTCTGTGAGATGGAGCCAAGGAGACCAGGTTCACAGAGTGCAGTGGCATCTGAAAGATGTTCCAGTGCTCTCTGCTGGCACCTCTCTTGCCATTTTCCCACACAACCTCCAAACTCCAACTGGACAAACGGGCTGCCTTTCCCCAAAGACATAATGACTTCTCCTTCCTCCTTTTCTCTGTTTGCATTCCCTCCAGTTATCGGGTAAACTCCTCAATTTTGTAGATCTCCATTCTTTACTTCAGAGAAGTCTTAAACTCGGTTCCCACCTGCCTGTGAGGCTAATCAGGCTATCTCCCTCCTCTGAGCTTCAGATCCCCTAAGGACAGATCCCAGGACACAGCTGAGCTTGGGGTGGGGATGGAGAGAGGACGGGGCCCAGCATCCTACACACTCAGGGTTGTGGGAGCTGTTCCCATGTCTCTTTGACCCGTGCCCACCAGCTCAGATGGTTCCCACTGCTCGCCCACCGCCCAGTGCTGGCCAGGGGACAGTGCCCAGCACCTAGAAGCTGGTTAACACAACCAAAAAAACAAATGACTGCCACCCCGAAAGAGCAAGTGATCACGTCTTCTTTGCAGGGATGTAATTACACTGGTTTTGCAGTGAGTTAGCCTGCAGCTAACAGGCTAATTTAAATAGCATGCTGCTGTGTTAGCACTGCAGTTCCAGTTATCAGAAACTACAATCATAAAATGTGGCTGATTTTTAATTTTAATAATGGTGATCCAAACCTAATATTCAGATTTTGAAAAAAGTGATGCTCTAGACTTTCATTTTATTTCTTTAATTCAAAAATTTTAAACACATGGTTAAATTCTGCCTACGAATAAAACTATCTTGTGGGTAACAGAGAAGCACTTTAAGAAATTCATTAAATGATTTGGGCCACATGGGTAATGTATGATTTCACTCAAAAATCAAGACCCAGAAAAATTTCAATTTTAAAAGTATTTTCTTGTGGAAATGGCTATAGCAGCAAACAGAAAAAGGTAGGAAACAAGACAAAATCCGGCAGTGACTACTTGGGATCACAGCCGCTGCTGGGGACCTAACAGGCAGGAGTCTGGCCCACAGTCTTGGGCTGGGCTAAGCGGGGACACAGGCTCATCCCTCTACCAGCACTTCTCTCTGAGGGGCCAGGACAGCCTGGGCAGGGTTACTGGTAGGTATTTAACTTCCTTATTTCGGTAACACAAGACAATTCTACTCTAACACTGATGAAAATGTAACTAAACAGTTAAAGACAGAGAGGAAACAAATACTTAACTGCATGAATTCCTAAAAACAATCAGCTTCAAATAGCATATCTCCATAATATCTACACAGTAACAACACATTTATAACCATTACATAACTGTTGCTAGAACCAATCTGTTACAGTTATTTCTTTAGAGTATTTGGAAATTTTCAGAAGAATTCTAGGAAGTCCAGAGGTTGAGAGGAAGCATGTGATTTAAAGAGAAAGCAACCTTTCTTATCCCAAGCACTAGTATTAAGCTGAACTTGAACGCTGTCTCCTCTCTCTTCCCCATCCCTTTCGGAAGTCCAGGGTTTGGGGCCAATGGGAAGCTTCCTCACCCCAACCCACCCCTGGCAGGTCAGGATAGCCTGCTATTGCTCTGCTGCCCCTGCTTCTCTCCATCAGGTCCAAGTCTTTAACTTACGTTGATACTGGCAGCACAATATGAATACAAGTGGACTTGAATTAAACAAAAAACAAGCAAATAAGTATTTATTGAATGTTTCTGTTTTTCACGAGAACAGCAGCCACCAGGGTATAACACAGCTGCGGCAGCTGCAGGCACAGCCTGGGAAAATGCAACTCTCAACATCATGCACCCAGGCACTTCCCATGTGCCAGGTGCAGGCTCACCATCACCCTGAGGGCCAAGTCTCACTGCCCTCACTTGGCCTCCGAATCTCCAACTGCAGTACCCAAACACTATTTCTCCTTGAGTTCACAACTGCTAGTAAACCTGAAATGATTATCTATATTACTGCCATCACAACAAACAGTCCACTGAAAATGATTCAGCTAAGTCTATAAAATGTCACAGACCCAAACAGCACTTAAGAGATTTTGACCAATGGACATAAGCTGTGAAGAGATTCAATGGCTACTGTTCTCTGCCTTTAATGTCTTACTGGAAAAAAAAGAAAAAGGCTGGTTCAGAGCATCAGAAGTCAGAACATCTTCACGGCTATGTTTTGAGCATGGCTAAGGGATGAATTCTGCCTAAGTAATGGCAAGAAGGTAGGTAAGAATCCAGCAGAGATCACAGCATGAAGGGCCCGGAAGAGCTGGTGATAGTCAGGTGGGCGAACCTTCCTGTGGCAGGAGCCAGCCCTCCTCAGGGACTCTCAGCCTGAGTCAATCACTGTAACTCCATCAAGGGCTTCTTCTATGAAAAACTGAGAAGAGGTGGGGGGAACTTTCAATAACAGTTAAAATGTGTTTTGTGGTGCCTCTCAGGTTCTCTCTTATTTTTCCTCTCATGGTACCTTCTGGATGTGCCAGCTGCAATCTAGCACATGCAGGGTGCAAGGATCTAACATGACACTACTCTGTGAAGGAGATTATCCTGCGGTGTAAACCAGTGTTAAGACATATTATATGTCACTGTCCCTCCAAATGGTTTGGAGCAGGTCTAAAGCCACTGACAGTTCCCTTCTGTCCCAAAGCCTTGATTGTAACTTTGAGGTTACAATCTCTCTTTGCTGGTTCATTCATTTTTCAGTCTCCACTACTGGATTATTTCAGAAGTCCAGACTTCCAAGTATATTTGGAAGAAAATGAGATTATAGCAAAATTAGAGATTATAGCAAAAACCTGTAGGACTTCACATTCTGCTACTAAGAATTCCTTTTTCATTCTGCATCCATCCTTTGATACTTTAAGAAACATCTCTCTATCCCAATCTCTTGTTAGTCCTCAAAAGTCTGCACACTTCGTGTCCCCAACATTATAAATACACATAATATGTAAATATAAATATACAGAAAAGCACAGAGCCCATATTAACTCTGTGTGCCCTCCTTTAGAGAGAGGCTCACTAAAGTGAGTAGTCACAGGCAATCACAATCTGGATCCCAGAAACTCCTTCATCCACTGCCTTCAGGGGAAACACTGAAAATACCAATCTTCTCCATTTTCATTTTTAAGTTCCTTACCCTTCCCTGGGTTCTCTTGAAGCCATAGACATATACTAAAGACAGAAAGAATTTGCTGTAGAATATATACAGCTTAAAAGACTATATTTAGCCATGGTAGATGACGGGCCTTCAAGGAGAAGCAGAAATTGAGACCCTCCATAGCTGGTTTATCCAAGTAACTCAACCAAAGGCCATTTCACAGCAACAGAACCGCGGACATTTTCAGGGTCAAAGTGAGAATGTGGTGGGGTGAATGAACTCACTTCCTATTTATTCATTAAAATAAAGCCATCCGGGAGTGGCTCTGTACTGGACTTTGCCTGATCTATATCCCCTAAAGATCACGGTCCCACAGGAAAGAGCATTTGCGCCTTAGAGGAAGAAAAGTCCATGGTCGGAGTGTTAGGCAAAGCTGCTATGTGGAAAACTCAGGTGTGGGATTGGCACCCGTCTATCTAGGCAGCAGTTTCTCACTCAATGACTTATTCATGGTGGATCTCATTTGTGCTAGGTGCTAGGGAAATGACAGAAGTAACAACAGGCCCTGCTCTACTTTCAATGACCCCACAGACTGGGATTCTCTTAGGAGATTAGGAATCCAAAGAGGACACTTTACTTTGGGAGAACTGCCAAGAAATCAAGCTTGAACCTTTTGTCAAAACACAAATCTTGGGGCCAAGGATTTAGCTCAGGGGTGCCACCACCTGCCTTGAAAGCGGAAGGTTCCGAGTTCGATCCCCAGTACCAAAAAAAAAAACCACCCCCAAAAACCCCCACAAGTCCTCAGCAGAGCATCAGCTGCTTCAACCTCAGCTAACTTGCCCTTAACTGTCTGTCCCTCTAAGCAGCACTGTTAATGCCCCCCAAGGCCAAAGATGACCCAGTTTGCGGGTTTCTTCCTTTGGAATTCTGTGGAATTTTCATCACACCTCCTGCTTTCTTTGGCATAATCTATTCTCTCCTCCTACCCCAAGCTTTCAACCTATGTTTTTCATAGTATGTGAGCTGGAATTGATGGCAGGAATCCTGAGTTGGACTGAAATAGACATAGTCTTTTAACATTTTTAAAATATGAGATGAATTCTGATGAATTTAGATGAATTCTGAGATGAATTTAGATCTTAGCATTATCATGTTCTAAATTCATAAGGGAAATTTTATAAGACGAATTCGACTTTCTCCTTTGAATTTTGTTACTTGCCAATTTCACTAAACAATTTTCATTTTTATACTGAGCTTCTGGAGGCCCTCTAGCCATGGTAGGATGTATTCAGGGCTAAGGATTTAGACTGCAAAGCCAAAACATTTGGAGCTCAACTTCAAGTTTCAAAGTCTAAATGGAACACTGCATTCTATAAGTCTCAAACTGCACATATTAAGCCTTGTGGAAAGGTTTGGCACCTCCAGTTCAAACCAAAAGGCCAACAGCTAGTTGTGCATACCAATTCCAAACCAAAGGCACAATAATGAGACCAGTACTCCTGAGAGAAATGTGTAGTTATTTGTTTGCAAAATATTAGTGACTTAAAAAGAAAAAAATTAAGAGTTGAAAATTTAAAAGTGACTCAAAGACAAAGGAGATGGCATTTAGCAGATCAATTCCTAGCAATTCCCTTGGAGGACCGTGTATCAAAATGGCACTATTGGAAAAGGTAGTGACATACCTTTTAATATGCAATGCTGTAAGTGCTATGAAAATAAGAAGGACTGTGTATGCAGTAGCAATTGAATTGGTTATGCACTCAAACAGTTGCCTTGAGGTATAAAAAAAAAACTGAGCATGAAATGAGAGGTTCATGCAGGCCTATGAGCAAAACAAAAACAGAAACCCAGAAACCAGTCCCAACCCCCAGTGTACCCTGCCCTCCCCAGACACCCGGCCCGCCCCTCCAATTTTTCCTGTGGGCTTAAAACCCTTCTGTTTTGGAAAACCTACAGGCTGTATACATTCACCTGGTGGCTCATGAAGACCAGAAACACTGTCATAGAAAGAAGCTCTCTGAATATTCTGAATCTCTAAAGCAGAGAAACAGTAAAAACAGGACAGAAGAGCAAATACACAAACACTTCAGTTAGTGTGAACGACATTCAACATCACAAGTAAACTTTGGAACTGGGCTATAACGGCAGCCAGTCCAGGGCAGATCCCATGCAAACATTACTGTTTTTATAAAATAAGCTTAAGCTGAATCAGAAGAGCACACTTCCAAATCCAGGTGTGAGCACACCTGATTATTCCAAGTACGTGCAGGGTGGTATCTGAGAGTAATAAGCTACTAGTTGTCTATCACAAAACATTTTGCATTTAGTACATCAGAACAAGACTGTAGTTAAGTTATAGCACCGTGGTAAAGGTAAATATTAGTGTCTTTTATTGTCAAAAATTCATATGGCTATGAAGTTTTATTTCTAGTAACAGGTTTTGGAAACAAAATTTACTTCAAATACAAATTACTGAAAGATTGGAAACTACCATTAAGGAAAACAAAGTTCAAGTTCTCTTGTAGCAAAATGTTAAAATAATAAAATCCTAAGAAATGGATTATACTATTATCATGAGAATACCCTAGAAGGAACATTTACATGAAAATGCAATCCCTATTTTTTTTTAAAATAAGCCTTAAGAAGTGGTAAGAAATCCTATGTAGCTGGTAGAGAGATCCCAATACAATATCTTTTAGCAAAAACTAGGGCACTATAAATCTCTAGGGCAGGGCTGCCACTAATACATCTTATTCCTTCTGGTTTGGCCTTGAGAAAACTGTAAAACCCTGAAACAAAATGGATTTTAACATAAAATGTCTTATACTCAAGGCACTAACCCCTCATAGGAAAGATGTATGTATACATCATATATTCATTCATTCATGGTCAACCTGTGATTTTCTACTTTTGCATTTCAATGGCTATGAAAATAATCATGTCATTTTTCTTTTCCAAAAAGATGCTCTTGTCCCAGGAGAACTATACCTCATAAGTGAACAGTGATGATTCCCCACCTTAGAACCCTCATCCAACTTTAGTGCCTGCCACTGACCTTGTATACAAAACATACAGTCTCCAAACTCAGACAAATCTGGCACTGCCCCTCCACTTGCCTCTGGCCTGAATGACAGCACTCCCCATTGTGAGTGACCCCTGAGGTCTTGTCACTCAGATTCAATCGGCTGTCCACCGAGGCTGATGGGTGACAGGACTTCCCCCCAATAGTGGCATGAATAGGAGAGCAAGCATGTATAACTGTTAGAGCAGAAGCAGACAGCCAAATCAAAAACCAGGGTAAGACTTCTCTTAGCCTATTGTGACAGAGTAGCCAAATGCACTCTCATGGTGTGTGTATTGAGCAGGTGAGGGACACAAGCAGGGCCATGCAATCAGTGCAGCCAGTGATGTCAGAACTATGGTACAGATGAACAGGGATGGTGCTGGGGGTATAGGGCTCAGCAAGGTTGTGGGAGTTTCCTCTTCTGTAATCAGATAAATAACTTCCCTGTACCTAGCAAATGGAAATCACAAAGGTGCTGGTAAGGAATCTCCAGATATGGTCCTACCTGTAAGACCTATCACATGTGATTTATAACTTGTACTCAGTATTCCAGCCTCTCGTATCCACCACGACCTGGCCAACTTTCTGGTCCTGAAACCGTACCACCCCGCTGCCAAAGTCCTTGCCATGAGTCCAAAGTCGAAAAAGGAAGCCCAGCAAGCTGGGAGGCAGGGGGAGAGAGGGGGCATGTCTTTCATTTTGCTTCCACATCTGTCTCACAATATTGCCAAGGGAAGTACCTAATTAGACGTGCAGTAGTATAGAAATGGGGTAAGAAATAGTTTTTGGTTGAATATGAAAATAGGAGTCAAAAGAGGGGTCTTAATGTCAGAACATGTATATAAAGTCAGGACCTGATTTCCTTTATTAATCTGCAGTGTTCTCAATATGCCTACTCCTCTTCAAAAGAAAGAGAAGACCAGGTTCTGAGGCTTTGACAGGGAAAACTCTTCCCTCGGCAACTTTTCCTCAGCATTCCTTCCAGGTCCACTGTCACCTTTAGTCCCCTCCCTCTGCACCTCTACCTTCAATATCTTTTACCCCAATCTAGCTAACAAACTGCTCCTTTTTACTTCCTCAAATTGAGACTGAACAAACCTGAAAATGGTCTTTATCTAAACTCCCCTTGAACTGGGCCATCAAGGAGCCCTCAGAAGTGAGCCTGGCTCTGGCCATCACGCTGTTTCCTGCTCACTCACCCTTCCTGCCCTATCCCTACTCTAAAGCCAAAATGGAAACCACTGAGAGCCCCTCCCTGTTTCTGTCCTGTGACTGCCTATGCTCCTTCCTCCCCCACACCAACCTCACTTCTGAAAATGCCTCACGAGGTACTCAGGCCCTGCTGAGTTACTTCATGTACCTTCTTACCCAAAGATGCTGAGGGTGTAATCGGAACATGAACGCTCATAAATCAGTGCTGAGGACACTCAGTAACGTGTGGCTCAACACAGGTTAGCTCCACAGTTTAATCAATATTATTATCCTTCAAGAACAAAGAAAACAGTATCCTTCATGACATTCCGCTCTAGCACCTCAGGAAAAAGGTCTTTGTTTCCTGTTGCTCATTTTTTTTTTGGTACCGGGAATCGAACTCAGGGCCTTGCACTTGTTAGGCAGGCACTGTGCTGCCATGCTACATCCTCGGCCCTGTTGCTCATTTTTAAAACCTTGCTCCACACCATTCACATGGCTTTCATCACAGATAACACAGACACTCAACAGTCTGTGCATGGATCGCCTGGTCTACAACTTTCCTGTTGTAAGGTTTGGAAAAGTGTGCCAGGAGTAGGGGCTGAGCAAGCGTGTGTGCCCGTGTGACCTACAAAGACTCCACTAGTCACAACGGAATCAGCTCCTGAGAGAATGTGACTTATTTATCATTATTTATTTAATTAGTTATGATGGGCAGCATGGCACCACTTCCATCTGTGCTGCCAACTCGCCAGTGTTGGTCTTTCTAGCACCGGGGACCTGTGACAACCTGCGCTCAGTCTTCCTTCTCACTCTAGTTCTGGTTTCTCAGATACCATGCCAACATCACCCAGCAGGGCAGCTCAGATCAGATCCACTCTGAAGGGCCTGGGCCCTCTTCTCTGTCCTCAGACAGCATCCCTCAGCTGACTAGGCCACTGCAAGGGACAGCGGGTACTCAATAACTAGTTGGAGACTTCTCTTTAAAAGTTTTACTTATAAGAAAGCTGGCTTCCCCTCATACCTCCTTTTGGACTAGTCTCACGCACAGCCTCTCCCCAGGACACGGGCATGTATGTGTGCACCACCCTATGCTGTCCCTGCAGGCTTCTCACTTGCACTAGGCCTGGCACACGTGGTCAGTCCGGAGCAGCCACCTCTCCCCTGCTCACTGTGTTCATTCCTCTAATTTTCCCTTTGCCTCAATCGCCCTAACCCCTTTCTTTTTTGCCTTTTGCATTTCTTTCCCTCTCTCTGAGAAGACAGCTAGATTCTTAGATCTTGAGATGCTACAGAGAAAGAAGTATACTAGTTACTCAGTAGGCCTGGCCTCAAGGTCAAGGCCTAAAGCAGAGGCAGTTCCAAGGCTAAGGTCCTATGTGGCCTGAGGCTAAGCAAAGAAGGAGACAGAACTAGGATGAAGTTAAACAGTGAGAGCTAAACTGAGGAGATGTGTCCCTGTTATGTGTAAAAACACAGAGGTGTTTGGTTTTTCTGGTATTAGGCAAAATCTAGTCTATGATAAACATCACCAAAAACCTTCATATGAGGTTCACATACCCCAAAGAACTATAAGGACTAGTGGAAATAGAAGCAACCAATCAATCTGTGCAAGTTATCAGAGTTCATTCACCAGCCACTCTGTGAGTGTGTGTATGTGTGTGTGAAGGGGGCAGCACTGGTGGAGGACACAGCTTGGCAGACCTGTACACAACACCAGGTAAAAGGCACGTGCAGGGTTTCTTGGGTGTTCCATCCCCATACCCTTATATTCTAACTGAATTGTTACTGGGGTGCCTGAGGCACCCTGTAGTTCTTTGTGGGCCTGAGCTTAGAATATTTCCATATTTCCCACAGCGTCTGACCAAGAGGGCAGATGTTTTTATCTATTTCTTAACCCAAGCACTCTCAAAATGGATAACTTCTGATATAATGGCAGCCCTGCTCTAGGGAAAGACTTTAAAGTTAAAAGAAAAAAATTATATATATAAACAAAGAACCATAAATAAACCTTAACTATAGTAGGTTCCAGCCAGGCTTAATTACAAACACAAGCACATTCTTACCATCCTTCCAGAGCTCAGCCACAAATCTGTCCGAAGACTGGTGTAGGAGGGTGGCCACATTGTCATTCAGAGGGTCCATGTTCTTCATCAGCCACTCATCTGCCTTATAGTCCACCTATCCCACACCAAAACCAAATGTAATGTGGTGAAATGGAAAACACAAAGCCAGATGCAGAAGCAACAGACATTGTAAGACTTAGCCAAAAATTTTTGTAGAACAATCTAAAAAAATGGACTGTCTCAAATGCAAAATATTTGTAATACATATTTAAGTGTTATTTATAAGCACCTCTGTTACACCTTCATAAAACATGGTAAAATTACAAACACAACAATTTTATTTTATTTTATGTATTTATTTCTGGTACTGGGGATTGAACTTGGGTCCTTGCGCTTGCGCAGCAGGCGGCGAAACCACTGAGCTAAATCCCCAGCCCAAACACAATTTTATGGAGTTATTCAGTGTAAGGCCTCTTACCTTCCCTGCATAATGTATAATGCAAAAGTCCGCTTTGTCTTTCAGTTGCCGAGGTTTCTGAAACTTGGAGTGGGATCCTTGCTCCTGAACCAGTTTTTCAACAAAGGTTTTATCTGTGGCTTTAGGGAACCAGCACTCTTCATCCAGAAGGGCCAGGACACCAGGAGGGTTAGCCTGGTCACGAGAGGCAAGAATTGCATGTCACTGATGCCACTGGGCTTGACAGATGAACTTCCAACACAATTAGAGCTTAATAAAGATCTATGAGGGCCGGGGATTTAGCTCAGTGGTGCTGCTGCCTGCCTCACAAGTGCAAGTTCTTGAGTTCGATCCCCAGTACAAAAAAAAAAACTATGAAAAATCTATTACTAGGATGGAAAACAATGCCCAAAATGTAACAAGTTTCATACACTGAGATCTCAAACTTCTAAGAACAGGCAAGAAAACTGATAAGTAACTTATCTAGTACATTCCTAAATATATAAATTGTAAGTATTCTAATTTCAAGTAAATAGCCCCTCCAAAACTGCAAATAAAGGAGTCAGAAAGGAACTGGTGTGGTGGTGGTGGGGAAATGGTGGAAAGACAAAACTGGAGTATTAATGTTTAATGACTGGCTTGGTAAATTTTTCTAAAATCTGAACTAATTACTTGCTTCAGATATTTTACATCCTAAGTGGTATAAGTTTTAAGTGATGACTAAATAAATTGTGCACTTGGTAAAATATTTTAAAATAGTATTAAGTACAGCGTATGGAAAGTGACGAAATAATTCATCTATTGTTCTATATATTTTAACAAACATCTGAGTGCCTACTTTATGTCACTCAATTATAAGTTCATTGAAAAAAGGCCTCAATGAATCCACAGAGACAAGTTTTACAGCCAGGGTTGGGAGGAGGGTCATGGGGAATGACTGCTGATGGGTATGGGCGTTTTTTGGGGGGCTGGGGGAGTGATGAAAATCTCGTAGAATTAGTGGTGATGGGTGCATGTAAACCATTGCATTGTGGCCTTAAAAGGATGAATATTAAGTGGATTTGTCTCAGTTAAAAAATAAAAAAGGCCTAGAGCTTGCCATTCTCTGAAATGATTTCTTTTGGAGGTAAATAACACATGGAAATGAAATGAAGTATTTATATAGAAATGGTCTACTTTCACAATGCTTCTGGGTCATCACTAATTGCCATACTGCAAATATAAGTGTGTGCTACAAGACTGAACTTGTACCAATTTTTAGGTATACCCATAAAATCAGTCTTTTTTATTAGACTGGGGATTGAACCCAGGGAGTGCTAAGCTGTATTCCCAGTCCTTAATTTTTTAAAAATTCTGAGACAGAACCTCACTAAGTCTAGGCCTGTCTCCTCGAGTTGGGATCCCCTACCTCAGCCTTGAGTAACTGGGGTTAGAGGTACATGTAGTGATGCCTGGCCAACACACACACACACGCACGCACGCACGCAAAATGGTGTAAGAAATGTGGCCAGCAAAGGGTGAATGCCAGCAGGTAGAAGCTGAGAGAACCTTTCTGCAGTCGAGAACTTTACCCCATGGTTCTTCCACCTGCAAAGACTTTCAGGGCTTCAAATCAGCTGAAAGAAGGTACTGATCAGAAGTGACCAGAATTAGGTAACCCTAGAGGAGCGAGGGCTCAGAGTGGCAGGTAACTCAACCCACCCCTATCACCTGACAGCTTGGAGAAATGAAGCTCCATATTAACCGAAACATCCACCTTTTAAACCATAATTTTTACATTTCTAATCCATTTTAATGAAAATATTCCCAAATCCCACAGAATTCCAAATGTGATTTAATTTTTTCTAAATAACCCGTGGCAGGATGATGATGAATATTCATTACCGAGTCTCATTTCTATTTTTTCTACTTCAGCCTTCTGTGTCAAGATCTCTAGTATCACTCCTCCTTTTAGCCAAGATTTCTAAAGAACTGGAAGTTTAGGAGACCGCACTTCTGTATAATGGTCCGGCTTCCGGAGCCCAGAGGCTCACAGCCTTGCCTGCTACCACCTCACACCAGGGAAGGCCTGGGCTTGTGAGTGGTGAGGTGACACTGGGACAGGATAGGGGGTGCCACCAATCTTTACTCTCCATTTTGAAAGGAAGATCAGTGGAACTATGAACTAATTCCATTTCACCTAATTACCAATAAACTCTTTTATACAGTTTAAATTTTTCCCTAAATCAGATCTCATTTCTATGAATAAATAGAATAATCCTAAAGTTGAGGTGAACAGTGGGTCGGCATTAAATCTGGAATTCTTTCCCTCCCTTTCTGAGCTGTGTCTCCTTTAAATGAAGACAGCTCAGGCAGGGAGTAAGAATCTAGGGGAAAGCCTAGAATGCCAACACATGGAGTACAGGAAGGAGAATGAAAGGCGGATAGAAAAGAGAACAGAGGGAGGCAGGAAGTGGGCAGGAAAAGAAAGAGGGAATTAATCAACTAATTTAGTTCACTGCCCACAGTGTCTAGGTACAGCCAGTTACTGTGAATGCCATATTCTCCCCATTCCTGTACTTTCTGAATACTTCAGCCAAGTGACTCCCAAGATATTGCTTTCAATGTGTTGTTCACCTGATAATTTCTGTCCATAAAATTCATCCCCTAAACCTTACTTCCTTCATAACATCCACATCCATGAAACTTTCTATGCCACTCTCAGCCTTTGGCCTTTCTGAGTTTTTCTGGTACCAGGGATCGAACTCAGGACCTTGGGCTTGTGACGCAGGAGGCAGCACCATTGAGCTAAATCCCCAGCCCTAGCCTTTGGCCTTTCTGGATTCACAAAGCACTGCTTACACCAATGAGCTACCACTATGGTCTGTTCTGTTCTCTGGCTTTAAGATCATGTCTTTGTGGATCAGGGTGATGCTATCTATTCTTCCATAGTGGCCTGCTTCCCCCACCTGCATTCTCAGAACACCATGAAGGATTTAATAAATTCTTGCCAGCTCTTAATATTATCCTAACCCAATAATATTTATGCTTAATATACCTGCAAAAACTGAAAAAATGAATATCAAAACCTCTTGCCTTACCTATTATACTATGAATTGATCATGAAAGTTGAAATTAATTGCTCTCTGCATCACTGTGACTTTTAGAGTAAAATTACGTAAAAATTTTAAAATATGAAAAATAGTATACAAAGGATTTTGTCCTAGAGTATAAAGCAAAAGAAATGCACTTGAGAAATTAAGAAGATTGTACATTTGTGGAACACACTGAAGGGTCACAAAATCACTAGATTTTAAAATCCTCTAAGAACATTTAAAAAAAATAGGGTTGATAGTTTTTCATTTGAATTGTTTTGGCACAATTATTCCTACAGACAGAGCAAACTTTTTTTTTTTTTTGGTACTAGGGATTGAACTCAGGACCTTGTGCTTGCGAGACAGGCATTGGAACCACTGAGCTAAATCCCCAGCCCAAACAGAGCAAACTTATGTGTTCTCTTCCACCCCAACATACAAGTGCAGGTACACAGCTCATCTGAAAATGCAGGACCCCCAGTGTCATGCAGACACATGCAAGGACCACCCCAGGTAATAGGTCACCATAGTAACAATGGGAAATGCTCCATTCCCTTATTTTTTTTTTTTTCCATTCCCTTATTTTTTGGCAACAGGGCAGCAGTAAAACATATTCATGTGCTTGCGTATGTATGAAAGTTAACTGGAAGTTACTACAAGTATGCTGTGAATATTACCTCTAAAAGATGCTACAAGATACACAGAAGCAGCTATTCCCACAACTATAGGCAATTTGAACTCTGCCCCAACAGCTATTGAGATGGTTAATCTTGACTGTTGACTTGATTGGCTTGAGAGATGCCTAGGAGATTAGTAAAGCATGCTTCTCGGTATGTCTGGGTGGGTCATGACCCTGGCGATTATATCTGGTCCCTGGCCCTTCTTCTGGGGCTCTTCTTCTGTATTCTACTTCCTGGTAGCCATGAGGTAAGCAGCTTTCCTCTGATATGCTCTTCTGCCATGATGCTTCTGGCTTGGAGCCAGCTGACCACGGACTAAAACCTTGGAAATCATGAGCCAAAGTAAATCCTGTATGCCAGATATTTTGTCACAGCAACGGGAAGCTGACCAATACAGTTATGGTGCCTTTTTCTTGCATAGGAGTCAAGTGAAAATTATCAGTTGTGTTCTTTAAACACAAGTTTCTAACGTGGTATCACTATGTCTTAAAGGGACAGAAAGTCTCCTAGGTTCCTCCTCTTATTTGCTACCACTCTTGCTCACTACAGGTACCATGCCATCCAAGATTTCTATACACTGGACCTCCACCATCTCCAAATGCCTGGAACACAGGCAGCAACCAGACACTGAACAGCAACAGAAAGATTTTCTTCACAGCCTTCATCTCCTAGGAGAGACCTCAGAGCTATTGCTGTAGCTTGCCTACCTAACCTAAAGTTCCTAACTGGAACTTTACATAGATTATGAGTAGCAATATAGGAGGCCCTAGGTTCAACCCCCAGTACCACACACATATACATGCATGCGCATGCACACACACACATACACACACACACACACACATATCTGTTCAAGATCCCATGAAGGGGAGTTTAAAAAAATGAATGAATTATGCGTATTTCTGTGTTTTTACATGACAATAAATCAACCAGAAAATAATTTCTGATGCTTTCTACAACTGCCATTAAAATATACCTGCCTCAAAGAACACCCATTCCCCCTCCCCACTAAAAAACCTAAGACTTCAAATTTAAAAATCTGCCAAAATAAAAACACTTTTGTACTTACAAGGGCAAGTTTTAGTCATGCAATAAATGGATTTATGTGACATGTCTCATCCTCAGCTAAATAAAGAGTCCCTCTACTGCTTATGACAGTGGTAATGGAGATGGATAGTTGAGGTGGCAGGTGATGCTCCAACACTCTGGGCCAGGTGTATGCCAAGACCACCACCACAGTGGCCTCTGTAGTCTGTGAAGACCACAGCACATTCTCTAACATACCTGCACATGCAAGGGTAGGAGCAAAGCTACAAGAAAGGAGAGCTCAAGGGTTTTACTGAGATGACACATTTAAACAGGTTTAGTCTATCAAAGTATCACTTCCTAGAAAATTTATTTATTATTATTATTTTACAGTTTTGTGGTGCTGGGGATCAAACCCAGGGCCTTGTGCATGCTGGGCGAGAGCTCCCCCTCTGAGCTACATCCAGAGCTGAAAAGTTAAGATTAGAAACTTATTCTAAAACTGATTACACTGAGTAGGATAATTTCTGTCTCGGAGAACAAAGCCTAAGGTTCTGTGGGAACTGTAACAGGAAGTCACACAGTGTGGAGACACTCACTGGCCTCTCGATGAGGTCGATGCAGGGCTGCAGGTCGAGGCCGAAGTCGATGAAGTTCCACTCGATGCCCTCGCGCTGGTACTCCTCCTGCTCCAGCACGAACATGGTATGGTTGAACAGCTGCTGCAGCTTCTCGTTGGTGTAGTTGATGCACAGCTGCTCAAAGGAGTTGAGCTGCAGGGGTTGAAGGAGTCATTGTCCACACAAGGGCAGGAGAAGGAGATGGGAAGAATTACCCAGTTAGATACTCAAAAAGTGCAGTGAAAATTACTCATTAGGTATCAACATTATTGATTTTACTTAATGATACTGACTATACCAAGGAAGGGGTCTCCCGATCTGTCACTCCCCCCCCCACCCGAATTCTTTCTGAAAAAGAGAGAATAGATGAAGACAAGTGCACGCAACATATTACTGAATTATAAAAAATGAGATGATAAACTTAGTACTATATGCTAAGTGACAAAGAAAACTACTCAGTTCTTACTAGTGGATGAGTAAGGAATAGAAATGAAGGAATAAATGAGTGAGAAAGTGGGGGGAGGGGAGGAACAGAGACTTGGGAGGCCTGAGGTGCAGCAGGTGAGCACATGAATGTGGGCTGTGCACCTGGTTCTGCCCCACTCTACTCATCGCTGAGGCTGTGGCCCCAGAGTGAGAGAAGGGAGAGTCAACTAAAAATCATCTTTACTCCACAGAGCTGTAGTGGGGAGCTCAGCTCACCTGACACACAGATCATGCTAAGCATGGGGGTCTGGGTTGCTTTTCTACCCAGGTTCTTCTCATCAAATGTTTGGCCCTGGCCAATATTTAAGGTGAAAGTGCACTGGTCTCATTAAGTGAATCTGAGCATCTTCTCACACAGTCACTTCTGTTCTTTTTGTGTGAACTTTGTTCCATTTTCTTTGTGTTATGGAATGAATAAATGGATAGATGAATAGGTACAATTTTCTTAAAGCAATCATCCTATATATTACAAGTGCACAACTTTTATTATGCTTCCACATGGTTCACATGAGTAAAATGCACCCATAAATAACCTCTCTCATTATAAAAAGCGAGTTTCAATTAGAGAGGATTCAATCAATCTCCAAAGAATAGATTTATGGCCTGAAAAAGCCATTCCAATCTTCCACATCCCATGGAGCTTTTGTACTCACTATTTTAGAGTGAGGTCGTGCTGGGAGGCCAGTGGTTGCCTTGCTCAACACTGTATGTTTACCAACTAGCATCTAAGAGAAGCCACAGAGATACTTAAGAGACTTAAGAAACATGCTTATTCATGTTTAGATAAATGGACTTAGCTCTCTTTAGGATTATGACATTTTATTGTTTTATTTAGTTTGGACTATATGCAATAAATATTTTTTAAAAAATGAATTTCTACTTTTCTTTCATATTTAAGCCACTAACCATTTTAAAATAATTATCGTTTTTGTGTTTCTGGGGATCAAACCCTAGGCTTTACACATGCTGAGCACACACTCTACCACGGAGCTACAGCCCCAGCCAAAATAGATTTTAAAATCGATAAAACATTGTATAAGATTTAAAATGTACAAAGAGCTGTATTGAAAAGTTATTTAGTCTCAATTCAATTCCTTACTTGCTTTTCCTATGTCAACTGTATCACATATTTCTTGTGGTCTTTCTGGAGATACTAATCTATGCATTCTCAAATGTGTGCAGAACCTTGATTTTAAAAAGCTTAACATATCTTGGAGTCTTTCTATATTAGTATATAAAGCTACCTCATTCTTTCTATGGGTGTGTGATATTCACTGTATACAAACATGAGCTAACTGAACCATTATCTGAATGGTGGACATTAAGGCTTTCCTTTCTCATAACAAATGTGCATTTTAAAATTTACATGCATCTTTGTCTCTGTATAGTCCTATAAAGCCACATTTCTTTTAGTGTTTTCTTTATAAATACTCCTTTCTAGTATTTTATTGTCTATTCCTTTTTAAATTTTTCAAATTAAATTTAGAACAAGTTTGCTTAGTCCCCTCCATCCCTTAAAATTCCTACTAATTAGTTTTAAACAACTATGTTCAATTTATAGATAAATATTTTGAAGGTTTATATCTTTATGATGCTAACTTTTTTCATCAAGAACAGGGAACATCTCTTCATTGTTCTTTGCAGCAGCACTGTAAAGTCGCCTTTATCTAAAGTTGCCCATTCCTTCTTTTGTGCGTGTGTGTGTGTGTGTGTGTGGTACTGGGGATTGAACCTAGGGCCTTCACAATGAGCTACATCCCCAAATCTTTTTTCTTTGTAGACAGAGTCTTGCTAAGTCACTAAGTTGCCTGGGCTGGACTCCAACTTGCGACTTTCCTTAAATTTATTTGCTCATTCCTTCTTTAATTAACTTTCGGAGACAGGGTCTCACTATGCAGACAGGCTGGCCTCAAACTCACAGCAATACACCTGCCTCGGCCTCCTGAGTGCAGGGATTACAGGTGTGTGCCACTACGCCTGACTTAAATTTACTTTTCGATATTCCATCTGTTTTTGTTGCAGTTGGAAATGGGAGTCTTTCTTTCATTATATCTGGTTGTATCCAGTCACCTTTCAAGATTTCTTGTTATTTACAAATCAGTAGACATTAAAGCAATCTTACAGCATGAGTGGCAAGCTCAGTAGATGCAACTGCTTATCCTGGTACTAGGTCAGTTTTTACTATACGACTTAGCATATTAAATTTTGGATTTTTTTTGCGGAACCAGGGATCGAACTCAGAACCTTGTGCTTGCCAGACAGGCGCGGTGCCACTGAGCTATATCCCCGGCCCCTTAAAGGGGTTATTATTATTATTTTTTGGTACCAGGGATTGAACTTGGGACCTTGTGTTTGTGAGGCTATTTTAAAACAACATGATTCAATATTCAAGTGGCTAAAGACATTAATCACAAGAAGTATTTGATATTTGTGCCTAATACATAATTTGTCCATCAAGGAAGACAGAAGTTATATCTCTATAGATAGTCTATCAGTATTTGTATTTATAATATTTTTCGGAGATTAAATTTTATCAGTTTCTCTGCAAATTGACAGCAGGTATGTTGACCGCTGCCATATGTGACCTTGAATAAATGTTTGGACAAATCTAGTCAGATCAATGATACAATCTACCACCAAATCCTTTCTCATCCTTCAAGAATGCTCAACTATCACCACAGTAGGTGCCTTCCCTAAATACACATGGCCTTCCTAGTTCTTTTGATCATAGCATCTTTCACTGCATTATTCCCAAATTCATGAACTCAGTGGGTTTTGCCTTTCAGTGTCTGACTCTGTACTACAATGACAGGGATCTTATCTGCTCATTTGTCATTACTTTCCCAGTAACTGGCACTGGATCTGGTATATAATGAACCTTAACATTTGTTAAAAAGAAGAAACAGAAAGAAAGAAGAGCAGGAGAGAAGAAGAGGAAGAGGAATACCTCAAAAATTTCAAATCCAGCAATATCCAGGATTCCAATGAAAGATGCTCCCTGACGTTTGGTTCTATCCAGAGCCTTATTGATCCGGTGAACGAGCCAGCGAAAGAGCCGCTCATAGGTAGCTTTTGCCAATGCTTCTACTGCAAAATCTGCCTATAATTAGATAACATCAACCTTTTATCCTGGAAACAATCTTAACAAAGCATGAATAGCTGTTATATAGGGTTTGATGTTATATAGTACTCAAAAACCCTGAAATGGCAATTACTGCTTAGACAGGTCTCAACTTATCAATAGATAGCATTATTAGTTCAGTTAAATGAGAAGTGGGAATGATCACTTAAGAGGATCCTAGGAAGAATAACCCCTTCCCTGTGTCCATGGGGTTCTGAGTGGCACTGTCTCATCAGCTGGGTCAACTGCACTTTGCCACCAAGTGTGCCCTCTCAATATTCCTGGATATTCCTGGCCAGAGCCATGAGTGTCTTTCTTAAAACAGCCCACAACTAGGTGGTCAGGATGACCCTCTGCTCTTGATGCTGCATTACCCAGCAGAAGCCAGGCGGCCACCTTTCTGCGTGTTTGTCTGTTAGATTATCTGTCCACCCAAGACAAGCAGAGATGTTTCCAATTTACTCCAAAAAATTACTTTTTAAAATTCTTGGGAAAGTAAAAATAAATATACTTCAAAAAATACTCATTTAGTACTAGGAAACATCCATGTATTAGGATTTTCACTGATTTAGTTTGTCAATCAGAAGATCAAAAGACCCTGGCTTATTATTCAAACAAACCTGTGATAACAATTCACGTTGAACTTACTTGTTCTTTGGTCTGGGCTTTCTGCACATAGTCTCGGCCGACCTTGATCCGGGGAGTGAGTATGGCCCGAGTGAACTCCATCACATTCATCCCAAGCAGATGGCAGAGCTTCTGTGCAACTGAGCGGGAAAGCCCCCTAAGTACTGCATTGCTACTCAAGATCTCATCACAACTCAATCAACGCTTGAAAAACCCTAGCAATCTGCATGCTGTAGTAAGAAATAAACTAAATAAAAGCCCTGAAGTCAGATAAAGATTTAGGTCTGATGAAAACCACCTTCTACACTTCCAGATTAATAATATACCCATTTTAGGTTGTAAGAGACGTGGGTCAGCGTCTACCCTCCTTGACCTGTAGTAGAGACCTGGTCCTCCTCTACCTGGAGGTCATTTAAAAATTTTAGAGCCTAACTATAGTAATGCATGTCTTATCTAAATCTTAAAGTATTGCATTTTAGTCTGATTTAACTGTGTGAAAGCCATATGATGGGTGTAGGCCCATGTGCCAATCTAGCTACTTTGACTCAATGACAGACACTGCATTTAAGGGTCAGAAAATGATGACTGGAGCAGGGGACAGGCAGGTCCCTTAGAAGAGACACACAGAGTTAAACTGTCACCAAGCCTCAAGTTGTTTACAAAAAAGGGTTACTCCAAGGGCAGGAACATGACTGTCAGCTCTCAGAGGCCACAGTGAGTGTGGATGTCCCTGGGAAGCAAGGAAACTTATTCAGACAGTTGAGCATTCTAGGTGATACAGTAATTCCTCACTTTTCTTCTTCTCAGATGATAAGAAGCAGTGACAGTTCCTGTGGCTTTTAATTTTTTTTTTTTTTGCTTCACATACTTTCCCTCCTGAACAGTCTAAATTTAAATACTTTTTCAACATTCAAAAACAAGATTTCATATTAAAATCTAGATTTCCATCTTTTTGCAAAATCAACTACAGCTGCTCAACTTATGATGGGGTTACGTCCCAATAAACTCACCGTAAATTGAAAAATATCCTAAATCAAAACACATTTAGTACTCCTAACATACTGAACCTTGTGGCTTAGCCTAGCCTCCCTTTAACATGCTCAGAACACTTAAATTAGCCCAAAGTTGGGCAGAACATGAAGACCGTTTTGCAATAAAGTGTTGAATAACTCATGCAGTTTACTGAATACTGCATTGAAAGAGAAGCACACATGGCACGGGTATGCTTTCACACCATCAGAAAGTTGAAAGGTTGTTAAACCACTCTAAGCTGGGGACCAGCTGTGTATTTGGCAACACTGGGCCTGTCCTCTGACAGCTCCCTTCTAGGTGATCTGTGTGTTCTCCTACAGCTGAGGGTTCCTCCCTCCATTCCTGATGCCTCCCCCATGCAAAGGCAGGGAGCAGCCAGTTGCCCTGCTTTGTCTTCCCTTATCTGGGGAAGCAGGTGGATCCTCACATAGGCACAGAAGTCTCCCACTCTACAAGAGTCCCTGGGGAAGCCAGCTGTGGTGGTGCATGCCTGTAATCCCAGCACTTGGGAGGCTGAGGTGGGAGGATCACTTTGAGTTTGAGGCCAGTCTGGACTACATAGTGAATTCACAGGGCCAGCCTGAACTACAAAGGGAGACCTTGCTTCAAACAAAAACAACAACAAAAACAAAAAACAAACCGAAAAAGAGTCCCTGGGAAAATACTTGTATGGCAACATGCTCTTGGAGAACACCAGAAGGTACTGAAATAGAAAATAAAATTAATATTTATCAGTTTACCTGTATTCTCTGGCATGGAAGCTTGATCAGTATTTCTCTCCTTTTTGAAAGAAATATTTCCAAACTGTAGCACTGAAGATACTACTTTAAGCATGGCTTCATATTGATGAAAAGAAAAAAAAAAGAATAAAAACATTTGATCCAACTGCAGTAGAGATATATTCTAATTAGTTTGTGATATAACAGCTATCTAAAACTTTTTAGTAAGATACATCACCTTCAGCATTTCATAAAAGTAAAGACATTTCTAATTAGTTTCCCAATCATTTTCTAGTTTAGGTTATTTACCCCAAATGTATAAGGCTTATCAAAGTGAGGATCAGAATCTTGGAGAAATCACACATACACAGAATCTCTTCGTGAGAGAAGCCCATTATGTGCATTGCTTCCATGGTCTCCTGAAAGTTATCCTTGTCTTGCTGGCCCGGGATAGGAATATAGCCATTGGAGAGAAATCTGTAGTTATTAAATCCTTCAAGGAGTAAATCAGCTAAATGGAAACATAATGTGGTGAGATTTAGTAAATATTCATAAACACACTAAAGCAACCCCAATTCAGACTGCTAACATCTCACAGAACACCGGGTGTTCGCCACCTCCCATCAGCAGCAGACTTTTCCTTCTTTATATAAATTCACAGAAACACACAACCATACACAATTTCCCATGAAGATGCGAAAAATGTAAAAACTTTAAAAGGAGTTCGTAGGACAGTAGTTTGTACAACATTATATTTCAACTTCAACAGCTAGAGAATGATGGGAATTTTCCAGATAACTTTATTGCTTTCAGATTAAAATATTCTAGGCATCAAAAAAATATTTTAGGCATCTTTAGAGGGAAAGTTTTTGAGATTCATATTCTATATTCCTATCAAGTGGTTCACATCAAACATTATGTGAGGAAATGGGCCAAACACATCTCTAGCCAGTTTGTTTAAGCCATGACTGTGTGTGTGTGTGTGTGTGTGTGTGTGTGTGTGTGTGTGTGTGTGTGATGCGGGGCCTGTGCAGGCTATGTACTCTTTCTACCTCTGAGCTACACCCTTAATCCCCAAGCCAGGTGGCTAGTGGTTCCTAGTCTTTAGTGATGAGGAACAGGTCACATGAAGACAGACTGCAATGGATGCCACTAGGAACTGCTGGCTCGGGAGAAACTAGGAAGAATTTTCTCTTTTGACAAGTGTGCTAAATGATGCACAAGGGTGCTTCTCAGGAGGGATTAAAACAGAAAGGGCTATTTTTCTCTAATAGATATGCAGATGTGCTCCAAGCTTTTCCTGTAACTAGCTCACTAGTTCTCCTGCAGAGTTTTGTTTTGTTTTTTTTGAGAAGTGGACTGGGGATTGACCCAGGGTCTTTGCCCTGAACTACATCCTCAGCCCTTTTTAAACTTTTGAGATAGGGCCTCACTAAGTTGGTAGGTTGCCCAGGGTGGGCTTGAACTTGAAATCCTTCTGCCTTAGCCTCTCAGAGTGCTAGGATTATAGGCATGTACTTCCATGCCCAACTCCATCCCCTAATTCTTAAATATATAACTTCTATTAGGTATGGTCCGTTCACTTTTTATGTCCCTCTCAACACTTTCATCACCCTTTTTTGATTCATTCCTATTGCAGAGTTATTGCTTGTCTGAAAGCTTGAGGGTTTTATTTCTTTTACAGTGCTGGAATTTTAAGCCTCTCCTTCAGAATAACTGTTTGCTTATTACCTTTCTTCCTTTGAAAGGTCTTTCTCTAGTTAATTTCTGGGTTCAGTGGTTTAACAGATGCCTGTAGTTAGCCAAAGCCTAGACTTCAGATGACAAAACCTTTACTGCATATGCATTTACTTTAATATCTAGGTGGTATATATAATAACCGTAAAGAAACAACACTGAATTTGAGACTCAGAAGAGACTGAAAAGTTGTACACCTTTTTGCTCTCATATATTTGACTCAGCAAAATTCTCACTCCCACAATTCAACCTTTTACCTTGCCTAACCTAAGCTTCCAGTCCTTGTGATTCATGATAGATGGCCAGACAGATAGACAGATAAATAGATATCCACCGCTGGCTCTTTAGTGCTCTTTCTAGCGACTAGTGGAAGCATAATATGTATTTAGTTGTAAATCTAGGAATAAAAAATATTTATTCTACTTTTTTTCTTTTCCATTTGTAAATGTTCAAGCAGAATCATACAAAAATACATCATTTGTCTTCTACTTTAAATTTTTTTAAAGAAAAGTACAAAAGATATGTAACAACCTGTCACTTAAGACAAGGTACTTACTTTATGGCATGGAACTTCTATTTCATTTTCATGATTTGAACAGCTAGAGATTTGGGAGGTTTGTATAAAAATTTTCAATATTAAAAAGAGATTCAATTGAACATAAATACTAAACGCCCTTGTCACTTACACTTCAGGTGTTCTCCTGCCCCAGATAGCAACTGGTAAAAGATATGAAAAGTACGTTCATCTTTTGCTTGACGAACAGCACGAGACTTTTCCAGAAGGTCTGAGCAGATGGTTAAGGACTAAGTTCATCATAAGGAAGTCTTTTTTCAGTGTCTATACAAATTTAATTTGAAAATGTTTTCTTTCTTTGATACAGGGTCTTGCTGTGTGGTCCAGGCTGGCCTCAAACTTATGGCAGTCCTCCTGCCTCAGCTTCCCAAGTGCTGAGGTTACAGGTGTGTGCCATCATGCCTGGTTATCAATTGTGTTATAATGAACCATTCTATAGAATTGTCCTTTGTATGTGGAAAAAAAGAAAATATATGCAACTTACGCTTCTCACTAATCTACAATCACTGGCTAGGAGGGACCATCCCCTTCAACCCAATTTAGGTGACATTTGAAGAACATAGTACTATACAAGGAACTGTAAGATGCTATCTATTAAAGATATACAGCTGCTAAGGCAAGAGAAGCCCTATAATGCCCAAATTAACAAAATTTTACAAAGAAGAAAACCAAGGCATAAGGAAATTAGTCAAAATAACACAGCTACTGAGTGCAAGGGATGAAAAACCTTGGTTTGACTTCAGTGCATGAGCCTGACTGCTCTGCTACCATGAGAGCCCCTTTCTGAAAGCCTTGTGCTCGCTCCTCCACATTCAGCACACCTCAGATTCCTTCCCTGAACGCCAAGAGGTGCCTACAGTGACATGAAAGCTGTGATTAGACTGACTCCCGGCCCTCCCTTCACTGTGCACAAGAAGCACTGAGGTCAGCATCTACAGCCTGCTGCCACACCCCTGCCTGGTCTTCCCAGGGAACAGTGGTGCAGTGCGCACCCACCTGTGTGAGTATTCCAGGCTCACTCTGAGATGGTCTGGATGCCCAGGAGTGTCTAAGGGCTGACAGGCACACGGGCTCTCACAGAATCTGGTCCACCACTTTGCAAGATGACTGCAGCCTTCCCTGGGGCCACAAAAGGAATGAATTCTGTATGTGCCAGATAGCCTGAATTTTAAGCATATCCTCCATATGTAGTGAAAAACACATTCATTTGAATGATACTGTGACAGGCTTTTATGATGAAAGTTAAAACTGTAGATTCATTCCTCTGTCATTTTCAAGTGTTTCTGCGCCCCCCAGCTTTGAAAGTATTTAGACATAAAATACTATCCCCAAATTAACAAAAAATTTTCACCATATCCCTCACCTAAGTGATTCAAACAACATATTTCTATCACTGGAGATTATTCATCAGAGAACTGTCCCCTGTATGCTTTCTAGCTAAGACATTATCATGCAGAATCCTTCTGTTTTATTACATCTCTAATCAAATTTGTTTTATATGTACTTGTTATTTCTTAAGGCCAGTCTATGCATGTGGTATTTTCTTTTTTTTTTTTTTTTTGGCATGTGACATTTCTTAGGAGTCTCCAGATTTGGCATTTTATTTTTTTCCTCTAACATATTAATACTAACTGAAATTACTTTAACTATAATTTTTAAGACTTGTTTTACTGAGTACATGCTTAACTTACAACATCAGAAGCAGATGGTAAAACATGGGCAAACACAACAGTTGCTGTTATAGTTTATGTCTGGATGTCCCCCAAAGCCTCATGCTATCATAGCAGGCGTGCTGGGGAGGTGACTGAACCATGGAGGTGTGATGCTCATCAGTGGATTGGTCCACTGATGAGTTTATAGCTCAATGTGATGTTGGAAGGTGAAGCCCAGGTCACTGGGAGTGTGGTCTACAAGGATCTGTCTCCTTCCCTCTTCCCTTGATTGCTCTGCTTCCTGCTGCCCTGCCATGAGCTGTTTTGTTTCTCCTCTGCCATGCCACTCTGCCTTGGAGCAGCTGAATATGGACTGAAAGCTCTACAAAGTGTGAACCAAAGTAGACCTTTTCTCCTTAGAGTTGTGGATGTTAGCTACTTTGTCTCAGCAACAAGAAAGTAGCTAAAGACAGTAGCTGAAGAACAGTTGTGGGTAATGTTCATCTAAATGTCCTATAACCACACAAATGCTGTAGGACTCCCCATCTCCCCAGACCTGCATGTTATGGCCTAGTTTTAAGAACAACAGAAATATCTACACCTCTGTGGAGTCAATATTCAATAGCTGAAGGTATCTGCACATGTAACTGTGCCCATGGGTCTAAGTTTTACCACCTGGATAACCGGAGCGATGTCACCAAAGGCTGCTGTGAGGCTGGAGGGAGACTGAACCGTCCTCTTGGGGCATGCAACTATGAAAAAGGATACATGTTTCAATGTTGGCCCCAACAATATAGCCAGTTACATCAAAGTTGATCCGAATAAACTTGCCCTGAAAATAAAAAGAAAAAAGCCAAAAATGAATAGGGACACAGATAGTAACACAAAGTGCCCTGCCAAGCATCTATGAATTGCTACAAAAATGGATCTATACTTTGCCTCAAATAAAAAGGGAGAAAAAGCATAGCAGGATAGACTACCTTCCCAGACCATAGCATAGTAAAACTAGAAATTGTCAACTGAAGGAAAGTAGTAAGCACTAGTCATTTAGAACCTTTAAAAAGCTTTTCTAAATAACCTGAGATAGGAGAGATTTTAACAGCTTTAAAGGAACACTATCTAGTCTTCTGATAAGATTCTGAAAATCTGAATAGTACAGGTAATTTCCTAGGGAAATAGAAATCCATTGAAGGAAAAAAGAGAAAACAAACATAAATAGACCATAGTCATAACAAATACCAAGGTTAGTTTTGAGAAAGATCAGAGCTGGAGGACTCCCACTACTTGATTTCAAAAAACTAGAAATGTATTATCACAGTGTGGTATCAGTATAAGCATTGAGATACAGGTTGATGGAACAGAACAAAGTCTAGAAATAAACTACACATGTAAGGCTAATTTACTTTCAAAAAAGGTGCCAAGGTAACTATGGGTTTTGAAAAATATGCAAAACAAAACAAAAAGGATCTAGATCCTTATACAATATACAAACATTAACTTGAAACAGACCACAGACTAAAGCTATAAAACTTCTCAAACAGGAGGAAATCTTTCTGATCTTAAATTAGATGAGGATTTCTTAGAATTCAAAGGCCATAAACCATAACATTAAAACTTCATAAGCTGGCTTCATCAAAATTAAAACTTCTACTCTTCAAAAGACATGGTAAAGAAAATGCAAAGCCACAGAGTAAGAGAGAATATTTGTAAAGCACACACAACAGTAAGATAACCCAATAAGAAACTGACTAAAAGGTTTGAATGGATACCTTGTCAAAGAAGATATATAAATGGTCAATAGTATATAGAAAATGCTCAAGGCAGCCTGGGCAACTTAATGAGACCCTGTCTCAAAAATGTAAAAAAGGGGCTGGGTGTGGTGGCGCACGCCTGTAATCCCAGCACTCGGGGAGGCGAGGCAGGAGGATCGCCATGAGTTTGAGGCCAGCCTGGGCTACAAAGTGAGTTCAGGGCCAGCCTGAACACAAAGCAAGACCTTGTCTCAAAAAAAAAAAAGTTTAAAAAAGGGGCAAGGGATGCAGGTTATTATAAAGGTCTCAGGCTCAATTCCCAGAAGAGGGAAAAAAAGGTCAATATCATGAGTTATCAAGGAAATCAAAATTAAAACAGCCACAATGAGATAGCCCTAATAGCCACTAGAATGGCTACAATTTTCAAGAAAGACCAGCAAGGATATAGAAGAACCAGACTTCTCCTACAACTTGGGGAGAATGCAAGATGGTACAGCCACTTTGGAAAATAGTTTGCCAGTTTTTAAAAAGTTAAACACAGGTACCACATGACCTAACAATCCCACTCCTAGGTAGTTATCTAAGAGAAAGGAAAGCATGAGTCCACAGAATTGCACATAAATATCTGTAGCCACTTTAATAGCCCAAACAGGAAGCAACAGAAATTCCATGAACTGGTGAATGAATAAAGAAACTGTGGCATAGTTATAAAATGGGATACTGTGGAGCAATACAAAGGAACAAACTCGACAACATGGATGGATTTAAAAAGCACTGTGGTGTGTGAAAGAAGCTAGATGTAAAACATGAATACAGGATGATTCTTTCTTTGACATGCCAAAAACAAGATTATAGGGGCAGAAGATAGATCAGTGATTTCAGGGTTAGGAGTAGGAAGAGAAAATTGACCATATACATTTATCTACACTCAATGAACTGTGAAGGGTGAAATTTAATGTATGGAAAATTAGAAAAAAAATTAAGAGAATAATCTTAGGGCTCCCTAGGTAGGTCCAATGTTTAAAATATAGTTCAACATCTAGGGCCAGGGATTTAGCTCAGTGGTTCTGGCACCTGCCTCACAAGTGCAAGGTCCCGAGTTCGATCCCTGATACTAAAAAAAAAAAAAAATTCAACATCTACACAAATATACTAAACATGCTCCTTTCTGATTAAAGTAAAACTCATTAGATTCACACACTTCTTACACTTCCAGGCCCCTTGTCTATTCTTTTACCTATTGTGTTAGAACCCTTCTCACTCTTTCTTTTTTTCTGGTACCGGGGATCGAAATCAGGACCTTGTGCTTGTGAGGCGGGCGGCGGAACCACTGAGCTAAATCCCTGGCTCAGAACCCTTCTCACTCTTCCACGTATGTTTGTTTTCCAGTGCTTAAATAGCTACTGTAAGTAAAAAAAGTCAGTTTGGGGAAGCTACCACAGAAGTTTCTAAACTATATTCTTTAATTTTTTTGTCTTAATGTAATATGAGTAGATATTAATAAAGAAAAAGATAGATGATAGAAAGTAGGGAGACAGATGCTTCTCAGCAGGAAATGGGATCAAGGGATGGAGGGAGGGGAGAGAGAAGGAAGGGATAAAAAACAAAAATAACTGATTCTTGAAAAAAAAGAGCTCCCCTACTGCTCCTTCACCACATCTAAGTGCCCTTCTAACCCTGGCCCCTAAATATAAACACTCTACTTCCTAGTGTCTAAAAGCTTTTCTCTATACTGAGAAACACACGGCAGTCTGCCACACAAAAGGCCCATGCCATCATTCCAACAGATGTGCCTTCCACTAAGGGTCTGCTCCTGAGGCCACCAAACCCCACAGAAGGAGTTAAAAGCACAATTCCTGTGAGAAGCAAAGGTGTTTCATGGCAAACAGACCATGACCATCGCTTAGAGTCATGTCCAGACATAAATTTGACATAATAAAACACCAAAGTAAATATCAAAACTGAAGATACTTTGAATATGGGTTTAACGCATATGACTGAGTATATGACAACAGAATATATATATGACACTGGGACTCCCTGAGAAGGTAGAAGGGTGTCAGTCACCAACACCTGCTATGCCCCCTAACCTGGAGAAAACTGATCTTATGTCACCAAACTTAATGAGATACTGATGTACATTCCAATGCAGACTGCAATGCAAATCCATCATCAGGAGGCTGCTGATCATCAGTACAGAGCATTTAGTATTTTCTTCTGGAGAACCTGTTAATTAGGAGTCACAGAACAAAATGATAATCTGCTTCTCTGGATAGTTTTGGACATTGTGCTTCTTTGGATAGTGGGGCAAGTTTTAAGTTTTGTTTGGATTTCTATTTTTGTTTTTTTTGTGGTCCTGGGGTCCTGTACATGTTTTGTACAACGGTAAACATTCGACCACTGAGATATATCCACAGCCCTTGGAATTTTTTTTTTTTTAAATAATGGGAGAGCACGTTTCCTCCTTTTTATAAGGGCAGGCTCTTGTGACATCATATAAGTATTACTTTTGAAGAAATAACCCTTATGCAAATAATGTAACAGCATTGAGAGATGCTGACCTGCTGCCCCTAAATTTAAGTAGGACACCAAACTCGAGCTCTTTCACACCTGAAGAACAACATAGCTGGTGGGACACTATAGGAACCCAGAGGAGGGAAGGTGCAGAGAGACAGTACCACATGAATGAAGCGGTCTGACGGTTGATTAAGTGCATTACTTGTTTCAAGTTAAATCATAATTTAAAGGTAACTTCTGTCTTATTTTTAAGTTTCCTTATAATTAAACTACTCTAAAGAGCAGTGATTCTTGAAACACTGCAACCTTATTTCAACTTCTAAGTTGTAGAGAAATCTATAGTCATTATTTTCAAGAGATACAACATTCTGGGCTAACAGCTAGCTATTCAAAGTAACAGCTGTAGGCACCTGTTCTGCTTCTACCAATAGGTTCTCACTTATTACAATAATACTCTTGCTTTTTCAGAATGCAGTACTTATATATTTAAAAACTTTAACAGTTCATAATTTTGAGAAGAGAAAAAGCCTTTTTTGTTCTGTAACTGTGAAACACTATAATTTTTAGTTCATAAACACCTATTAGAATGGTCAATCCAACAAATTTTTTCACTTCTATATCATCTCTTTCCTTCTAATAACTTTCGTATATCCACCTTTCAGTGTTTGTCTACTTCTGAACCATATCACACACATTTTAATACACACACATCATACAAGATGAAAATAGAGTGAAACAAATGGTCTAGATTCTTGTTGCAAAATACTGAATAAAGAAACCCTCCTATTGATTGACTAACTGTATGCTAATGCCATGGGGTTTTTTTTCTGTCCTTAGAAATATATCTTATTCCTGAGTTTGAGAAAATTGTAGGCTATCATCTGAAGACTCAACCTGAGACTTTGCTAATAGACTCGATTTCACCGCCATTAGTAGAGTTCCACAGTATTATCAACCCCTATGCATTCATCTTTTGATTTGTCTAATACTGTACCTGTGAAATGTTTTCCTCTGCCAATTTCCTTACCATTATGGGTAGAAAATGGAAATTTCTAATTTGTCAATGATCACTGAAAGCTAAAAGTAGACTTCAAAAATCTGTCCCTAAGCCGGGCATGGTGGCACATCCCTATAATCCCAGCACTTGGGAGGCTGAGGCAGGAGGATCGCTGTAAATTCAAAGCCAGACTGAGCTACATAGTGAGACTCTGTCTCAAAAAACCAACAACAACAAAAAAATGTGTCTCTACTCTTCTTTTATTTTGGGTACCTCAATAAGCAAGCTACAGGCTGATACAATAATTACTTAAGCATCCTCTAGTCAATTCTTCTATTTTTATTTTAATCCTTTTTTTTAGCATAGTTGGTAGGTAATAAATGACAAAAATGATGAACTAGTTCCTTTGATTAAAAAACAAAATGTTTCAAGATATGGAAAAAAATAAGATCACTAATAACTTCCTATTGTATCTAAGGCTCATATAATGGCCCAGTGGACTCATATGGTAATTACAAGAGAATAAATTTATTCTATTTTAAAAATAAGCATAGTTTGCCTTTGTTC